AGGAGGGAAGGAGAGAGGGAAGGAGAGAAGGAGAGGAGGCAGGGAGGGAGGGAAGGAGGTCTCTCTCTGCCCCCCCGGTGCCGCAGCAGCCCCGCACCCCCGGGCCGAGCGGCGGGGGGCACCCCCCGGCCCGGCCTCCCCCTTCGCTCACAGCCGCGTTTCAAAACGAAGCGGCTAATCCTCGTTAATTACTTGTGAAAACACCAGCGGTGATTAATTCCAGCGGCATCGCGGCGGATTTCCACGGGGAGCCGTCCTGCAGTCCGAGGCCCTTCGGGTTTCGCCCACCGAAGGCTCGGCCCGGCCGAATGGGCTCGCACCGGGAGCCGGGGGGGGGACGAGGAGCCCGGTGTGACCCCACGGCAGAGGAGGGAGAGCCCGGGCCTGCCGGCAGGCAGCGGACACAGGCAGACATCCAGCCCTGTCCCCAGGGGACTCCGGGGTCGTCCCCAGCCTCCGCGCCCCGCACCCAGCGCCACGGGGCCGGGGACTGAGGGCGCGGGGGGAAAGCAGCGCTCCGAGCTCGGACACTCAGTTCGGTCGTCGGTATCTCGGCCGCGGATAGAGGATTTCACCAGTTGTTCTTCTGGGGATGAACTGGATTGGGACCTGGAAAGAGAGAAAATGAAAGGGAGAGAGAGAACGGAAAAGAGGGAAAGAGTGAGAGAAAGAAGGAGAGGGGGAACGGGGAGAGGAAAGGAAAAGAAAAGAAAGGAAAAGAAAGGAAAAGAAAGGAAAAGAAAGGAAAAGAAAAGAAAAGAAAAGAAAAGAAAAGAAAAGAAAAGAAAAGAAAAGAAAAGAAAAGAAAAGAAAAGAAAAGAAAAGAGAGAGAAGAAAAGAGAATAAAAGAAAAAAAGGAAGATGGAAGAGAAGAGAAGAGGATAGTGGAAATGAAAGAATAAAGGAAAAGAAGGGAAAGAGAAAAGAAAGGAACGGGGAAGAGAACGAGAAAGGAAAGGAAAGAGGAGAGGAACAAGAAGCAAGCCCGGCAGGAGGCAAAGCAGACCCCGGCGGGAGGGGAGCCGCCCGTGGGGCCGAGGGGGGGCCGGGCCGGGCAGCAGCACCAGCAGCAGCATCACCAGCACCAGCACCAGCACCACCACCAGCAGATCCCGGGGGTGTCGGCACGGCCCCGTCCCCCTCCCCGCAGGATTCCTGCCCCCGGGCACAGCCGCAAGGACCCGAGGGCGCCGCAGCCCCTGCTCCCGGCCCCAGGTAGGGCAGCGGGACCGGGGGCTCGGGGCTCGCTGCTGCCCCCCGAGCCTCGCCGACGGTGCCCCGGGGGGGGGGACAGAGCCTGCCCGGCCCCCGGGGCCGGCGGGGAGAAGCGGGGCCAGCCCCCAGCACACAGAAGGGGTCGGGGGCGAGGCGACCTTCTGGTACCTGGCAGAGCACCTCGGAGGTCCGAACCGGAGGCTCTTTCCCCCCCCCCCCCCCAGAAGGAAACTCACAATGTGGACAGCGAGCCACAGGTACTGCTCATCGCCGAGTTTTCTACGCCGTGAAAAGTTTCGTTATTTCCACATTAAAGGAAAGCAAATTTTGATTTGCATCTCGAGCACGTTTCTCAGGTTTCGGTCTCGCTGAAAAAAAAAAAAAAAAAAAAAAAAAAAAAAAAAAAAACGAAATAATTTTATTGCTATTTTTTATTGCTATTACTATTAATCAAACGGTTATAAAATAACGACCCGAATGGATTTGTTAGGGTGGAAGGCTAAACCGCATAGAGGGAGGGTGGGGAAACTGCTTAGATCTGGACCTGTAAGGAGCTGAAATCTAAGATTTAGATTCCCTGATAACGAACAGGTAGGTTGGGGCACAAATTCAAACAAAGATGTCAAAAACTTCTAAGCTATTCTTCCCAAATTCTGTATTCCAGTGAGACTGATCAACCTCGCAGTATTTCAGCTTACTGTAAAAATCCCCTTAAACCAGCCGAGGTGGTTCTTAACTGAAGTTATTTGGAAGAGATTACAGCCACCTCGATCCAAAATGTCACCGCCCGAATCCAAAGCTAAAAGTAAGCCTGAGCCCAGCTCGGGATCAGGGCTGTGAGGCCGGTGTCAGAAGTGTTTTTTTGGGGGCAGAGGAGATGTGTCCAACCGGATCCCAGAACTGCTCCTTCCTCACAGCATGAGCAGAGGCGTTTTGTGCTGCAGCGGTCAGAGATCCGTGTAGCTAAACACACCAGGTACCAACAGAAGCACCCCCCCAGACAATACATGCGTTTTGTTCACGCAGCTGTGGCATTTCTTCCAAACACCTCAACCTCTACACGCACCCGGACCAAGGGTAAAAGCAGGGTAGGTCACGGGGCTGCCCAGCACTACTACAAGCGAGCCACCGAATTTAAACACCCGTCAGAAACATTAGAAATCAGAGCCATGACAGACCTGTCACACAACCTGCTTCCTCGCCCCGTTTGTAACATAACGAGAAACCTGCGGTGTTGGCGTACAGAGACTGCAGGAGCTGCCTCTCACGTGGTTTAAGTGGTCAGAGGTTAATATCAGCAAAGATGCAAGTTTTCTCTGGCAATATAATATGTTAACAAAATAACCAACTTCCAGGGAGATTAAACCTATTTTCTAGACCAGACAGGGACCTCGGAGCTGCAAAACATCCTTAGCACAGGGAAAAGGGGCAGCAAGTTCAGGAGGGTTTATGCGTACACCAACAACTCCCACATTAGGCAAACAATTCTCCTACGTTTTTATTTCCAGTATCAGGCACTCGATATAATGTCCATAAACATCTCTCAGGCTGTGTTAGTGTCAAATGCACTGCTTATCCCTGAGTCTGCAAGCAGAGCTGATTAATACCCATTTATCTGACTGATGTACACATTCACATCTAACTATTGGTTTCTTCAGCAGTTGTTAAATTTTGCCTGATGTGCACAGCACACTGATATAGGAGGAGACTGTGCCAGCCCCAGACACAAGCAAGGGAGCTGCAGCAGCAGCTTGGGTTGCCATTCCCAATTGCTGTTCCCCCAAGTGACCGCTCTCAGCGCCAGGTCTCTGTATGGGACTGCACACCACTTTCCAGGGAAGCTTGTAGCTCACGCACGTCCAAAATTTCAGCTCTGCAGGATTTTTGTTTTTCTTTTTTTTTTTTTTTTCTTTTTGTACCCTCCCCAGTCTTGGCCAGTTGAAAAGTGCACCCACTCCGGTGGCAGTGTTCACTGAAACAGGATTTCAGCTATTAATTAGTTAATCCACGTGAAGTCTGTAGCTATATCTGTATTCCTAAGTGTGCTAACTCAGTGTGAAGACAATTCACTCTTTCTTCATTTGCAAAAGGTATCTTACACAAAGCATAATGCACGGCAAGCTACTTTGGGACTTAAGCCTTGACAACAAAGCTGAATCCCTGTGAACGGTGATTTGAGCTACAAAAGAAGAGCACTAAGGTAAGAAGCAACAGTATTTCCATATGCACCTGTAATTTGCCAAATTTTAATAATGTCTTTTGTAGTGCAAGAAAAAGTAATTTTGTTTTGTTTTGTTTCTGAATTATGGACCCAGACAGGAATTCACTTCTCAGAGTAAGATGCTCTTTTGGATTCTCAGCCCGCATTACTATTACACAGCCTGATTTGCAAAAGATATTTTTGGAAAAAAATCAGATTCTGTTGCCTCAACGCAGGCAAAAATAGAACCCCAACCACCAGTCACTTTTGGAAATTCAGGTCATCGATCTAACTTCCAGTGATGCGTGCTTCAGTACCCACTGCTGGTGGCTCCCTTTTTATTATTTGTCTTTGTGGTACATTTCTAGTGAGGGTAGAGGACAGTAACTGCATCCCTTTTTGCATGACAAAGGAACACCAAAGTGGCTCTGTATGCAGGCCTTTTGACCAATCCAGCTAGATAATCAAGGTTTTTATTCCTGCCATGCATTTACAAAACGCTCAAGTGTTTTTCTATCAAGCCTGACTCTCATGAGATGATATCTGCTGGTAGGTAAATTAACACTGTGTGATTACTTGCTACCTGTGGGCTAGTGATGCTGAAAGCAATATAATTTCTTCCCTGTGGTCACAGCGTTTATCAGAGACACCTTAAAATGAGAGAGCAGAAATAAAAAGTCCTACGCTTTAGCACCGATGGTGCTCGGTGCGTGTTAAGAACATAATGGTGCTTTAAAAAATTGAATTGGAAATCGAAAGAAGTTGCAATGCGGTGGTGACCGTGCTAGGACATCCCCTTACATCTGAAGGGGCAGAAGCTCCACTCTGCCCCTGGGGCTGTGTCACATCGAGCCTTATCCCCTGCAGTGAGCCTGTGAGCACTCAGCTGAGAAATCCCAGGTAGGACAGAGAGGAGCATTTCCCAGGACTGAACTGCTGAACACCGTGTGTCAGCCACCCAGCTGCAGTGTCGGTGAGCTGAACTCTGCCCTTGTACCCGCTCTGCTCTGCCCCCTCGGACTGGCACCACCGCTGCCCAGCAGCACACTGCAGATCACCATCAGCATAGCATTTAATCTGACCTCCCAGTCCGGAGTCCCGCGTGCTTCCCGTCCGCTGCAGGAACAGAGGGCTGCCACGAGACAAAATTTCAGATCTATTGGCACGAGTGGAAACTACAGCAATCTCTCAGCATTCATGCAGCCCGTGCACTCGCAGAGGTCAAACAATTCCTGGGAAAGCTTCAGGTCTTCATTTACTTTCCTGGTGCTCCCATGTACTGGCTGCAGCAGCTCCTGCCACAGGCCGTGCAACTCAGTTACATAGCAAAAAAAAAAAAAAAAAAGAGTACAAGAAAAAACAAAACAAACCAGCTTGTATTTCCCATGGCTTTCCCCCATGGTGCTGTGGCATACCCTGCCTTCTCTGCTTTCCCCCCGCGTGCCCCAGAGCACTGTTTTTCTGCTAGATGTGTGGACGGCGTAACTGATGCATACCCCTCCAGCTGCGTATCTCCACGTACTTCTTGAACGACCAGAAAAGTGTTCTGCCTAAAATAATTACAACAACAAAACACCACCAGTGACACGGTTTTTCTCGTTTCTGTATTTTACTTTTTTTTTTTTTTTTTCTCAAACTGAAACTTGAGCAAAGTTTGGCTTTGGACAAGCGATCTGTACACTCAGAGGAACTCAAAATACAAACATAATACTGGGATTCGAGAGATGTACACAATGCATGATTTTTTTTTCTGACTGGTACTGTGATGTGGATCCAGACAAACGCTCCTGAAACCAGTGGAGTTTCCCAAAATTTGCATAAGTACAGAGAAGGATTTGGCATGTGGTCAGACTGTCCATTTTAATTTGGCTCTGAAATATTTTGAAATGTATGGGTAGGAACCTGATACGTAATATGACTGTTCAATTGTAAATAAGCCTGAAAATCCTGTTTAGGCCTGTGATCTTCAACTTTTTGTAATGTGCAAACCTCTAAACAATGTAAAGTTGACCCTCGCATAAGAAATTTAAGGTTCTGGTGATTGATTTGCTTTTCTTACTTACCTTTTGCAGATCTTTTAGAAGTAGTCCACGGATCCCAGCTGAAACCATTGGTTTAGACAAAATGGCAAATACTGTTTACAGAGAAAAAAGGCAAAAATGGAGCTATGATATGGAAAGAAAAGAGAAAGATGGAGTATGGATTTCTTACTGTAAGCAGTATTTAAGGGCCCAGCTACGTAACAGCTCCTGTTGTGACTGCAGCTCCTGTAAACACGGCCGGGTCGGCGTGAGCCCGCTCGGACACCCCTGGCAGCACGTCCATCGCACCCGGAGAGCCCCCAGGAGTCAGGCAGAGCAGGAACGAGCTCCAGCTGAGCTCCCCGAGCCCTGCCAGGCAGCTGCAGCGTGTTTACAGGAGATGGAGTTAGAGCAGGCCAGCCTGAGCTGCTGGACGTGGGCTCACCTGACTGCGCACAGAGGCCGGCACACACGCTGCGTTTGCAGAAGCACGAGCAGGCAAATCGTAACTTGGTGCATATGATGTACACACGTACATATTCGAGAGATTTATTTTTCTTAGAAAACATCGCCGCTGTTTATGTCCATTGATTTACATATATTTATTCTTACTACAGTATCATTTATAATAATACTTTCACTTCTATAGCACCTCCTCGTCAAGGTTCTCCAATTGCGTAAAAACTTTAATAAATAAAGCCTCACATCTTGCCTGTGAGGTAGGTCAACGCTATTATCAAACTTTACAGATGCATTAACTGAAAACAGAGAGGTTAAGGCCAAAATTTTCAAATGCTTGTACCTGAAGTCAACCATCTAAATTCTCATTTAGATGCTTAAATAAAAGTCTCGTGGTTTTCTTTGGTGCAGAACATCCACAACTACTGCTGAAGTCAACAGGGGCTAATAGTCAGGCCTGATTTTAGGAGGCGTACCTTCTACACAGCCACCAGACACCTCCAAGTCTGAAAACACCGGTCTAAATACACAACCCACGGTCAGAGCCAGAATTGATCCCAGTGATTTATCTCCTCAGGGCCTTTTTATTATTAAATATAACTTTAAAAGGCTGGTGTGGATCTGGTAAATAAACGTGACACAAAAATCATATACTATTTCCACAAACTATGTCCATCATAGCAAAGGCTGTATAAATACCGCTTTTTCTTTTTTTTTTTTTTGAGGGGGAGAGGGGTCCACAGACTTGTGATAAGTAAGACTATGCACAGCACACATCACTTGTGCAGTCATAAAACACATCACACATCTTCACTTGCTGTCTTTACATGTCTACAGAGTAAATTCCTTTGCACTTGTGATAAATAGAAGTGGTCAAGTAAAGGTCTATTGAGAGGATACTTGTCAGAATTCATGCAGACAGCTTGCAAAATACACATACTAAAAGATCACTTTTGAAATTCTTGAATTGTTAAGCACGAAAATAATTACCTCATTCCAATACAGTACTGTGTAGAAATGTGGAATAAGCAGCAGCATCTTATTCCCCACGTAATAGATTATAACAACTAATTAAGTTAAAAAAATTCAGGCACCAAATGAATTATCCTGCAACACAGAATAGTACCTATATAGAGTGCTCTCCTTAATATACTACAAAATCAGTTGTATGGCAATATTTTTCATTTCATAGTGCGAGCGTCTCCCCGCGCTTCCCATACATCTCTGGCGTGCCAACCGCACAAAGCAAGAGCATTTTCTACTGGCCTTCACAGCAACTCGTAATACAGAAGAGAAACTTTCCACGAGGGGAAAAAACACGGCCCCGTGACAGCCACCTTGGCGGAAGGTAAGGGCTGGAAGGTAATGCCTTACGCTGCTGCATCCCACCTTTAGAGCGACGCCGAACGTCCGTGTTTTAATGTGGGTTTCTCTCGCTGTATCAAACCGAAATCAAGGGGCCAGTGGATAAGGGAAACGTGGTTCTCTGCCACAGGAGCCTCCCAGCTCCGCGTTACAGCTCCCTTACTTAAACCGTCTGCCGTAAACCGTTTCAAAGTGTGCAACGCAGCGCTTCAGCCTCCCACATTACATGAGGACTTCAGGGAATTAAATAATAAAGCTTATTTTAAGCAACCAACAGAGGGCCCGGCGGCCTTCCACTAAAATCCGAACGCGACCGTGCGCGGGGCGCCCGGGCTCAGCCTGGCCGAGCCCAAGCGCCCCTGGCCCGGCTCCCCCGGCCGCTTCGCAGCCCGGTGCGGGGACAGGCGGCGGCAGCAGCAGCCCTGCAGCCGAGCATCTTCCAGCTGGGGGCAACAGGCAGCCGGCGGCGCTCCGGCCCGCGGGAGCCGGGCGGCTACGAGTCGGTCCTGCGGGCCGCCCCCCTGCCCCGCGGGGCGCCGTCGGACGCGGCCCCGGCGGCGTTGGCGGCCGCCGCCTCGGGCCGGTACTTGAGCCAGCAGATGAGCCAGGTGACGACGACGGAGAAGAGCGCCAGGATGCTGGCGACCGACAGGCAGATGGGGCCCACGGGCGACGGCGAGGCCGAGGCGGCGGCGGCGGGCTCGGAGCCGTACTGGTTGACGAAGATGAGGCCGGTGAAGAGCAGCACCACCATGGCGAGGAAGGAGACGACGACGCACACGCAGCCGGCGCTCAGCGCCGCCCGCTTGCAGCTCTGGCAGCTCTCGCAGCCGCCAACGCCGCCCGAGGAGCGCGGCCCGGCCCGGCCGGGGGCGGCGGGCGGCGGGGCCGGGGCGGGGGCCGGGGCGGCCGCCGGCTCCCGGGCGCGGTGCGGGCGGCGGGGCGGCAGCGGGGGCAGGCGGTCCTGGGGCAGCGGGTCGCGGGCCCGCAGCTGCGGCGGGCAGGCGGCGGCCAGCTTGGTGTTGACGGGCAGGCCGTGGACGCGGTGCTCGGGCAGCGCCGTGCGGTGGCGGCACAGCGGGCAGGCGAGGGAGCCCCCGGCACCGCCACCGCCACCGCCACCGGCACCGGCACCCGCCCGCCCCGCCGGTCCCTGCTCGGCGGCGGCCGGGGGCTGCTGGGCGGCCCGCAGGTGCAGCTGGCTCAGGCACTCCTGGCAGAAGGTGTGCAGGCACTCCAGCAGCTTGGGCGCCCGCCGCTCCAGGTCGAAGTAGTTGTAGCAGATCTTGCACTCGTAGTCCTCGTAGCTGGGGGGGGCGGCCGCCCCCCCAGCCGCCGCCGCCGCCGCTTCATCCTCCTGCCGCCCGCCGCGCCCGCCGCCGCCGCCGCCCTTCTTCTGCGCCGGCTCGGCCATAACATGTCGCCGGGGGGGCCCGGAGAGCCGCGGAATAGCGGGGGAGCCCCCGGCGGGCGGGCGGGCGGGCGGCAGCCGCCGCCTCCTGGCCGCGCCCGCGGGCTGCGGAGAGCCCGGTGCGGGTGGGCGAGGGGCGGGGAGGGGCGGGCGGGGCCGCGCCGGGGCCGCGCTGCCGCCGGGGGCCGCGGGGGGGCGGCCGGAGCGCGCTGCCCGCCCCCGGGGCCGCCCCCGGCTGCAGCCTGCAGCAAAGGGTTTAATGGGGTCCAGGTACGCCGGCGGTGGTGCCGCTCCGGACTGCCTCGCCTTTGGTGTTCCGAGGTTTGTTATCGGAGCCGGATCTGCCTCCAGGTCAGCCGAAACCCCGCCTAGTGAGGGTAGGAAAGGCAGCACTGGGAAAGCTTCCTGGAACTCAGGCGTGGAAAACACACAGGGTAAATGGCAAAGCTGAGCGTAACTGAAAAATAAAAGTGCTAGAGGTGAAATTAGGATGAGCTTTACCTTTTTTTTTTTTTTTTTTTTTGATAAAACTTAAGAATGAGAAAAACTTATTTTTTTGTCGCAGGAACTAACGCCATCACACCCAAGCAAGGTTATCGTGTGGCACGAGGTCCTAGAGAAGACTTAATGGAAAGTGGAAGCAGGATGGAGAATTGTGACAGAATTGCCCCCGTCCCAGCTACCGCTGTTGTCTGCAGAAGGATGCAGCTCATATTTACCCGCTGGGATGGCCAGTGGTTCCTGTGCTGCCTGTCCTGACCCTATGGCACAACCAAACGCCGTCCCGTTTTCTGTTATTTTTCCTCAGAGCGGGTTGCTGCTGCCTGGTTGCGCAAGGTGTGCAGCCAGCGCAAGGAGAAACACTGGTGGCTGTGGTCAGGAGAGGAAACGAGGCTGGGACCACAGCGGCTGTGATTTACGTACCCTTACCTCGCTGTGGAACAAAACCACTAATGATTTCAGCCCTCCCATCAGCCCAGTGCCATGCCACCTGCGTATCAGGACAGCACAGTCCAGAGCAAGGCTTCTGTGCGAGCTGCCTGCCCACATCTGCCAGCAGCCTTCCCAGTGAGGGCGCGCAGCTTTGGTGGGCAGGCTGCAGATCCCACAGACGTGGGCTCCATCACCCGTGTCCCCAGGGTGCCTGGCCTCCATCCCGGCTGGATTCTTCCCTTGTCCAGGCCCATCGTTCTCTCCAGGTGGAGGAACTGGACAACGAGTATGGGTAAACGTTTCCATAGGCCTTTCATTAAAGGTCTTGTGGGCCGGAATCAAAGAGAGCAGAAATGTCTCCAGATTTTGGAAGAGTTACTGCAGTTCTCAAGGTCCAGTTGTACCCTCTCCTTTAGTTGCTTAAATTGCAATTAGCATGTGTCTTCTGGACCGTCAGCTTGGAGGGCCCGTTCTTTAATGGAAAAGTTGTATTGGTTATTGTAAAAAAAAAACAAAACTGAACTGCAGCTGAGCCGATTCTGAGGGCTGACTTTTGGCTGAACCAGTTTCTGCGCCTTTGGATGTTATTCAGCAGAGGTTGTGTTATGAGTTCTGAGCAGAAGTGGCAAACAAGCCTTATGAAATACACATTTTTCCACTTAAAATCATCATCCCGCAGCTGGTAAGAATTGATTTTTTAGCATTTTAAATATTGTGCCTGATTTACCCAGTGCAGCATGCCAGTTCTGTGCCGGTGTAAGCCTTGATCCCAGAGGAGTTGTAGCAGTGAGAAGTGAACTCACTGATGAGCCAAGCCCCAGATGTCGCAGAAGAATCCTCACGTTGGTCACAAGGAGCGTCCTGGCATGCATCTCTCACTTAGCAATAGAGCTTTGTTTAGCTGTTTTAATTCTTCAGAATTTCTGTGTTACTGTACAACAAGTACGTTTAATGAAACTTGACATCTTGCTTTTTATTTGTAGGTAGGAAGGACGTTACCTCTGATGCGTTCATAAGACAGGAGTGGATCGGATGCCAGCCCACTCAAGGTAAAAATGCTGCGAATCCCTTTTTGATGCCCATGTTTTCCATACATTTCAACAATGAAGTGGCTTGTATAGGACTGATGCAAAGATCACTGAAGTCGCACAGCTCTTTGTTAAGTCCTTGTGGTTTAATTTGGCATCGTGGTTGACAACAGAAGCTTTTTGCCAATATTTTAAGATCAAGAGTGTTTTACTTTTATAAAAGTCTGCTTATTGTATGAGTTTCTAGAGTGCATTATGTAACTAAGGCTGGAGCACGTTTGGTAAATATTTAGAAGAGAACTGTCTTGCTTTTCATCCTTGTGCTCAAATTCATTTACCCAGGTTTCCTCCTCCAGCCCCATTTCCACTCACCTCTCAGGGGCAGCAAAAGCTGCACATTACATTTATGCCCTCAAATTGGATTGTGGGATGCTGTAACATCATCTTCTGATTTCTTCACGTTAACATTTTATTTCATATAATGTATTTCTGAATAATTTATAATTAAAGTGCTTTTTTTTACCTTTTCTGTCCTGGAACTACTTGAGCAGCTATTGCATGCGTGGTTTATTGCATTCAGTACAGAAGGGAATGTTAATTTCCAATAGTATTTGTGTGCCATTTTGGGGAGCTGAGAGAGGAAAGAGAAAGGATTATGGTTATGAGCAATTCCACAGCAGAGCAACGTGTGTTGTTCTCTTAATGCATACGGTATGAATGATACAGAGGTAAATGGAAGCGCAGGTACCATATTTGACACCCCTCTCCTCTCCAAAACCCTCTTTGTTGTGTTGTAGTTGCTAAATAGGGTCCTGTGTTGGTTGCCTCAAGCAACGAGGAATGTGTGAAAGAGCCCAGATTTTCTGAAAGTGAAGCTGCCTCTTCCTGCAAAGTGAGAAAGGCCAGGAGCTGACATTGTGTCTCCTTTGCGAGCCCTGACAAAACTCTGGTGCGTTTGCAATAAAAGGGTGAGGGATGTGGGCTTCCAGCTGGGAACGAACACATCAGACACCATTTCTGACTATCCCCACCCGTATGCTTTCCACATCCCTGTGTTTTCTGCGTGTCACAAACAGGCCACCGCATGGTGAGGTTTGATTAAGACAAGATGAAGAAGCATTTAAAAGTAGCGGGGGTATGTCCATTAGTGCAATATCCTTCTCAAGTAGCCCAGGTTGAACGGCAGCAAGGATCATCACTAAACTGGGAGACCAGAGGAGACTGGGCATTTGGGGCTGAGGCACATCATGCCTCACCTAGCACCCTGGGGCTTGTGTTAGCTACAGCTTAGGGCTCTCCTGGCCACGTTAAAGCACCCACATTTGAAAATACTGCTAAAACGAATAATTACCACTAATAGTGGGTAGTGTAATTACTGAATAGCAGCACGGCTACTTGCTGTTGGGCAGGGACTTCCTGCTACCCAAATTGTCCTTGCGTTCTACTGAGACAGAAAAGCTATTTCTGTGCGGAACCACTTAAAAAGATTATGTAGCGCTTTGGGAACTTTATTTGCAGTACACAATACCGATTTCAGTTACAGCACATCATTGGCATTGAGTTGAAGTAAGGATGGTTATCTTCAAAATAAAGTCCCCATCCAGTCAAGTTGTTAAGCATTTTCTCATCAGCTTCAAAGGGGACAAATTTTTATCCTTAGTAATGACAGGGACACATTTTTTTTAACACAGCTTGGAAAAAAATGCTATTGCCCAGACCACAATATTATGTATATGTGCTTAAATCAATTTTATTCAGAATGAGAAACAGATGAAGGATTTGGAGATTTTTGCATTCATACTATTGCATCAGTTCAGATAATAAAATTGTGTATTCTTTTTTGTTTTGAGCTGAAGCAAGCACATAGGAGTTTCTTATTTGTTTTTTTAGACAAACTTTAACATCTCACAGGAAATACCAGATTTAAAATTCACATGATGTGAACCTAAAACTGGATCTATTGCTATCTGGGACCTAAGGGGCCATTTCTATCAATTTCTCTGGGCTTGAGGTTCGTTTCAGTTTTCCATTGTAGATATATTCCAGGTTTATGCTCGAGAAGCTCCTTTGTTGTCAGGGGAGAAGACACTTCATAGGTTCACCCGAGCTTCATCTAAGGTCGCTGGTGAGAGGTAGCTTGCAGAGCAGCAGGAGCTCTGAGTTCCAAGTGTTAGGGATACATTAGGAACAGCCACAGACCACAACACAAAGCCTAATTTTTCTCCTGTGTACATCAGCAGCATGTTCACTGCGTGTGCTTCTGGTGCCCTTTCTCTAGGAAGGCATCGAGGGCAGAAAATGTTCAGGAAAAGCAGGGAAGAGGAGGGACTGGGAAGAGCTTCCAGGGGAAGGGTAGCAAGTGGTCTGAGACTCCACGGCCTGAGGAAGAGGCAGCTCAGAGGGATGCAATAGCGGTCTGGTTGTCTCTGCTCGACCAGCCAAGCAGCTCAGACACAGCGAATGAATCTCCGGCATTAAAAGGGCCGCAGACTGCCAAAAGGGCTGCTGCCAACTTTTAAACCGGCACCGCCAAGGGTGCCTGTAACTCTAGAGGGAAGGGGATATCTGATTTGTTCCTTGGCATACTTTTGCTGTATATTCTGTTATGCTGGCCCACTCATTTTCGTAATATTGGAAAGGAAGATGAGAAGCTTGCTTCTAATGGGTTGATTAGATATTAAATATTTTGGAACAAAAAAGGCCAGCAACTGGGATGTCTTTCTGATGGGGGTGAGAACTCAGGATGTTCGATCCGGAGAGAAAGCCCTCCAATTAGCTGAAAATGAAGTTCTAGCTGAGTCAAGAAAGAGATTCCTTTATCCCAATTTGAAATCTAAATTACTTTAATTGAGGAGTATATGGTTCCTGAGTTTTATGAGTAGGAATAATTGCAAATGAATTCAATTGCAAATTTTTTTTTTTTGGTACACAATTGTTTTTCCCACAAAAATGTGGACTAAATTTGTACTCCCACTAGTGAGTGCCAATCTGGAAAAATTCCACTGAGTTCATTGCAGCTACCCTACTTGCACCTTCCTTTGTGAGTACAGAATCAGGCTCTGCGTGCATAATTTTTCCACTTTTAGACCTGAGGGAATATAATCGGGAGCCAGGCTGAGGTCCTATTCCAGATCGAGTCTTTCATATGCAGATTATAAAATCACTGAAAAACAAGCTTGGTTTGGCAGTTACTTTAAAAGAGACCTTGGGTGATTTTATCAACAGCAGAAGATGCAATTCGTTCTTCATGCTAGGAATCACCGTATATCTCATTCTGGGAGATGGGATCTGTACTGACTTTTTCACGGTAAGGGAAGAATACCGTATTTGGGAGATTTCTTAGGGCCACTTCAGGTCTCTGGAAGTTCTTCTGCCCTCAGAAACCTCGTCCCATAATCTCAGAGACATGTTTTTACACAATTTATTTAGATCAATATTTTTGTTTTATTTATTTCGATAGTCTTGTCTCATGTCTCTGACTGTCTGAAGCTTCAAATGAGATTTCAGAAGCTCATCCAAAGTTTCTATATTAATTCTATTAGAAGCACAGACTTTGAGTTAGCAGTGTGGGTCAGGTTTGTAGATGCCAAGGCAGGAAAGCACACAAGGATTGCATCTTTGCTCAGCTCTTGCACTGCTAGAGACCTCATAACCATGAAGGAGGGGAGTTAAAACACGATTTTCTCTTCAGCCAGTGCGAGGAAAGCTGCTGACCAGATGGATGATCCATGAGGGATGTGAACAATGGTAGTTAAATGCTCAGGAGTTGCTACCATTGTCTTTCAAAAGAATGTGTATTCCCCAAATGAGAACAAGTAAATAGAGATAACTATTTACTGGGCATGCATGTCTTCTGTAAAACAATGAGGGAATGGCTGAAGTCTTGTTCTCAGATTATTTTGTGGGTCAGGAACGTAAAGCAGCGCCTTACGAGTCCTAAGGTCCAGCGTGCCAGATACAGCTCTGGGTACTCAGGAACACTAAAGGCTTAACCCAGCTACACCACAACTCTCCCCTGCAGAAATATACTGACAATACCTTTGGTGGTATTTTGATGCATCTCAACAGCAAAGCATCTGCGCTAAGAGTGAGGCATGGGAGAAAATCATTTCTGTGGTGAGTTACGTGGGGTGATGGAGCTGCCCAGGCCAGCTGCCTCCTCAGTGCTGTCCCCACGGAGAGGCCAGTGAGGGCATGAGAGCCCCATATTTCTGTCTCTCCTTTGGGTCCCTTTTCCTTCCTCCCTTCTCCAGTCTGAGGACGTTACACCCTGCTTCAGAAGGTGCCTGATGCTCAGGAAACACACAGGTTTGTGCCGTGGTTTATGCTTCTTGCAGTGCTTGGGCCAGGCCTGCCTGACACAGGCAGTAAAAGTCCTGCTCTGGGATGGTGCAGATCGCCTTAACGTCACCCGAAACAAAGGCAAACGCTGTCAGACTGCCTAATGGCTGTTTCTATCCACTATCCCATAAAAGATGTACATATATATCCCTCTTGGTGTACTGCCAGTCAATCAGCGTTAAAAAGTTGACATATGGGTGTGGGATTTTTTGCTGTCTTTAAAATAGGAGCAATGACATTAAGGTTTGTCATGTAAATAGTAGAAATAAAGCAAAAAACCCAAGAGCTATTTATGGTTTTAGGATGGCATCTGCAGGGTGGGTGGCAGTAGAATGAAAAGCAGAGAATCTCAAGGCTCTCTGTAGCTGAATGAAAAGACTGAACATACATTTTTGGTGGTTTAAGAAGCGGTGGTTACCCTAGGTTCACGCACACAAGCAAAATAAAACCTATGAACTAACGTGCTGTCAGTAGAAGATTTTCAGAAGGGATTAGTGTTAGGCACTGCACATTTATAAAGCTCTAACTAAAATATGAAGATATACTTAGTTTACGACTGACTGCAAAAAATCAGGGAAGAAAATTGAGCAGAGGGAGAAAAATGAGCCAAAGTAAAAGAAATCAGTAGCCCAGACAGTCTGCAGGTTCCCTCCTTCATATAGGGTAGAAAAACGGACCAAAACATTTGCCAAAAACAGAGGTTTTGTACCACAGCAGAATGGATTCAGTTCTGATGTCCAGGTTATCGTGCAGTGGCAATGCCCAGCTCCGTGCCGCATACACAGAGCTTAGGGGAAAGACAGAACAGCTCCCAGCCTGTTGCATTCCTAACAAATGCTTGGTAGCAGTGACTCATGCCACTGATAAACACTTAGAAAACATCATGCTGCAGCTTCAGGAATGGTGGCTGAGGTTTCCTACATGTAAGGGGCCACTGAAGAGAAACTATGAAGCTGCCTGGGGGAATGGGACCTGGCTTTTAAATCCTCGGCTCTGAACAGGACAGAGAACCACGGAGCAATGTGCAGCGCACAGAGGGCTCTGGCAGTGGTCTCTGCCAGGGCAGGATAAACCAGTGCTGCACAGCACCAGTGGGTATCAATTTCTTCTCCTCTGGGAAGATGATGTGATTAACACCAACAGCTCCTTTCCTTCAGTTTTCGCTCAGTTTTGTATGTGCTGGCTGTGAGGGCATCCATCAGCAGCCAGCAGTTTAGAGAAAACATGCTCTGTTTGTGCACAGGGGCGCCAAGCAAAGCCGACCTTTTCAAGAATAATGGCTTGCTTGAAAGACAGGGAAGTTGTAAAAAGAAGGGCGTTACACCGCGTTCGGTAATAATCACTCAAGAACTGTCATGTTGTCACCATTTCTTCATCTGCTGAGTGAGAGTTTGTTCAAGATAGCGTGCTAAGAGATTTCGGGGAGCAAAACAAGCAAACAGAAAGCCTGTTTGTTCAGCTGACCTCTTTCAGCACAGACTGCCTCTCTGCAGGGCAGCTGCCCCACGAGACTGGCTGTTTTGGGGAATCCATTTGTCGTGATCTAGGAGCCCCTCCGTGCTCCAGACAGATGGCTTTATGTGGCCTCGGTGAGAGCTGCCAGGAACTCTTCCCCTGGTTTCACGTACATCGAGACAAAACTCAGCCCAGAGAGAGAGGAGTCTTCACCAGTTTAGGCCTGGGTTCTTGTTGAGACAATTTCTCCAGAGGGCTGAGATGGAATTGCGAATGAAACCAATGCAACTCTATTGATAGTCAAGGTTTTAAAGATTCCTAGGGGTTGTTAGTTATGTAAACACAGCGTTATTAAATTCCATTTTGTCATCATTTTCCCCAAACACTGAAACAGCCAAGGTGTGGGATAAGCCTACAAATAACTAGAAATGTTGAGAACACCTCCAGGAATTTCACAGTGGAGATGCATGCAATTGAAGTGTCCAAATGATATGGTGCAGAATAATTATTTAAATGACATGCTAATCATTGCTGGAAATTAGCAATACCATTTCAAGCAATGCAAATCATACGCAATTACATAGCATTATCTGGTTACTTACACTGCAAACAGAAAAGTTTATTATTCCTACCCAAAACAGCAGCAGAAGCTTCAGCACATTCTCCTTCGTGCAGCTTTTGGAGATGCTTTCATCTTTCCAAGTTCTGAAATTCACTTTTCTTTTTGAAGAAAATTCTCTAAAACTGGAAAGATGACTGTAAGGATTTAATAAGAAAATTTTATGAACATTATAAAAACAAGGGTCGGCAATTCCATTTTTTTCTGTGCCTAAACTTTCAGGAGCTGATGAGCAGTTTGGACCTTACAGGAGCGATATATTTAGCACACACACCACCGTGTGCTGCTGGAGCTTCACATTTTTGAGACCATCTGTGCAAAGACAATTGGCTGCATGTTCAGGGCACTGAAGGCTGCTGATGTATCAGAAACATGTTCCGATCTCGCCGTGCTGCTCAGCTAAGCTAACGAAGAAGGTACTTGTGTAGAAAACGCTTTTTTGGAGCCAGAAAAGCCATGCAAAACAGGCAGGCTGGAAACCCATTACATGTGTGTGGACTTCTGTTGTGCTTAATCGAGCTGGTTTTGTGTTATCCCCTCTCAAATGGAGATCAAAGCTGGGAGAGATCCAGTGGGAACAGTGCCTGTCCTGGGCTTCACATGGCAGACACACAGCCGCTCCTGCTGCTGCAGAGCAAAGCCTGCTGAAGCTTCGTGTTTCATGTTTTTTATTGACCTACGTTGCAAAAGTTGCTTTTTTTTGTTTGTTTGTTTGTTTCTTTTTTTCCTCAGAAACCTTCTTTAAATAGAATTTTATTTGAACTTCGATATGCATTAAATCAAAAGTGAAGGATTGAAGTGCTGTGAAAACCACAGTGGGGTGCTTTCTAAGGGCACACTGAACAGCACTTTGCCATCTCTGCAGCTTACTTCACAATCTTTGCTTCTTCCAGATAAACTGAGAAAGCTCCAGTTTGTTCCCCGTGAGGTTGGTGGGTGGTCGGGTCTGACATGCAGTAGAAGAGTCACCTATCCAAAATAATGTGTTCAGTAATGTGTCAACTAAATAAAAAAGAAATTGCAGGAAACTTCTAAAAAGAGTATTAAAAGTATACAGTTTTTAACAGTTTCCTTTGCAGTATGAAAAGTGAAAAATGCAAATTACTAAAAAACAGTGAAGGATGATGAAAGCGAGCTGGGCTCTGAAGTATATGGAGAAAATGACTGAGGATAAAGAAGAGATACAGGATGATGCTGGTGAAGAAAATGTGGCCAACACCTCCTTAAAGACAACGTGCCATGATGCCAATGCATCACTGGGATTTCGTTCTTCAGTGCGTGGCCAAAGGAGCCTGCAAATGGTGTGGCGGAGGCATTGCAGCCCAGTGGTGAGCAATATGGGTGCCGAGTGTGCTGGTGTCCACACCATTTCCCCCTTCGCTGTCTGCCTTGGAGAAGCACGGACGTGGCATTCGCGGGCACAAGGACCACCTGCTGCCACCTGACAGGGCTGAGGTGCTGCCCTTCAGGGTGAAGCCTGGTTGCTGGCTGCTTTTGCTCCTTCAGCCCCATTTCCTCAGCCTACGAGTCAAAACAAGACTCGTCTGACTGTCAGGACCACAAACAGGCTGGCATCTGAACGTGGAGCTGTGTTCTTACGGCAGCATTATCCTCCCCCGGTCGTGGAATTTGTGCCTAGCTCTCAGCTTTGTTGATGCTGGAGGCAAAATGATACGCTGGCATGACAGCGACACGAGTTGTTGTTAAGGAAATGCTTTCGGTGCAAGGCACTATTTTCAGCTTACTGAAAAGTTACCCTTTGTTTTCTCATCTTGCGTGCTCAGCCCAGAGGTGAATTTCCTCCCCCATGAAAATGGCGCTGAGTGCTGACCAGCTGCTGGGGTGACGTTTTGGCCCGAGATGAGGGAGTTTCACCAGTTAAAACTTTTAGCATGTTCTTTGCAGCTGGTCCTTTTACATACTCTCAGAGAGCTACATAGCTCATCCTTTGCAGTGGTCCTGCTTCCACTGCTTTTACAGAAAACTGCAATTCGAAATGCCAGAAAACCTGCATGGGGCATACAGAGAGTGGGACGGGCACTTCCTGAAGTTTTCTGTGTTTTGTTTTCTTGTTTTCACCTTTCAAGGAGCCAATTCCCGAATGTTTTTATTGGCAGTCAGAGATAATGTGAGGCAGGTCTCGGGAAAAGGGTATTAGAGCCTTGCTCTGTAAGAGGAACATCAAGAGGAATGATTCACACTCCTGCTTTGAACAGGAACAAACAAGTTGTTCCCTGAGCAGTGCCAGTGATAAAACAAGCTTCCTATAGACGTGTATTCCAAGTTACTACGAGCTTTCCACTGCAACTGTCACTTTTGTGCTCTCAGTTCTCTCACCAAACCCTCCATCATCCCCGTGGCCCTCCTTGTGATCCCACAGTCTGCCCTGCACGCATCCCTGTGTCCCTGGAAATAAGTGACCTGCATGGGGCCACCCAGTGGCCTGCACCATGTAATTTCTCTGGCTCCAGCCTTTTGTCACTGGGGCTACGCCAGGGACACGCGGGGGTAAGGCTGTGCACAGTACTGCCTCTGTGTTGGTGGAAGTAACCCGCTGCCGTCATCTAATGCCATGGGCGTCCTAAGGTGCAGCCAGGAGGATGGTAAATTCCTGCAGGTACATCCCTCCTTGGTGTTTGTGGAGGCCTCAGCGAACAGAAAATTAACCAAGAGCTGGAAATCATAGAACCACTAGGGTTGGCAAAGAGCTCCAAGATTGTCCAACTGTCCCCCTGCCACCAGTGTCACCCACTGAACCCTGTCCCCAGGCACCAGGTCCAGCCTTTCCTCAAACACCCCCAGGGACGGTGACACCACCACCTCCCTGGGCACCCCGTCCCCGTGCCGGACTGCTCTGTGAGCAGAAACATCTCCTCATTGCCGACCTGAACTCCCCTGGTGTATTTATTCCCCCAAACCCTGTGTGCACCCACCCCACCCCTGCCCACGCCCCCAGGCGGCCATTTTATGCCCTTAGCGCCAAGCCCCCTGCACCCGGTGGGCGTGGCCTGGCGCACGAAGGGGCGGGGCCACCCAACGGGGCGTGGCCTATCGGGGCGTGGCCTATCGGGGCGTGGTCCCAAAGGGGCGTGGCCTCCCGGGGCGTGTCCGGGCGCACCTGTGTGGGCGGGGCCTGGCGGGGCGGGGCCGGGCACCTGCGGCGCGGCGGCGGGCGCAGCATGGGCCGCCTGCTGCGGGCCCTGCGCGGCTCCCAGCCCGTGGCGCGCTTCCAGCGCTGCTGCGGGCTCTTCCCCGCCGGCGATGCGGGCGCAGGAGGAGGAGGAGGAGGAGGAGGAGGTGGTGGAGGAGACCCCGCCGGGGAGTCCCCGCTCCTCGCCGCCTGCAACGGGGCCGCCGCGGGACCGCCGCGCCGCCGGGGGGGCAGCGCCGGCTGCCGGCCGCACAACGGGGTGCGGGGCGCCAGGGTGAGTGCGGGGAAAGGGGAAGGGGCAGGGGACGGGGAAGGGGGGGCCGTGACTCAGCAGGGCCGGGGACGGGGGCTGGGGGAGCCCGGCCGGGATGCGCGGTGCTGCGGTCCCCGCACGGTGCCCGCCGGTGGCTGCGGGCTCAGCCCCAGCCGTGGGGAGCCCTCGGCCGGCCCTGCCCGGTGCCTGCTCAGCGCGGCTGATGGAGCGGGGCGGGCACCGGAGCCCTCCCCGGGGTAATGCACCCCCGGGAATGGGCCCTGGCAGCCCCAGCAGGGGGTTCGGGATTTCCGTCCTGGTGCAGAAAGCAAAGCTGAGCGTGGCTTCTCCTTACACCACACAGACGTCCTCCATTCTCTGTTGCTAAATGGCCTGGGGTGGCCTTGATGCATCTGGAAAAAAAAAACACAAACGCGGGGTTAGGAGCCTGCTACGAGTAGCAAAGTCCTCAGCTATGAGCTTTTATGATCAGTGACGTTTTCTTGCTCTTTGCTGTGGGCGTTTGCAGCAGGGTGCCAGAGCACCGCCCTTGTGGCTCACCCCCGGTGACCCTGGTGGCTCCGTGCTCAGCTGGGGCATCCCTTCCTGAAGCACGGGGACCCCAAAGGCGGTGTTAGTGGGACAGACGGCTTCCCTGGTGTAACATCTTCCATACTACTTCGTCTTTCTTGCAATGATACAGTAGTCTGGAAGCTCTCAGGTTCTCCTGTGTGAGCTGTTGTGCGACCAGGAGGTTGGTCATACCTGTAGAGCATGTTATTGTGTGCTGGAGTCAGGCTGCTGCCCATGGCTGGCCAGCTGCTGGGGCTGCAGCAGCACCATCCCCCCGGCACCCCCTTTTTCTCTTGGGCTCCCCATCCGAGGCGGGCTGGATGGGGGTAGGGGTGCTGAGGGTGCAGCTGGTGCTGGATTGGGAGGGGATGGAGATGCCTGGCAGGGTTGGATGCTCATGGGGGAGCCCAAGGGAGGGCAGTGAGACGGGACTTGGGGGAGAGACCTTTAATTACCCACGTTTGCTGCTGGTGGTGCTGCTCGTGGTGTAGCAGTGCCTTCTGCCAGGTATCACCTGCAGCTGATGTGTTCTCTAAGGCCTCGTGGCTGCTCTCAGCAGCACCATGGCTGGCTGTGCTCCTGGGATTCATCCCTCAGCCCCATCCACCCCAGGAGCTGCTGTGGGATGGCGAGGCAAGGAGTGACATACCTGGATGTAAAGTGTTTCTTAAGCATTGGATCTGCTGCTTAGTCCATGCTCTGTGTTCCCTGCCAGATCAGTTAGAACCCTCCCCTTTTTCTTTTTGCTTTTTTTTTTTTTAAAAAAAAAACTTCAAGTGAAAACACTGATATCTGAGGATAATTCATGGTGTTGCTAATGCAATGTGCTATTTATGCCCTGGCTCAGGCTTAGTATTGAACCCAAGGGCTTTAATTGACGGTACTGATGGGTTTTATCATTACAGAAGACAAGACATTAACTTCTTATAGTTACAGTGTCTCTAGCTAGGACTTCTTCTGCACTCCTTTCTACCATTAGTTTGATTTACAGGGAGTCTACATCTGAAACTGGTTGGAAGGTATTTGTCCTGATTTTTTTTGTTGATGCTTTAAGTTTATATACTTGTAAGTTGTATATAAACAAGTACTAACTTTCCAAAGACTTCTTCAGTGTTTCAGTGAATAACTAAAAAAATGCTTCGTGCATTTGAAAAGCAGAGCGCTGCTTATCTGTAGGCTCCTGATGGAAGCTCCGTCCTGAAGCTGATATCCTGAATTAAAGGCAACAGAGGGGGAAAAAAATCTTATTTCAAATTTTCTGCAGCACTTTACTTGTTTCTTCTCCCCATTTCCTTTTCCGAGATGCTTTATCATCTCCTGCAATCTCTCTTCCTGACTGTGAAGGAGCACAGTTCATATTTACTCTGCAGTTACACCTTAACTGCCAGGACTGCTCGGGGCGGTGTGGTGTTTGCAGGCTGCCTGCTCGCCGTTACCGATCGCACGGCTCTGCCTCGTGCATGGGGACTGATGGCAGGGAGGCGAGGGTAAGGGCAAGGGAAAAGGTGGATAAAAACACGCTTCCATTTGGAGGTGTGGGTACTTGCTGGCAGCACGCAGGTGGGGTGCCTGGCAGCCTGACGCAGACTTGTCCTGGAGCTTTAGGGTCTCTCTGCAGTGTTCCTTTGCAACATCTGAGATTTGTTTGAAGGTTCCTCTGGAACCACTGAGGTTCATCTCCCACTGAGGGATGTTTGTCTGTAAGTGCAAGAGGCTTTCAGGAGATGACTGGGACTCCCTTTTGGCGCTGGCATACAGCCCCGTCCCAGACGGGATGGCTGGAGAGCTGTGTCAAAGCCTGGCACGTGCCATTTGTGACCAGCACTCAGTGACCTGGCAGATCTTGCTCCAGAAGCACCCAATGCTAATAAATATTTGTGAAATTTCACTCGCTGATGGCAGTAGGGATCATGCGTAGCTGTATGGTGCTGTTAGGGCTGCTGCTGCTGCTGTGGGGGTCCAGGAGGGGCTGTGGTGGTGCTGGGACCGGGCGCTTCGTGACTCAGCACAGCCTGAGTCATCCCTTTGGAGGCTGCTGGACCTCGTAATGAGAAGCTGCCAGGATCCTGGGATTAATTCCCCTGCTTGGAGGCAAGCCACTTGCTGCTTTATAATTCTGCTGAATGTCTCAGGCCATTAGTTCAGCTATCAAGCAGAAGAGTAGGAGTTCATCTCTTGTCATTTTCCTCCTCTTTATCTCTGGAGTCTGGGGCAGGTTCCGTGGGCAAGGGGCCAGAGGAAATCTCTTCTCCTGGAAAATTCCTTTGGACAGCCAGTTCTTATGTTACCTCCTGTGCGTGTTGTATGGGAAGCACTTACAGGTCATCTGGGCAGTGGAAGGGGACTATTGCCTGATATAGCCTTGCACGCAAGTACATCTGAGGCCTTAAATGTCTGCACGGTGTTGTCTAAAGTGAGAGAAACTTCATCACATTTACTTATTTTTTTAATAAGACTCTTCAGGTTCCTGCTTCATGGGGCTCCGTATCCCTTCCATGTAGTTGGCACCTGTAACTTATTTTTTCCAAGGTAAACAGCTACTGGTCTAGATCTAGAGGTACACAAATGCTTTCATGCAGGGTTATGTTGCTAATTTATTACCATTTTACTACTACATTAGTCAACATGTATTGCTGGATGAAGAAGATGTTTCATCTGTCCTTTTGGAAGCAAGTGGCAGCGCAACGTCCTGCTGCGGAGCTCCTCGAGCCTGGCAGCACAGGTGCCCACGGGGCAATGCCACGGCTCCAGCAGCACCCCGTGTCTGTCCCTTTTGCAGCTAGTTAGACCCGATGGGGTCTGTGTGCATGTGGAGGGCATGCAGGTGCCTCACTTCGCAGGAGAACTTGGTGTCAGGCACCGAAGCTGTGCCACAGGAGAGCAAAGACCAGGCTGCCGGGTGCTACAGGAGAGGAGCCCCCGGGGGAGCAGAAGGGACATGACCCCATGGGGTCAGTGCTGGGGTGATCCTGGCTGCTCCGTGCCTCTCCAGATAGACTTCTGCTGTGGAAACAGTCTTCGGCTGGGTCCATCGTGCTGCTGGGTGGGACGAAGGGGCTCATTTTGGGAGCAGCGCTGTGGGGCTGCCCCTTCTCTCCCAGACACCCCAGCCCGGGTGTCCGGCAGCTGTGGCAGTGCTGGGACGGCTCCGACTCGGGTCACCTTGGCAGGGAGTCGAGCAGGAGGCGGTGGTGTCAGCTCCCATCCAGAGCTGCTGCTGCTGGTACTCAGCCTGTGGAGTACAAAACGCCGCTGAGTTGTGGAGGAGTTTCTTGATCTGCTTTGAGGCTGGAATCCCCGTCCTCTTGAGCAGTCGGTAATTTGTCTTCTTGGGTTCTTTCCTCTCTCCGCAGGTACTCCTGCAGCTATCTAACTCCTGAAACATCTTCCTCTACCACTTTGAGGCGTAGGCTCCGTGGTGTACCTCATGAAATTGCAGTGTAATTCTGGAGAATTAAAATGCAATTACACAAACCTGTTCTCCCACTGCAAATCAGGGAGGAAGGGCAGCCTTTTCCTTCTGTCCTTCCTTCTCCTGCCTCTTTTGTGCCCTGTTCCTTCCTCTTTTTGCACAAGCCAGTCCTCCTGGAGTAAGGAAGATGCTGAAGCCCTTGGGAAGCTCTCCCACTGCCTCCGTCAGGGTTCCTGGAGCAGCTCACATCCAACCTGCGTGACCTCTGGCGGGGACAGCAGGGCTGGTGGCTTGCTGAGAGGATGGAGGAGCTGAACTGAGCCTTCCCAGTGCTTGTGGATAAGCAGCTGCTATGCATTAGCAGTGCTGGTGCTGTGCACCTTCCTTGGCAGGAGGCTGCTGGTGATGCCACTTGTCAGTGGTTAAAACCAGAAGCTGAAGAGCTGGAAGCCTGAGGAGTTCCTCGGGCAGCTAGAGTAGTGATGAGAGGGACAAGGTCCCACAGAGCATACAAGGGAGAGTGAGGGTGCTGCCCGAGTGATGTTAGGAGAAAAGGAATGCAATTGTGGCACCAGGACACCGCTGTGTGGGGCAGATCGGATGAGTATGATTATTAACGATATCTAGGAATCCCAAGTGTAGGAGCTGGTAGGAATTGGGGTGTCAGCTCTCCAGGCATCTGCTAAGGAAGGGATTTATGAAGTCAAGTGGCTTGAGAGTTGTTGGAGTGCCACAGGGAACCTCTTTGGACAGAAAGCAATGAGTACGGAGGCTCTTCAGGAGAGGTTTCTTAGCCTCGTGGGAGGAACCAGCTGGAAATGTGAGTGTGGGGGCTGCTGCTGGAGAAATGGAGTTAGGAGGAGCTGGAGGACAAGAACAGAAATCAATGTCATCAAGTTGAAGGTCGGGTTGAGAACTGACTGCTATGCAATGCCTTCTGATCCAGGGGGTATCATAAATATGAGATGGCCTGCAGCAAGCAGCGGAGCCTCCGTCGCTGGTGTCGGTGAGGACAGGTTAGAGCCTGCTGTCAGTGATGTGAGTGCAATCTGTCCGTCCTGGGTGGACAGACAGACAGGGCTTCTGCTCGTGCCTTGCAGGAAGCAGTGGGTGTCCTCCAGCTGGCTGCAGGCACTGTCCTCCACGAGAGATCTGCCTAGTTGGCAGCCACTGCCTTATGTCTCTGAGAGACTTCAGGTTTTTTCTTTTTAATTAAGCAAGCTTTCTTTTAGGACGATGATTCTTCTTCCTTCATCAATTCTTCCTATTAATTGCTAAGCAAGTCCTCTCAGCTCTCATCTCACCATATTCCGTGCTATATTCAAACAACCCAGCAGATTGTTACGTCTATTTGTGCCCTCTCGGTGAAGGAAGGAGGCCTAATTATGTTGCTTCCAGAACAATGTACAGAAATATATAATTAAGCCTGCCTCCCAAGCACTAATCAGGGCGGAAAGGAAAAGCATCTGAAGATAAAAGAGCTGAGGTGTCTTCCCTTCTGTGTCCTGGGCCTGTGCTGGCCATGCTGGTGATGACGTGTGTGCCTCCATCCTTTGGGGATGAAGGGGGAAGGTGGGATCAAGGCGTGCTGATGGAAGTCGTGATGAGAGCTGCGAGAGACAGCAGCTGGGGAGCTGCTAAGGCACCTTGCTGAGAGCTTTGCATAATGGCTTTTTGATTTTTCTTTTTATTTTTTGGTGCTTGGGATGAATTAAGCTGCTGAAATGCTACCAGAACTCCCCCTGACTTCCAGACTGCTGCTTTGTCTGAAAGCATTGAAAGCGCCGGAGCTGGCTGGAAGCTCTCCCACTGTCACCTCTTGCATCTGCACTAAATGATGATTCAATAAACGATGATTCAAGGCTATCCCTAATAATTATGCCATCAGTGCATGCCCCTATAAATACATGCACAGCGGCTGCAGGCTGGGTGATGCCTATCTGCGCACTAACCGACGGGGCAGACGAGCCATTTCTGGGAACTTTGTCGCATTTAAAGAGGGTTTTCTCCTGCTTGGCTTTTCTCCACCCCATGGCCTCTCAGGTTTCAGTTAGCCGCAGGTCTCTCTCCAAGGACAAGGACACTGCACAAACCTGGGCAGCTCTCGTGCCCTGGCTGCATCACGTTCTGGAGAGGGGGAATCACAACCTAATTAGAAGTGCCTGGGCAGAGCAGGGAGCTGCACACTCATGGGTTTGGTTAGGTGAGATTTGTCAAGTCTTGGGGCTTCTTATGTGCATTTTGTAGGCTGTGTGCCACTGCTCTCCCCTCTCCTATCTTTCCAACATCTCTGCAGTTATTTCCATGCTTCTATTCCTCACGTTACCGCTGGTGCTGTGCCCTCCAACCCATCCCTGAGAGAGGCTTATGGTGCTGCAGCCATGCAGGGCCCCTTCCTGGGGACACGGCCCCCTTGTCCTGCCACCATCCCACCTTGGGGTAGCGAGTTTCCAGGCTGGTGTTGTATTTCCCCCCAGTGTTACCCCCCAGATTTATGCTCTGTGCCATACTGCACTGCAGGACCAAGCTGTCTGGTTTCTACTGTCTGCACGTACAGCAGGCGCTTTTTTCTGGGGCTTTTTTCATGTGCCTTGTCTTCAGCAGCTTCTCTAGACTTTGTGACTTTTTATAGTGTAAAAAATCCCCAAAGTGAGAAGAATCGCGATGCATTCAGTAGGGTCTCTGGAGGAGAAATTCCCAACCTTCTGCCAAGTTCCTGTTGCAAGTGAAGTCATGTAGCGACTTCAAGAACCTTAATTAATCGTGCTCATCTCCTGAAAGATCCCAGGAAGCCAAGAGCTGGTACCAAAACGTTGGTTAATGGTGTCTCTGGGTCAGGCTCTGAGCCCTAGGGCTGGTCCCTGGAGATGGGGCAGAAAAGCCAGTGCCTGTTCAGCTCTTACACGGGAGATCCTACAGGACTGGGAAGAGGGGTGGGTGGTATCTTTGCACCGCTTCTTTCCCACCGTCAGTGTGCGGAGATGGGCAAGTTGGGCAGAGCTGTAATAGCTCCTGTGTGAATATTTTGGGCAGGGGCTTCATTCAGGGAGACTTGCACACTCACGCGCATCGCTTATAGTTTGAGCAGCTGATTTTGTTCCAAGTAGATGAGAAGGGTCATTTGTTTGAAATTATCTGTCTCCCGTGTCTGGGAATGCTGCGGCTTGTTGTCCTTTTCTTCTGAAATGTTCTTAAAATTCTGGCTTTGCCTACAGCCTTAATTACTGCCCATTAAAAGCTCTCTGCTTCTGACCGAGTAGTGACGGGGACGGACGGAGGGGCTGACTCACTGCGGGTGCTCCGAGGTTACGGGAGGCCGCGAGTCACGGCAGTCTATGAGGCACAAACTCCTCTGCTAAAACTCAGTCGTGTAAAAATGTGGGCTGAGAAAATCTCTGAGCGTTGGGAGATGCTAAACCTTCACCCAAATTCACACGCTCTGGGAAAGGCAGCGATATTCCCTTCTGTCAGGAAAAAAGGGACGTGGGGAGTAAGCGTTAGCTGAGGGTTTGTGGGCTGCTGTCCGGAGGTACAAGGAGCAGGCTTGGTGGGCTTTCCATAATTACGACCTTAGGATCATGAGGATTGTGAACTTTCATTGCCACACACTGAAAGCAAGCGGAGCTATTCCGAGATGCCTTTCGCACCTGTCCTCTGGCTGCTGCCGTCACCTCTCACGGCTGTGGGCTTTGTCTCGCGCCTCGTTCAGAACTGCTGGTGTGTTATTAAAAAAAAACAAAACTGTTTAAACAAGTCAAACTAGCAAGTGGGAGATGACTTGTGATGGAGGAGAAGAGAGAAAAAGAAAGGCTTCTAAAAAGCAGTGTGGAAGGATTTGGCCCTGCCTTCTGCCACCAAGTATTTTTAGCTCCGATTTCTTTTAGAACCTGAATAATTATACAATTGCTTTTTTTTCCCCCCTACAAAACAGATTATTGTAATTAGGAAGTTTTATCCCTCACCCCATGAGGTTTCAAGCAGAAAAGAATTACCGTGGGGACGTGTCTGCTCATCTCTTATCTAAAGCCCGTAATTCCTGGGGCGCTGGGGACGGCCGCCTGATGGAGGAATTAACGGCGCTGGCAGAAAGCGTTCTTCAGGGACCCACAGATATGACCAGAGATGGTTTAATGATCTCAGGCAGGAGCATCGCAGCTAATTGCACCGGGGGTGTTTTCTCACTGGTGTGTGAGGCTCGAGACGTTTCAGCTGAGAGCTCCGTCGCTGGATTTCCTGAGAGCGGTGCCGGTAACTGAGCTGCCACCTCCAGCACTAATGCACGGGGGAATGCTCCCGCAACCCAAGCGCTTCAGAAGTGTTGACTCATCTTTTCTCTTTATTGATGCAAAAATCAATTTAATATATTTTTTTTTCCTGCAGTAGGTGAATGAATGCAGTCTTTTTCCATCCTGCTTCGGTGGTTTTTAGGCAGTTCGCCTCGTCTCCGTACTGAAGGCAGATGAAGGGACTCAAACGTCTAATTGCTCTCAAAATGAGTCACAATTGGATGTCTAGACTTCCTAGACAATTCTTATGCTTTCGCACTGTCATGTAGGATGAGGCTTTCTCTCTGGTGGATTAGGCTCACAATCAGCTCCAAGCATGATAGCTTTCCTCTGAGCTTTAGGAGTTTACGTCAAAGCTCTTTTACCTAGGGAGTCTCTGAAACCTTTGTGTTCCCTTTGCAGCCCTAATCTGTAGGATGCTCTTTCAGCCCCTGTTTACCCAGCCAAATCCCATGCATGTCTTTTTTCTTAGGAGAGATGAAGAGAGTTTGGCTCTCTTGCCTCCCGAATCCTCTTCGTGTATAGCTTTTGCCTCCCAAATCCTCTTCATACACATGGTCCCCTTTTCTCCAGAAGCATACAGGTGTTTGCATACAACCTGGCTGCATGCTGCAGCTGCTGCAGCAGGACCATAGCAGGCTGCTTGGTGATGTCCCAGTCCCAGATATCATCATCAGCAAACCCTCGTGTCCTCTGTGCCACATGCAGCTCCGTGTGGCTTTCCAGCTCCGGCGGGCTGCCTGCCACTCAGAAGAGAGAAAAGTAAAATTTCCAGGCCTGTTGAAGTAAATTTGTCTGACTTAATGAGGCACAATTTAAAAGAAGCAGTCCAGTGATTCCATTTCACTCATTTCATCTCAAAACACTCTTCCAGCAAAAGCAGTGGTGGCTCTTTTTAACTGCAGATGTCGAAACTTGGAAATAAAAGCATCAGTGCCCTTTTATTAAATGTAGATAATTTCCCTGGAGCAAGGATTGATCTGATCTCTGGAAAACCTTCGTAGATGTGACTGCTGCCCTTAATTAGTCCTAATGGATTTCTGATCTCTGCTAAGTGTAATTGAGTTGTTACAATGGTCTTTGAGTACAAAAATTTAATTTTTTCTTGACATTTGTTCTAACAAATTATTTAGTTTAAGGGTTGGGAACCATTACAGTGAAATTCCTTGGATGTTTGATATAGTTTTCTAACTCATTAAACATTTCTAAAATCCTGTTGTTTGCAGGGCTGTCCACAGAAATATGTTGTGAAGAACTACTTCTACTACTACTTATTCAAGTTTTCAGCTGCTCTGGGTGAAGAGATCTTTTATATCACTTTCCTTCCATTTACCTACTGGAACATCGATCACTCTGTGTCCAGAAGGATGATAATCATCTGGTCTGTAAGTATTTAAATCACTTAAGCACATACTTAATTCCATACCTGTAGCAAAAGGGTATTTAAGAGTAAGAATAACCTTTCAAACAAACAAAACCTCTTCAAACAAACAGAAGAACCCAACATTATTTATGTGGTTCAATGTCTTCAGCCTTGCTAGGGTGAAAGCTTGAACATGGACGTGGCAGTATCTTTGACTACTGCTCCCCTCCTCATACCTGGGGTGCTACTTGCAGTGTTGTCCATCAGAAATACTGAAGCATTCTCAAATCAGCAGGCTTCAGCATTGCTTCAGCCTTCCTAAATGCAGTGTATGGGATCCAGAGTAATGGGCTTCTCTTTTGGCTCTGAAAACCAGTGGGTTAACAGGCACTTTATTCTATACAGGAATGTCTGTTCTGTCACTGCCACTGCCCATCTTGATATTTATTACATCTTTGCCCAAATAAGATTGTTTCAGACCAAAGAAGGGAGGTAAGAAGCATCTCTGGTAGATGATGGACCCTGGAGATCTGTTTGTCAGTCTACACTGATTTGAGAAATTGAAACTTGATAAAAACTTGGATACGATACTTAGCTTTTTTCATTACAACAATGCTTCTCCTTGACTTAGTCAATTCTGGTTAATAATATCCTGTCTTTTGTCCAAATAACATGATTAGAACTAATAAAAACTTGAATTGGGTCATACATTTAAAATGCATCCAGTCTTGGATGGAAGGCATCAGTTCTTCTGTGCCAGTAACCCTAGTCAATAATTTTTTATAAAGAGAACAGGAAAAATAACTTGCAGATGAAATTCAGAAGTAGGTGGACACTGTGTAATTAGAGCTGGGTTTTGGCCAGGAGTACACCTACTGCTTCTGGAAGTGTGCCACAGAATGATAATTGGTAGTCACTGCCTTCTGGCTTTGCATATTGCTCAAAAGTGACTCCTCCAAGCTGCCTGTGTGCCTCTGAAGACTTGCCTTGCCTTTACCTGGCAAGGAGGCTACCTGATTACTGGCCAGATCTAGCCTGGCGTAATTAGAGTACACAACCGTCTGATGTTATGGCTATCAACATTATTTCCCAGTTACCAAGGGAGTTGTGGGGCTGCCTTTTTATACTGAAAAGGGGAAGCTGTTTTACATACACAGACTTTGGACAATTTGTAGCTTTAGAAACATTTTAATTATATTAAGTATGAAAGGGTTTGAAGTATTGTTGGACTTGGCATTAATGTTATGGCAAGCTCAGCTGGATGGCTTGTTTGCTTTTGAGCAGGGATGGGTTCATGGTGCTGTGAGGGGTCTGGGTCGGTCCGAGACAGCTCGCTAACACGTGCTACGGCAGGATCGGGATCTGAACACACTTCTGTTCCTGTGCAGATGGTGATGGGATGCGAACAGCCACTGAGGAAAATAAAGGTAGCCCAGCGGTGTCTAACAGCAGCTGCTAGCAGAGCAGGGAAGGCAGCCGGGAAGAAAGCTGTGCGTGCTGAGCACGGGGCAGGCACACCGAGGCTGCTGTCCGACGGCACGGAGCAGCTGGAGCGCAAATTGAATTGAAAAAAGAATTGGGGTCCCGGGTTGAACCGGGGGGATTCTTCCCTTAAAAGTTAGAAGTATTAATGCTGTTTCCAAGGCCTACACGACATCTTATCTGCGATAGTTTCTGCAGAGCCAGTCACCCACGTTCGAGAAGGATAAATTCCAGCTGGAGCAGGGCCAGGGATGGCTAGGGAACAGGCTATTTTCTGAGCAGAGGCTGAAAGCTGAGATGAGCCCCTAAGCAAATGAAGCCGGGGAGAGAAGGATGCTGGCTGGGAACGCCAGGGGAGGGAAGGAGCTGCTTGAAATAAAAACAGTCACAAGAGCAGACGTGTGCAAGGTAGTCGTGAATAATCTACATCAAAGCTGGAAGCTTTGAAACACAAGGGCCAGGCTCGTAGCTGCAGGAGGGCAGTAAGGAGGGTCGTGCAAAGTGCATCTCAGCAGCAGGTGAGGCTGCCCTTGGTACCTTGGTTGCCTTCTCCAGTCCTAGGCCCTCAAAACCAGCTGCTCGTGTCGGTTCAGTGGGGTGGCTGTGGGAAATACGGGCTGCGGTCACATCCAGCTGTTCTGGGGTCTTAAACCACGTGTGATGCTTCCACGGTGCCCTTCCTCTGGGGACTCATAGCACGTCCGTGGGCTTTGCCTTTTTCTTCATGGACAGACGAGTGAAATACCTGCCTGGTGTCTGAGAGCGAGGTGCGGGGCTGGTGCTGCAGGCATCCCGACGTCTGCGCGTCCCTTCCTCAGCCCTTTGAAGGGGACACTCCTCAACCTGCACAAAGGTGGCTTTGATGCTTTGTGCTCCTGCTTCAGCCAGGAAATCTGGAGGTGGAAAGCAGCTTCAAATAAAACAGCTCTCGGGCATGCTTTAAGCTTGCCGCATCTCAGCTTAAAAGGTGGAAGCTCACTTGAGTACTTTTTTTCTTCGGAGTGCGTGAATGTGAAGTGTCCCCACACCTCTTTTAAGCCCACGGAGCTGCAGTTTGCATGATATAAGTAACAACCAATTGTACAATATAAAGAACCGCCCAGCGTGGACTTTGGGGCGGGTGGGGAGCTGCAGGTGTGCCGGGGCGATAAGCGAGCGGCCAGGTGCCTGCGGCTGTGGGTCTGGGGACATCACAGCCTGCTGGGGTGCTGGGGCTCCCCAGCCTGTCCATCCTCACCCTGCATGGCTCTCAGGGGGTGCACAGAGCTCCCCGAGGGGCACCCTCCTGCTGCAGCCTCATCTGCCAGCCCAGGCTGCAGCTGCTGAGCGCAGGGGCTGCGGGCGGCGCCGGCTGGGTGCTTGGCTCAGTGCCTCTGCCTTGAATCAAAGTCACGCCTGCCTTGACAGCCCTGGAAAGGAGCTGGCGCTTCCAGGATGCGGTCTTTGCCTCTGCTTGGCTAATCTGCTGCAAAGGCCAGTTTATTATTAGTGCATCCTCATTTTTTTCCCCCCTCTCCACGGTGTTCCTGATGTGTTCTGTCGCTCCTATCAGCACACAGTGAGTATGAGGGAAAACAAAAGGGACATCACTTTCAAGCTGTAAGTTTCCTTCCTGGGAAGGTGACAAATCCCTCTGCAGTCCGTCCAGGGTTTCCAGAGCCAGATCACTGAGTTGCTGTTTCAGAGCTGAAACCGGTGGGTCCCGAGCAGGCTGGCACGGCAGGAGCTGCCGATGCCATTTGGCCCCGCACCTCTAGAATTTCATCCCCTTAGCAGATCGAGAGCAGGGCCAGGAGAGCTGCAAAACAGTGAGTTTAAAACAGATGTGTTCTGGTGCACCCTTGGCAGACCAGGTACCGGAGAGCGAAAGGAGGAACCAGCCCAACTGCTCCAGGGAGCCTCCCTGCGCCGAGGCCGGGGTGGAGGCCAGGGCCTGGCACGGGAGGAGGACATGCCCCGCTCCCCACCCACACCTCCTGCCAAAAGGCTCAGGTGGGAATGCGTGCCTGGAGAGGGACTGTGTGTGACTGGGAGCAGGGAAGTCACAGGAAAAGGACCCAGAGGCTGCCGTGCTGCTATAGCAGCTCCTGGTTGCGTTTGTGGGGTGAAATGTGAGGCTGCTGACCCACGGCAGCAACTGAGCCTTGCCCTGCCCTCAGCGGGGAAGGACTTTGCCTGGTGGGCAGCATGGCACGGGGACAGCCCTGTTTGTGTTGCTTCTGGTGCTGCAGGACAGCCCCAGAGAGGGGGACAGCAAGGAAGAAGTCTTTCCCCAAGTGCTTCTTGTCTCAGCCAGCTTCCTGCGCGTCCCCCCCTAGCTATCCGCAGTTAATCACGTCCTGCGCCGTCCATCTCAGTGTTGACTTTGTTGCTTCAGTAATGGAAAAGTCTCCAGGTTCAAACTTCCCCATTCAAAAGCAGAGGTACTTTTTAATATGCAAATTAAAATTATTTACGCTGAAGATGCCTGCAAATGGTTTTCCACCAGCACGGCAGAAAATCGCTCTGGTCTGGGGCTGGTGCTGGGTGAAACACAGCTGGTACCAGAGCTGTGGAGCAGCACCAGGAGCCACGGCATGAGACAGGAGGTGGACACAAATGTCAGTGATGGAAGGAAGAAGCAAACAGAACAGTAGGGCATAAAGAGATGACTTGCTTCAAGGTTCCTTTTCTTGTCCCTGGCCTCCAACAGATCAAATGATGCCTGTTAGGGTGTTTAGGTTTGGAAATGCATACCCATGCTGGTGGTCGGGTGCTGCAGGGCCAAGCCTTGACCCACTGTCCTCTCTTGGTCCACAGCCACTGTAAGTGTGTGGTTTGTCTCCTGTGGGGTAGGCTGGGAGCTGCAGCAAAGCTCCCCAGTCCTCTGATCCCGGCTTTGTGACCTAAATGATCCTGAGTTACTGAGGGTCTGAGGCTGGGGTAATTTCTACCCATATTAAAACTGTTCTGGGCCACCAAGGGTGTCTGGTGTTGTGCAAACAAGTAATTCAAGTCAAGTCCTGTGGGGGAAGCTTAGCTCTGTGTTCATCTCCAGCCTGTCTCCATGCTCACCTCTCCATCTCCCTTCTTCTTTCCAGTGCCCCAATGTTTATGATTTGAGGGTTTGTTACAGGGCCTTTCTCGTCTGCTGTGTTGGAAAAAGCTGCTGCAGGCTGCTTGCTTTCTTTCCTGGGGCTGCTGGAGAATAAATCCAGAATGACAGAGAAATAAGGTCAGGAACTAGTGAAGTGTGGCGTAAGAGAGCACAGCGCTTAAAGGAGACGGATGCTTTCTGTCCTCAGCAGATGGGAGCTGCCTGGAGCACAGCTCAGATGCTCCCTGCTGTGAGCCCGTGCTGGTGTGACCCCCACAAGGCAGTGGCTGTCCCCATGGTGTCCCCACACCTTGTGGGGCTCCCCAGTGCAGGACGTTGCACGTGAAGCCCTGTGCCCAGGGGAGCTGAAGGTGAGGGTCTGGCACTGCAGAGAGCAGCCTGAGCATGCTGGGCTCCCCCCGCTGCCCTGCCGAGGCTGTCTCACCTCTCCCTGCCGTATGTGGCCACACAACATGTTTTTAAAAAATATATAAGGGCCAGGAGTTATCCTGCAATGAACGGAAGAAACATGTTGGGAGAACACCTGGTGTTTTTGCTTACCTGTACCCCCGCCAGCAGCCGGCGTGTTTGTGGCTCTCAGGAGCCCGAGTACAGCCCTCATTTCCAAGGTGACTCACTTCCCTTTCGGTAATACATTGGTGTGTTAGGGCTAATAATACTTCTACGAGTGGAAGTCATTAGAGAGGACTGCTGATAAACTGGCTTGTCCGACCTTGCCTCTGAGGTGGTATCACACCTGGTAGCCTCAGAGCTTTATCCGCTGCTGCAGAGTGCTGCTGCTTTCAGCCCTGGCATTTGGTTATCGTGCAAAGAGCAGAGGCTGCCGGGGCTGGCTGGGTGTAAGGGAGTCCCCTCGGTGTGTCCTTTGCTGTAGGGAGGATGAAGGAATGTGGCACTTCATTCTTTTTTCTGGGTCTGCTTTGTGAACCCTCAATCCCACCATTCTGCTCTTAAGGTGAAAGTATTTTTTAAGTGGCTGGTGGGAGAGAGGGATGCAGTGCAGCTGGTGGCGAGCAGGGCAGTGGATGGGCGTGCTGCTAGCCACGTGCCAGAACAGCACAGCCTGGGAAGGATGGTATTTTAAGAGCTCTCCTTTCCTAGTGGAAGTGCAAGGAGCAGAGCAGTGAGCTGTCTCGTGCAGCAGCTTTCATGACAGGTGTCAATTACCCTGATCTGTGTGCTAAAAAAGAAGTTTTGAGCTGCAGAGCTTGCTTTGCACGTATCTGGGTGTACTATCCGGGGAGGGGTGGGGGTACCAGAAAGCAAATGCCTTCCTTTTAGTTCATGTCCTTGTTGTGCTGCCTCTTGCGCCTGTTCCCAGCATAAAATCCCTTTGGGATCTCGCAGCACTCACTCGTGCAGGTGACGTCTCAGGTGCCTCTGTGCCGCAGGACAGGAGTTAAAACGGACGTGTTGGGGACTTACACCTGGCTAGTGTGGGACAGGAGCCAGCTCTCCTCGCACTGTGCTGCTGCAGTGACTCGTCAGCGAGCCCTGCTCGTGGTCCCAGCTGTGATCGGGTTACAGGGCTGCATAGCAAACAGCTGCTGCCTTCGCTGACCAGGATAATGGAAAATCCTTTAATAATTCACAGGATGAGCTCTGCTCTTGGGGCGGTGGATTTTGCAGCAGAAAAGCTCAGATAGCCATGGTTCTGGGGTGGGCAGGGTGGAAATTCCCTGTGCGGGCTGACAGCCTGTGGCGTTTCCTCTCCCCAGATCGTGATGTACATAGGGCAGGTCTCCAAGGACATCCTGAAGTGGCCTCGTCCCCTCTCGCCACCTGTCGTGAAGCTGGAGGTGCGGACGGATGCGGAGTACGGGATGCCTTCCACCCACGCCATGGCAGCTACTGCCATCTCCTTCTCCTTTCTCATTGCAACCATGAACCAGTACAAGGTAAGGGCTAAAAAATGTTAAAAACAAACAAACAAACAAAAAAACCAAACATAAACAGCAACAAAAACCAAGCCTGCTAGTCTCCTTCCAGCAAACTGCAGAAAACTCCACAAATCCCAAGCTGCTGCCACTTCCAGAGGAGCTCTGTTCATTTCCACTGCTGCACACTTCTCCCTGGGATCTGTAGCTGGCCGATAATGGATACGAGAATAATTTGTGTGGCAGTCTCCCTGCTTTAGCACAAACCCAGCTCAGAGATGCACTGCGGTTTGGAGGCTGTCACCTTCCTGGTGACACTGAGGGGACTGTATGTCACCTGTTCTTGTCTGATGCAAGGAGAAGCATCCTTGGAAATGCCCTGACTATCGCTTGTGTTAGGCTAACAGTGCATAACACAATTTAAAAGCCTGTTTATTGCAGAAGTAGCATCAGTTTCACTGCACTGCTGCTGTAGGCTGCTTGGGGCGATCCTATAATTATTATTTTTCCCAAACCTTCAACCTTTCATCTTCCTGTAAGCTTTTTCCTGGAAAACCATTGCTCTGTGACGGTCATTTCAATGTCATTTTATGAACACTAACAGGCATTTCCTGTATTTTAGCAGTAATAACTTCCTGGCTGCATCATCTTTAAGCATGGTTCTTGTTCTCCTCAAGCATGTTTCAAAGATAAACCCCTATAATCAGTCCACAGGACTCATGGCCTGGCTGGAAGATCCTCTGGGGTTCCTCGGAGGCTGTGCTGCCAGCTCCCTGCTGGCTGTGCTGCCCTCCAGATGCAGACGTGGGGCTGCTCGCAGGGGCTGAGCCTCCTGGTATAAAAGCAGCACGTCTCCTCTGTCTGTCGGGGTGCAATACATCACCCCTGCCCGTGGTACTGTGTGCAGGGTCTGCCAAAAAGACCTGGGCAGCACTGCTTTCTGCTCCTTGCTTGATAAGCTTGGAGTGGGGCTCGCAGCTCTTCACAGGCTGCCTTGTGCTTGTTGGAAACTGCCGTGAAACAAACAAAGCTGCTGCAAAATAATTAAATGGTTTAATTGCCTCCATTAAGAAGCACAGATCTCCCTGTGCCTTACAGCGCTGTCTCCCAGAGCTGCCCTCCATCAGTTACTGGCCTGGGCCAGCTCCCAGGCTGCAGGGGGAGCAAAGTGGGCATAAATACGCTGGGGGCTTGGAGGAGTGAGGCAGAAATAGCACTGCATGAACTGGGGGGGCACCTGCAGCGGGGCCGAGCTGTCTGCACCGGGGCACGACCGAGGGAAGGCTCGGCAGGAGCTGGTGTGCCCAGCGGTGCTGCGGGAGCTGTTCTGCACTCACCTGCAGCCAGCCTGGCCAGGCGCCGGGCTCTGGGGAGGAGGAGGAGGCTGGGTTACATTGGGTGAATGCATCTCACTTTCTAAATTTTTTTAATCCTCCAGAAAACTGCCCTTTAGAGAGTGAAATGAACCCACTGGGCTTGTTTTCAGTGGAGGCCTGAAACGGGATTTGAATGAGTGGAGTGAAGGGCTGATGTGTTCAGCTTATTCTTTATCTAATGTGATTTTTTACAGAAAGAATGATGATTTATTTCAACGCTTCTCCCCATGCTAGCAGCCAGCCCAGAGAGGGAATTATGTAAAAGCAGCTTTGTAAGGGGCCCGATTAAACCTTAAACGCCGGAGGGAAGAGCGGCCCTGATGGCTCTAGCAGCTGGATGGCAGCTTCAGCCCAGCCATCGATCTCCCCGGCCCCGCTGCCGCAGCGTGATCAATCTCTGGGCAGACAGCGTGGCTCTCGGCTCCCCTCGGGCCATGAGGCAGCAGCGAGACCTCAGGGATCGCCCCCAGGACGCGCTGCCCCTCTCCTCTGGAGGCCCACAGCGCTAAGGCCTCGCGCCAGGTGGATGTCGAGGGGCAAAACCCTGCGGGTGCCACCTATTTCCCAGGCCTGCCCCTGCTAGGGTCTCGTCTCAGCTCACACGGGTCTCTGGACAGCTTCAGTGTGTGAGGCCGCAGGCTGTTTGATTTCCCAGCCCTGTGGACGCGGGTAATGTCCTAACGTGTGCGCTTCTCCTTCTCTCCGCAGTACCCCTTCGAGCTCGGCCTGATGGCGGCGTTCGTCTTCTCCACGCTGGTGTGCCTCAGCAGGCTGTACACGGGGATGCACACCGTGCTGGTGAGCCGCGCTGCCCCAACCCTGCCCTCCCTTCCCTCACCCCGTGCACGGCGCAGCCCTGGCCCTGTGGGATGGGGGGCTCGCCTCGCCCGTGCCACTGCGGGAGTTTGTGAGCTGTGCCTTCAGAGGCAGCCACGGGGAAACCCAGGAGCTGGATGAGCCCTGCTCAGCCTGCAGCCTCCTGTGGCAGCTGGAGATGCGCTGCTTGTTGGCCGCATGTGAAGAAATAGTGCGGGTTTTTTTATAACTAATAGTGATGCTATAATAAGGCAGATAGATGAGTGTAAGAAAGAGAGCCCTTTGTGTGATGGTTGTCTATAAAATATAGCCTGACCTCCCTGCCCAGGCCTACTGGATCAAAACAGGATCTTAAAGCTGATCTGGAGCCATCCTTTCTTCACCAGTGACCTTAAGTCAATCAGGGAGAATTCTTGGCATATTTCCCTTGCTGTTCCACGATAATGAAAGACTCCTCTAAATATAGATGGATTTTTAGGGTAAAGAAGAAAAAGTCCTTTGTGCCTCTGACACTATTAAAAAGGGCTTTAAAATTAAGGGGGGGTGGGAGGGAAAGCTCCTTCGTGTCACCGTGAGAAATGCTGCCTTTCCGAGGGCCGAGCATCCTTCACCAGGGGCTTCTCTGTGCAGGGAGCTGGGGCAGCGCTGGGCAAGCCGCATGAACTCAGCCTCGCACCATGCATCGGCCACAGGTGCTTCTGGAGGGAGGATTGGGGCTCGGGGCCGTGCCCCAGCTGTAGGGACAGCACCCCATACCCGCTGCTGGTGGTGCTGCCTCCTGGCTTCTTAACCGAGCTCCTCCCAGAAGGGAATACCGAAGGGTATAATTAAGCAGTCGTAATGTTTTAGTAAAGCAAACGAAGAGGTAAAACGTATCCATGTGGAGCGTAGCTGGGTTTTCCCATGTAAGGACCCAGAGCACTGAGGGTAAGGCGGTTCTCCTGCGCTCCGCTGTGGCTCAGGCTTGTGCTGTGGGGCAGCCCCAGCCCTAAAACGAGCCTGTGTCAGCACTGCTGGCGGGGCTGCTGGGCCGGGGGGCCTCAAAGAGCACAGCCTCACTCGGAAAGGGGTCACCACTAAAAGCCCTCTGTGGATGCACTCAGTGGGGTGAGGGCTGTCCGTGTTGCTGTATTCACACCAGAAGGAATATGATGAGTAGAGGAAAGGGAAAAAGCACCAGTGGCCTCAGCTGTTACCAGGAGCTTCTGCCTTGGAAAGGGATGGAAGTGACACAGTTGCCTTGTTCAGAGAGAATTTAATTGCAAAACCTGCCTCTGCTGCCTGAGAGCATTCCCCGTTTGCAGGAAGCAGAGGAGAGGCAGGGTCCGTCTCTTCCTTGTGCGCCTCCAGTTATGGGGCCTGAGGAGGTGAAAAGTGGGAATGGGAGTTACCTGGAAAGGGAGAAGCAAAAATCTGGGTGCACTTTGAAGCAGACAATCTGTGATTTTACTGAGATTATTTTTGAGGAAAAAAAAAGCAATGGGAGAAATGAGGACTGGGGTTTGGTGGTGGTGGGTTGTCTTTGTTATGTTTTCCCCCAGACAACTGTGTTTTGGAAATGTATCTATGTATTTCCTCTCCCTCTTAAAACCATGGCCTGGTTTTTGATCCCTATCTCAGTGGGACAAACAGAGTTTGGTCTCACCGCTGCCAGGGCATGTTGGAGTCATCCGATGTAGGAACATCAGAGTGATGGTGTTCTCCTTGGCACGCAGTATCCCAAATAGATAGGAGAAATCCCACAGCAGATCATGTTCATATGATCTAAGAGCAGCCCCCAAAGCAATGTGGCAGGCTTTCATCTCCCCTTTGCCCTTTGGGGCCAGCAGTGGGACCTTGTGAACGCGCCATGCCGCTGGGTTTCTCCTGGCTGCAGTGCAGACAGCGCCATGCCCGGCTTTCCCTAATGGGAAAGCAGTCATGCCCTGTGCTGGGGAAGTCAAAAGGATGCTTTTTATCACCAGAAAGAAGCCTGAAAGCTGTTTCTGTAAACACAGGTAATTGTTTTTTCCTTTTCTGAAAGCACAGGGTCAGGCTGATGCCTTTATTTTGCCCAGAGCACTGCCCTGGGGATGGGCTGCGCTGTGGTGCTCGCCCTGCTCATTTTCCATGCTGGATCTCAGGCTTTTAATAACACCATTCATCCTGAAATTATCTTTAAATATTGTAAAGCTGGTAAACAAGCAGTGGCACTTGACGTGCGCTAGCAGTGCCGTCCTCATGGGATGAGACACAAGCGAGGCATTTCAGGGTGGAAGGGGAAGCGTCGTGTCACACCGGTGCTGAATGAAGCCAGGGAGCTCAGGCAGTAAGTGGCTGCGGACAGAGCAGAACTGCTTTTTCCTTTATCATTCAGTCAAAGCGATATTTTTGAGTGCGGCTGTGTTTGGGGTGCTGGGTCGATGTTCTGGGGGCTTTTTTGGTGCTCCCCGTTCCAAGCATCAGCATCAGCTTGGTTTTAACAGGAGGCGTACAGCAGGGTCTTGCCTTCAGACAGCCAGGCCACGTGCTTTTGCAGTCCTTAAAAAAAATGAAAAATAGTGCTGTAAGGCCTGGAGAAATAAAATCAAATGGAGGAGAGGGGACAAAGAATGTGCTTCTGCCGGCACTGGACGTGTCCCCACCACAGGGAGAAGCACAGTGTGGAGATGTCAGAAAAGCAATTTTTCCTCTCAAGACATCAGGGTAATCCTTCCTCTCCCGGTCGTCCCCCTCACTGGACAGAGCAGGGGGAAGAACCATTAATCCTGCACTGCCAAATGTCATCCTACAGCCCTGGGCTGGGGCTTGGCCTTGGCACAAGCCTGTCCCCTGCGGTACTGGACCTGAGGGACAAGCGAGGTCCCATTATGGCTTCAAGCTGTGTCTGCTAAGGGCCCTCCAAAAGGAGGAGGGCCAAGCCTGTATATTCCAAGCAGTATAAACCAGTGCCCTCTGAGCTCTTTTGGTTGCGCACCCCTACCAGTAAGAGATTTTTGACCATGCACCCCAATACGTGTGTATTTATAGGTTATATACATGCGCTACTGCACTAATGCAGAGGTGACTGCGGAGGTGGAGCCTGTGGGTTTGGTTAAATACTTACAGCTGGGACAGAAAAGCAGGTGAAGAGCTGCTGAATTTCTGTCCTTCATCACACAGGGAGGAGGAATCGGGATGTCAGGACTCCTCCTTCTAGTGTAAGGTGGACAGACAGCGGGGTGGGAAGCGACCTGCACAGCACGGCAGTGGTGGGGTTTGGGGATGTCTGTGCTGGGAGCAAGCCCCAGCTCCTCTGTGTCAGTGCCGTGTGCTAGCACCAGGCCCAAGCGTGTCTTCGTGTGTAAAATCCTCATCTAAAAGTTGGTATCAGAAGATGGATTATTTTGTGAAATATTGACACCTGCTATTATTTTACATTTTAGTTATCTGTAAACAACTTGGTGTATTTCCATGGCTATCCTAACGTAATGGATGAGGAGATAAACGTAGGTGGAAATCTGTATGAGGAACTTGCAAAATGGCACTTGGAGCTGCTTAAAACCAAGTGTGCTGTGAATTCATTACTTGGTAGCTGTGAACAGCTGAAGTTGGGGTGTACCTGAGTAATGTGCTTAGCAGGAATTCATTAAATATTCCAGTTGTGAGCAAGTCCTCCCATTCCTGTGTAACCAGCAGCGAGTTCTCATCAATAATTCATGTTGCTCTGTGACCAGGCATAGAAATACTCAGCTCTCACGACCTGCTGGGGAGGGCCCAGCCTTGGGAACAGGACACGACACGGCTGTGTGGGGTTAGCTGTAGCATGGGCAGTGGGTTTCTCGGTCAGCATACAAACTCTGTTGCATCCCGAGCCATGCCTGGGGCAGCACGGTGACACTGCTCGCTCTGCTCTTTATTCACCTGCTTTCACACAGAGCTGCTGTTTTGGGCTGCCTTCCGCCCGCCTTCCCAGCACGGCAATCAAGTTCTCCAAACACCCAATTTGCCTCTGTTAATAAATCAGGTTTTAACTAGGGGCTTGCCTCAGGCACTTCAGTACCAGCCAGATTTCGGAGGCTTGGGCAAGAGCTCTCTCACGGGCTTATTCCTGCCCGCAGGTGCCCAGCTCTGGCTGGGCTGGTGGCACCCATCAGCGTCCTTCTGTTGATGCAAAGGGAGCAACAATCCAGCCGGTGTGATGGAATTACCTGTAGGATTATGAGAGGAAGGTTTGTGCTGAGGCAGCTGATTGTAACATTGTCTGTGAGATGCGCTTGGGCGTCTGCTTCTGCCGTTCAAGTGATGTACAGAGTGCCTGTAAAGCGCAACGGCAGGGGAGAGGAAGAGTCTCTCGTTCTGGGCAAAAATGGGGACCCCACTGCCAAGCCTGGGAGCAGCCGTGTTACTGCCCAAGCTGGGAACTGCTGGGTGCAGAGGGAAGGCGACTGAAGCCAGAGATGCTTTCCCCTGGTGGAGAGCTGGAGGGGAACAGAGCCACCCGCTGACAGCATGACAGCACGGGGCTGCTGGGGTGGGGGGGTGGCGAAGGGAAGGGAAGGGAAGGGAAGCATCCTGGCTGCTGTGGGCTTGGAGGCGATGGCAGGAAGCTGGTGGGGGGGTTGTGGCTGTGTGAGCCCGCACCTGAGCAGGAGGTGGTGGTGGGAAGGAGCACAAAGGGTGCTCGTCGCTTCTGCCTCGTAGCTGCTTGCAAACTCCCCCCTCGCTCCTTATCTGCGAACCTGGAGGCATCAGGTGCTGAGGTCAGGCAGTTCTGCTGCTTATGAGTGCGGGTGTTGGTGTTTGCAGTCGTCTGGGAACCCATTTGGCCTTTCACCGAGCTTTTGAACCTGATCTCTTTCCAGGACGTGATCGGTGGGGCGCTGATCTCGGCTGTGCTGCTGGTGCTCCTGTACCCTGCGTGGGACAGCATAGACCACCTGCTGCTCACCAGCCCCTTCTGCCCGCTGCTGTCCATAGCCGTGCCTCTCCTCCTGTGTTACAACTACCCCAAACTGGACTATTACAGCCCCACCAGGGCGGACACCACTACTATTCTAGGAGCCGGAGCTGGAGCTACTGTGGGGTTTTGGTTAAATCACCAGTACGCAGCACCAGCCTACAGCGGCGAAAATTTGGGGTTTCCTCTCATTACCGGTATGACGGTGGTGCTCGTGCTGGCCAGGTTCTTCACAGGGCTCTTTGTTATCCTGCTGACACGTCAGCTGATGAAGAGCGTGGTCCTCGGCACGCTGTGTTACTGCTACAAGTTCCCCATCAGTGACCTGGAAGCCCGGAGGAGGCTGGAGGTCGAAGTGCCCTATAAATTCGTGACCTACTCCTCAGTGGGCTTCACTGCCACCGTCATCGTGCCACTGTTGCATGGGCTGTTAGGATTGATTTGAGCACATTTCCCTCCTTGACAAGTAAATCGTAGCATCACCGTTTCAGGGAGAAGTTGTTCAAGGCGGGTAACTTGATCAAAAAGCATTCGTGCCTTTCTGCGCTGGCCCCAAATGCCCCTTTCTGAAGACTGAGGGGAATCTCCGACCACAAATAACTGCGATAGCGATCCCTGGTGTCACCACCCCTGTGACAGAGCCCCGTGTTCCAGATGAGGTATGTGACGAGCACCGACGGGGGGTGTGCTTGTTGCTCTTCACACCGGCTTCTGATAGCCAAGCCATTCCTGCAGGCCTGGTTTTGCCCACTGCAATCCCATTTTATTAAAAAAAAAAAAAAGGAAAGCAGAAGAAAGAAAAACCCAACCCAAAGCATGTCAAGTGACTATTAACACATCTCTCTAACGTTAACCAGCTTCCAGGGAGAGATTCTTGTGCTGTACAGCAGAGCAGAGTTACCGCAGCGGTGAGGCTCGCCTTCAGCCTGCTCGCCCTGACCTCACTGCCTGTAGGGCCGGGACGAGGCTGTCCCCATGGTGCTGGGGTTGGGGGACAGGCAGTGCCCTCAAAACACCTCACGGCTGGTCTGGGAGTGACCAGGGTACGGTGAGAGGTGGTGCTGAGCTGCCCTAGCTTGGTGGTGCTGTGCAGCATTGCCAGCGGTCTTCCACGCACCTTGCAACACCTGCATAAAGCTGTAGGATGGCATTTAGGGCTGCCGGGGCTTTCATTCTCAGGCTGCACGTTGGGAAATGTGTATCTGCTCCAGGACCCGTGAGCTGTTGGGAAATACAGCGGTGAACGCGGTCTGCTCGGCTAGGGAAGCGCAATGCTGCAAGGATGGCCGCCGCGCCTTCTCCTGCCAGTGTGTGGTAAAAGAGTTTTAACCATGTACATTTGTGTTCTTGGCTGAAAAAAAATAAATAAAATAACTTGAAGAACGTAAAGGAGGTGCTTTGCCATCCCTTGGCTGCTTGTGCAAATAGAATCAAGTTCAAAAACCATAGCTGGCAGTTTTGGCTGGCCGGCTGGAGCACTTGCAAGAGCTGCGTGGCTTTAAAATCCCAGCAGTAATCTCCAGAAGAAGCGCAGGCAGAAGCGTCAGCCAGCTGTAGATTTGCCCAGGCTGTGGCTCAACTATTTTAAAAGGGGTGTGTGGACACGTCTGTCTCCATGTGTGCATGCGAACAGCTTAAGCAAATTTTCCAGCAGGGCACGAGCGCGCTTGCACCATGTTCGAGCCACCAGAGCTGGTGGATCCCTGCTCAGGCGGGATGCTCTCGGTCTCCTCCTCGTACCCCACCGCCAGAGAGTGTCCTGGCTCTGGCCCCAAGGATGCTCTGACGCCCGCTGTGTGGGATCGGAGGCGGAGCAGCCGGGCAGGAACTGGGAGAAGGCTCCCAGTGGGTCAGGGGTGGGCCCGCGGTGGGGAGCGGGGTGGGTGCGGTGGGGACGTCTGTGCAGGTCTGTGTGTAAAACTTCACTGCTGAATCACGGCTGTCTTATGCTATTAAAATTTTATAAATGATACTTGATAAATCCAAGCACTTCCATGTTAGATACTAAATAAATATTTTTATCTTTTATAGCATTCACCTGCATGTGGTTCATGCCATACATGCAAGCTGTACTTGGTTCAAATTTTAAAATACAGATATTTTGCAAGAGTTGGTGTGGCTGTGTTCGTCTTGTCCCCTGTTCCCACTTGTAAAGGACCGGTAGAAGGGGAATTTAGAAGGGCAGTTTGATAAGGCCCCCCCCATACAACCCCTTCGTGATCTTCCAACACAACGCTCGCTCTGCTGGAGGCGGAGGGAGAGCTGTTGTGGTGCGAGGCGTTGTAAGATCTGAGGAAGAACAGAAAACCTGAGAGGACACGGTACCGGGGACCCTGGAGGGGAGTGAGGACTCCGAGGACAAAACAAGACTAAACAAGGAAGTCATTAATAGACCTAGACACTGGAAATTTGGCAAAATCCTCTTCCTTCTGTAGTTTCGCCAGATGAAAGATATCAGAATGGGTTTATTTTCCATAAATCTTGCTACTTTGCCTCACCTTCTTCCACCATGGTTTTTGTTCCAAAAAGCCAACGCTTGTCCAGGCTCCGACAGCCCCGAGCGCGGCGCTCCTGCGAAGCTTGGGTGTCGGAGCCGGAGCAGCCCTGCAGGCATCGCAGACAGCAGGGAGCAGGTTCAGTGGCCCTGAGGAGGCTTCAGATTGAACCTCGCTGCTGACCCTGCTCTTGGCGAGCAGCGCTGCTTCCCCGGCACGGAGCTGGTGTCCTGCTCGTGGAGTGCCCGGCACCGATATGAAACGCTGCGAGCCGGGAGAGCTGATCCCTGAAAGCCGTGAGGTGCCCGCCCCTGCAGCTTGAGCCCCCAGTGCCAACCTGAGCCTCACAGGACAGTAAATTGACAGGAGAATTGGGACCCCCAGAGTCAGAAACTCGTGCGTACAGAAGTATATTTAGTGCACACAAGTATGCCCGTACTCTGCTGAAATGCAAATCTGCCGTATTGTCGTCCTAATCCCCATGCATGACACACTAATAAACAGGGTTTTTTAATTCTTACCATCTGTGGCACAGATTGCTTCCCACACTGCGGGCTCGCTTGGTTACAGCGGTGTAGGCATCGGGGAGAGAGCTCCTGCACGCGGCAAGCGGGGTGATCCCTGGGGAGGCTCGGGGAGGCGGGCTGCAGCCTCCTCACTCCCCATGTGCACTCGCGTCAGTTGTGCAACGCCCGTGCTCGCATTTCACGTCTGTCACGCAGGGATCGGTACAAAACTGTGCTGCCATCTGAGGGGAGCCGCAGCGCTCCCAGCTGGGTCGCTGTTGGGCATTTCTCCCGATGCGTTGGCACTTGCACCCCGCAGCCTTGCCGGCTGCCCCCCACCTGCTGAGCCGAGTGGCGGAGCTCCCACGGAGAAGCCCGCAGGGTTGCAGAGGCAGGGCTGTGCCGGCAGCTCCCAGAGCTGTCCTCTCGCCTTGTCCTCCCCGTTGCACCTCACCTCTTCTCCCATCCTCCAGCACCCAGAGGTCTAACCCGGCCCTGCTGCCCGGCTCCGCAGTGGAGACGAGCCACACTAGGCTGGCCTCATGCAAAGCGCTTGCTGTTAGCACACAGCATCAGCGATGGCTCTAGGATTGCAAAGGAGTGATAGCCAGCTTCATGAGGAGCTGGGAAGGAGCCTGCTGCAGGCACTGAGCTGCCCACCCAGGCGGCTGCCTTGTGGCAACGCAGCCGCACCGAGCGCCGCCGTGTCAGGATGGAGCTCCCCAGCTCCCCGGGGAGCCGAGGCACAGCGCAGTGCCAGAGATCCACCTAGACGAAAATCCTGATCAGTGAGAGGTGCCCGTGTAACGTCATGGGCAAGGCTGCAAGAAAATCCAACTGCCCAAAGCTGCTTGGCCCCTGCTGTGCACCTGGGGGTAAGGAATCCACTGGGAGGGCTATGCAGGAGCAGCAGGGACCACGCTGGCTTGTACAAATGTCCCTCCGTCCAGCAAAAGCTTTGGTATTTCTCAGCTCCTCGTGCAAAAGAGCACTGGCATATGCTCTGAAATGCATTGCTCCAATTTGGTTTGGAGCTTCAAAAACCGCCAGGCTTACATCAACCATGGAAAAATTTAATTCCACCCACTCCCCCTTCTGAATTTAGAATGATAAAGGAGCAACAGTTATGTCTGGAGTAGGGAAGCAGATATTGCACACATCTTGCTTACAAAATATCTCTGGTTTTCATGAAACAAGTTTATTTTCCTCCCCCAACCATTGATGAGCACATGACAACCGTACAGAATAAAAGCTCAACTCCTTAGTTCTGCTCACATTCACTCAACATTTGCTCTAATCAATTATCTTATTTCATGCAATAAGAAAAGAATGAGATTCCTGTTATGCAGCCATAATCAGTTACAGTATGAAGCTGTGTCTGTGGAACATTTCTGATTTTGAAAACTAATCATGTGCTCTGCCATTACATTTCTCTTGTAAAACACTGGGCTTTTACCCAACCTGATACTTTATTTCCCTCCCTTAAAAACATCGGTGGCACAGTCTCATCCTTGATGCCACATCCTTATGCTGCAGAAGCCTGCCTAATTGCGCTGTAAGGAACATATTTACCCACAGAGCCAGACTTGTTTTTTTTTTTTTTAGTTTATTGAAACTTAAAAGCATAAGCGGATGTTCCCTGCAGAGAAAGACGGAGGAGCAGAGGGTGCTGCATGTGAAAGTGGACATCTGTAGGAGGACAGAAGTCTGGTCTTCACAGGAAAGGCTCAATATTGATCTCTAGGGCAGAGCACGGCATGGTGAGCTCAAATTTGGTGATAACATCAGGGTGTAGGACTCCAAGCTTCCCAACGCTCTGACCTTTGGCAAAGATCTCAGCACAGCGACCAGGGAAGAAAGCAGAGCCTGTAAAGAAAGCGAGAGAAAAATCAATATTTCTCTGGGCCAAGGAAGTCAATAGGCATTTAACATGGAGAACAAAGCGCTCAGTATTAAACAGTTCTCTGTGCTGAGATGCTAAGAATGGGCTCTCGCTTTCTTGCATTAACAGTTGTCATGATTGATAGCGAACAAGGAAACCGTTTGAGTTAAAAATAAAATGTGAAGCCTGAAGCATGGGCATTTTTCGCACTCCAGTTGTTTTGACTCAGTTACTCCTGCAGAAGGAAGCAGTGCCCATAAGTCAAGCCAGAGGGATACTGAAATGAAGAACTTTTGCAGGCTTTAGGCACTGTTTAATACCTGAATATTTCCCACCTTACTCTGTTTAAGGAAATAGTTTGCTGTCATCTAAGGGGTAAGTAGGCACGTCACGCTTGATTACACGTCACATAATTAGAAACAAACTACATTCCTCATCTGGAGAAGAGCTTTTAAGCAGCTTCACAGACACTGTAAAACTGGGGAACAATGACCTACTCTCCTAACAGCAGCTCCATTTGCATTTTTTGTCCCTGTTTCATCTGATAGCCCTTCGGAAGAGCGAGCCAAACCAAACCAGCAAGCTTCTAATGAAGCCACCTTTCACAGCAAGTGTGTCCACCTGGGAGCAGCAACAGCAAGAACTGGCACTTCTGTGAGGACAAGGGGAGGCTCCACTGCTGTGCACCCAGAGAGCTCTCCCCCCCTTCCAGCTTTGACAAATGTTTTCTTCTAAGTTCTCTGCTAACCAGGTGTGTGGTACCCACACCAACACCTCCTGATGGGACCGCCCAAGTGCTGCTACTGGCACTGCCAGAACTCAGCACAACAGCTGTAGGCAAGTGCCAGCTGCCATTTGCTCAGATTTAGTAAGATTTAGGATGTTTTAAATGCCTTTCCCTAGAGGAAAACTGCAGAATGTGTGTTCTGAGGTGGGAAACTCTACACAGAGGAAAAAAAAAATAAATCTCCCTTCTCTTTTTGTGGTTCAGCTCCAGCACGGTTTGAGTACTGCAATGCTCCAGAAGAAATTGCATTACACTAGAAAAAACGGGCTCTGTGGCCTAAGCTGAAACACGAAGCTCGTGTATATATTATATATATATATATATATATATTATTTTGTTACTTCCTTCAATTATTTTAATCCTGAAAATGAGAAGAGGGCTGGATGTCACAGAAGCCAGGCATGGCGCGGGGCCGCCAGCTAGCAGACGACACAAGGCTGCTGCAGCCCCGGCTTGCTGCTGCCCTGGTAGCAAGCTGCCTCCGCTGTGGCTTCATGGCAGTGGCCTGCACAGACAGAAGGAATTGCCAGGGAGCAGCACCAGCCCAGGACGTTTCCATGTGTTTACCAGGAGCTATTTAGAAAGGCCATAAAGGGCCAAAATTAACCTCAAACCTTGGGACCATTTTGATGGCGCTCTGCTCACTGGTGGCCAGGCCCAGAGATGCGATCTCTGCCAGCTCCCCGGTGGGAGCAGCTCACATAAGCTGTGTCTCCTGTAAGGTTTGCAGTCGTAACCTGCAGCTCCAGGAAGGCGAGCAGCAGCTGGGTCTCTTCGATGTCCAACAGGCTGCAAGCGTGAATTAACCTTGCGTGGGTGGGTACTTGGGTTTTGGCTGCCTCGTGAAGCGCGATGGCAGCAGTAAATGATCACAGGAACGTGAAGCAAAGGCTGTTTTGAAGAATATTCTGAACCTGTACATTTTAAAGCGTCCCGTTGCAACCTTAGCTGTGAGCACAAACCAACTGCTTCCACTGGACATACAAAAGTGGGATTATTTAAGGCCTGAATCCTACTGACACGTGACTTTAGCCAAACAGACACTTTCTACTGCCAAGCTGCAGTGTTCAGAATGAGCGTTAAAATAAAACTTGACGAAACAAATTTAGAAAAGAAACAAACGCCGCACATACAGATCACTCTGCAGATTGCGGGTGAAAACACAGTCTAAAAATAAAGTACCCTTGTAGTTAGTGGTAAAGGCTTTTCTATTTGAGCATAAAGCTGGTATTGTACCACGGATGTGAGCAGCATACAGTGACATTCTTTTAGAAACTTGTGTGTAAGCTTATACTGGCACAGCAGCAAGAACTAAGCATATGTTAATAATGTTGGCATGGTACCCCCCTGCAAAACTATGGGAAAAAAATGAAAAAAAGCTTTGACAATACGGTTAATTAAAATACTGAGTCTAATTTGTCTGTTCTTTTGAGCTTGTGTGTAGCCTTGGGAAAGTTGCTTTATCTTCTCGCACATCTCGTCCCAAACGTATCATGAGACTTCTCCATTTTGAAGCTTTAGATACTTGAATGGAGTCAAAAATAATACTGCACTGAATCAATCCACTGCAAAGCCAGCCGCTGTCCCTGCATCTCTGTAACAATTAGATGTGTTTTTCCTCATTACCTCCAGCACCCAGCGGGCTAGGCAGAGCCACAGGCTTCTCGCAGAGCTCAGACAAGCCAACGAAAATGAAAGAACCTGTTAAAAGCTTCAGGACCCCATCTGTCTGCCCAACACTTGGCTCTCGCACCAGAGAAACCTGAGCTGAGGAGTAGGTTTACAGATAGTTTATGGACTCTGGTTAATAATGAAACTATTACTGGGACAAGGGGCTGCTCCACGGCATGCCTCGGAGGAGATCCCTGCCTCCAGCCTGCATCCAACAAATGGGGGACCTGAAGCTCCCTGAGCCCAGGGATTCTCCCCCAGGTGCTGGATGAGGGAGGTGAGCTCACAGCTGGGGCTGGGGGGGGCGGCCCACGTGTCGCTGCCAGGCCACAACTTGGAGCAGATGTAAAGTTCAGATTAAAGATATTGATGTTGAAAGGGAAGCACGTAAAGATAAAACACAGAAGAAACAAATGTGAGCAGAAAGAGGGGAGAAAAGGAAACAGGTGTTTTGCAGGGAGGGGTGTGATTGGGGGGAAGGACCACCCAAGCCTAGAAAAGGAGAGCTGAGGTAGGGGCACCTCCCGGGCAGGGCAGGGCAGCAGCTGCAGCTGGGCCTGGCCAGTCCTTGCCACAGGACAGCGACCCACAGGAGGCATCAAAATGACCACAGAACAGAGGTAAGGATGATTTTTATTGTTTTCTGTGTTTTGGTTTGTTCTTTTGTAATACCAAGGAAATAGCAGTGGTGTTTCAGGCTCCTAGCAGAGCTTGCGTGTGTGTTGTGGCCTGGGCCGTGTTGTGGCCTGGGCCGTGTTGTGGCCTGGGCCGTGTTGTGGCCTGGGCCGTGTTGTGGCCTGGGCCGTGTTGTGGCCTGGGCCGTGTTGTGGCCTGGGCCGTGTTGTGGCCTGGGCTGTTGTGCTGACTCCTGGAGTAAGGTACAAACCTGAGTGAGAGGCTGTAGGAAAGGCAGGGGCTCACACTGCTCCCACGTGTGGGGAGCCAGCACAAACTGCAGCACTGTGTTGCTTGAGCGTGCCACACAGTAAGCTGAGGCCTTGCGCTCTTAAGCCCCGCTAAAGCCTTGATGGCAGCAGGAACCCAGAGGGTGCCTCCTGTGAGGGGTCAGTGCAGCGACCTGCAGCTCTGAGCAGGAGCCGAACGCTGGCAGTGCTGTGTGCTGCCCTGTCTGGGTAGGATTGTTAGGATCCAGATGGCTGTGAAAGGCAGGGGAAGGCCGAGACAGGCTCTGGCCAGCTGCTGAGGCACACCTGAAAGCACGGTCATCGGTGTGTGTGCTGAAAGCACGTCTGCTCTTGTGGAGCTGCTTGCTTGTGCTATCAAGCATGCTGAGTGAAAATTCACCTAAAAATTGCAATTTACTATACCAAGCACGTTAAGGACAACAAGCTCCTCGCTCTTTGGATACAATCCTTTCTGTTCTGCACACAAATAGTCCTTCACAAACTTCACCTTGGAAGCCAGCCAGGGATCGGATTGTCCTTGCTGACAGAGCCTTACACAATGGCAGAGGAAACCAGAAGGTCTAGCAGTGGAAATCCACCTATTAATATGTCAACATTATAATTGCTGGTTGCAAGAAGGGGTGGGGTGAAACACAATATGCATTCCTAAAGGAGAGATGCCAAAGCCAGTCATGTTTTATGCTGATATCCTACACACAAGTGAAAGACAAAAGCTACTTCTCGTGGCTGCGAGTAAGAATTGAATTTCCAATGTTCAGTGATGTAGAAGTAATGCCTTTAATTAAAGCTTCTGTAGCACGTCCTCAAAAATCTGTAATTGCCTTTCTGTATTCAGGCAACGGGGCCACTTTGATTGCTTTGGGGTAATTCTTTGGCCAGTAATCCAATAGAGCATGTAGTCTTTAGCACGTTTTCTGGCTAATTGACCCTCAAAAAGCTCCCAGTTCCCTGCACTCTTTGTTGTCAAACACCTTGCACAGTTTCTTTTCTCTGCTTTACTGTCCCTCCTTTTCAAAAAGAAATTGATTAAAGTAGTATTATAGGCCTACAGTTGCACTAAGCCTTCAAACCTACTTGTTTGTTCCTATAATTTGAAGGAACATCGGAAGCTGAAGCTTAAGAAGGTAATAGAGAGGAGCTCATGGGGCCTCTGAAGTCTTTCATCTTAATTCCCCATGCCCTTAGTGAAAGGGCAGCTGGTGTGACTGGCTCACTCTGACTCACCTGCCCAAGTATTTTACCTGTGCTACATTGTATGGAATTTAGTTTTGAGGTTAGTGGTGGTTTTTCTTTCTAGGATCAGGTTCTTTGTGCTTTTGGCTAATTCCTGCTTTAGGTAGATGTATTCAAGTACAAACTCACAGTATGCCATCAGAACAGACAGTACTTTATTTTTTTAAAAATAGGCAACTATCTTTTCTTGTGCGTGTGTGCAGCGCAGCCAGGTTCCCAAAACCTTATGCAAAAAGCTCCCAAACTGCAGCAACCTCAAAATCACATCTTGTCATGGGAATATCTACCTTAAGCTACTTCTTAAAAATCAGAGACCTCAACTCTTGTGTGACTTCTGGAACACTGTAAGGCTATTTCTCTTTTCAGTGAGAAGCAGACTTGATAGTATTTAAGACTCATTAGAGATCAATGATACTGTTCTGCAAATACAGAGTTAGAACGTAAGTCTTTGAAGTCCTGTCCTCTATTCTGATTTGTCTGAAATTAAAAATCGCAAAGAAAAAACCCTCCTCTTGTAAATATTTCTGTGATTGGCTGCTAAATGTTAGTTACTTCTACAATGCCTGCAAAAACTTCTAACTGTAAAGAGTGTGGAGTAATCATAATACTGCTGGAGCCTGGAGCCAGCTGTTACAGTCATGTTCAGAAAGAGCTGCACTGAAACTGGGGATGGCAGAGGTAGCAGCCTGGTCCCCTCCTCTGCCTTGAGAACAGAGAGCAATGCAGACATCTAGGCTCTAACTTCATTTTTCGTTCTTGCTGTGGCAGAGGATGTGTTGGGTGTTAGTGGATGTCCAGAGGTTGTCAAGAACGTAACAGGTTCAGAGCTCCTCTGAAATCTTCTGTTGCTCTCCGGATTACAGCCCTGTCAGAGCCAGTTACGATTAGGTGGGTAACAGCAGCGTGTCCCTGCCTGTCCTCATGGAAGGCAACGTGGATGGGCGCTGAGGAAAGCAGACATCCTGGGTCACTGATCCGGGTAAGAGGATATCACACAATCAGAGATGAAGTATCATTGTGGCTACTTACATAATATTTACAGAAAAAGTGAGTAGAAAACGTAGAAAGAATTTTATCATTCATATATTTTTCTATAAATCAATGTTTGTGTACCAAGCCCAATAAATTTGCATTTGCGTGGCAGTTGCAAGAAACAGAGCTTCTTTGCTGGACTGGAGCTGCACGGCTGAGATACCATTACATAGCTCATCTTTGGTTTTAGGCCAGTTCTGAAATCCAGTTTTATCTGAAATGTTAGTTTGTCCTGCCTAAAAGTCCCAAACCCTAGCCGGTATCATGTCACAGCTAACTTCTTGTTCTGTCCACGGTAATATGTGGCAGTTCGCATGATGCTGGTGCCTCCCATGCCCTGGATCAAGCTGTGCTCCCCTCTCAGTATGACCTGACAGCACTTGTTGAGACAGACAGCAGCCACCTGATGGTATGCTTTTATGGCCATCACATCCCATGCTGTTCAGAAAACGACTTAAAACTTCCATGAAATGGTGGATAATTAAGATATGAATCTCAGCGGATGCTGGAACTGTTGGTCAGTGTTAGCGACTGAGCCTTTTTTGTAGACCAGAGCCCTCCGGTCAGAGCACATGGCTGTGCCCCTAGGAGCAGAGCTGCTTGAGCCAGCCCAGGACCAGAAGCAAGGCTGCGAATGCAATCAACGTGGCCGTTTGCTTCTGGACCCAAACAAGGGCAGTCTTTGCCTAGGCTGAGTCTGCACCAGCTCAGTGTGTCTTTGCTATCTACCGATTTCTAATTTGTGCAGAACAAGTGAAGGGAGAGTCAAGTCCTCTACCAGAGGCATGAGACTTGCTGATCTCAATATCCTGCATCTACACTGATGTAGAAGTTTGAGACAAAAATCTTACAAACTCACGTTTAGAGTTTTGTTGCATATCTGTGCGAAAATGTACATCATCCTAAATCTGAAGCACTGTCACTGCCTCTGTACTGCAGTTCAAAAATCAAACCAGGAACTGCTGAGCTACAGCATCACAGCAATTTCAAGATGTGCCAGCACACCACTGGGCCTCCACGTAGGGCCCTGATAAGAAGAGGTGCAGAAGTCAGCCAATGTTGTGTTATCAGCCACCCTGCTTTGGGCTGATGCCGCCCTAAACACTGCTTTCGTAACCGCCAGCCAGCAGCATTTCCCCGCATCTTTATTAGAACAGATGTGTATGTGGGAAGAGGTTTTCACTGGATCATAAAAGCCCTTCACTTCAAAAACAAAACTAAATAATTAAAAAAAAAAAAGCTGCCCCCCAGCTCAAAGCTATGACACTGAGCATAAATAAAACCAGAATTATTTTGAAAGCCCAGAGTACTGCGGTGATTACTATGGCTACAAATTTAATGAGACCCCCAGTCACAGCATTACTGGTGTAGTGAAGATGAACTCAGAGGAACACGTAGCCAGCCTCGAGCTGGAGCAGGGCGATGCTGTGCCAGGGCAGCCGGCGCTGCCCCTGCCCGCTGAGCAAGGTCTGCAATTTGCTGCTATTTCTGCTTACCGGCTTGGATGAATCATCTCTCACACAGAGGGCTTTGCAACTGCTATGCTGAAAACAGTTTCTGATGAAGAAATAGTTTTCTATTTCAAAACGTAAGGAGACGGTATTAAAAAAAGGCCAATGACCTAATTCTGCGTTATGTAATGCAAGTTGTGGCAGACTTCAAAAATTCTTGATGCAAGGAAAATTTTTATCTTAGACTCGCTGTGATGTGTGATTAAAAAAGATAGTTGCCTTTGGGGGCAAAAAACTAATATAGCTCTGAAGAGGCCTCCCCAGGAAAGGCACAGCAGAAGAGCAAAGACGAACTGCTAGGGAGGAGAAACCAACGTCTGGGCTCAAACATAAAGGCCAGTGTTTCAGATGGCTCTGTGAGGTGACAAACTGGCAGAAATAGAGGCAAAGCATCTTGAGAAGCACTGCTGCTGTCTGGAGCATCCCTGATCTGTCAGAACAACAGGCAATGAGAATGAAGAATTGTAACCTTTATTGGTCAGTACTTGAAAGAAGAGGATGGTACAAGAACATCATTTGTCTCCTTGCAAGCTGACTTGACACCCTTCCCCAAAATATTTCTATAATTTCCATGGATTTTTTTCCTCCCACTATTGTACCACAGGAAACATAGCTCTGCGTGAGGCAATTTGAAGGTGTTTGCCACCCGAAATCATTTTCTGAATTCGAGAAACAAGTATTTTCTTTGTTCTTACTCAACATTTCATACGTGGGGAAAAACCATCTGTCAAACATGGCTTGGTAATGAAAGTTTAAAAGGCAGGAGTCTAACCTCTCGTTGTCCCATGCTGTGCTAAAATAACATACTTTTCTTCTACCTGATCATCTTTTTTTGTTTTGTTTTGGGATAAGTTTTATGCACACATTATAGGGTGTCATGAAGGCCCATTCAGGAAACTCCAGTAGAGGAACTGAAATGACCATAGGAATAGAAAAAATCCTTCCTCAAATTTACATTTGATAACCTCTATTTTTTCTCTATAATAGAGAATTATGTAACACAAAGCTGATGAAATGAGACATTTCCAGAAACTAACCATGGGTTTTGCCACAAATTGTTTCAGCATTGCTTACCAAAACTGCTTCACTGCCACTAGCAAGGCACCTCTGAGACGTCCAGTGACACAGCGTCCTGTCAGATCTTGACAGATTGCATTTATCTGTAGAAACTCCAGACACTGCAGACTCCTGACTTGGCTAATTAAATAAAATACGCAACTCTCTCCTGTTCTGCATCTTTGCCAGGTACCTCCTTGGGTGTTAAGTCAATTACACTCAAATTTGAAGTATCAAAGCTGGTGTGGGAAGATGCTTGATAGGACCTGGCTTACCTTTGTAGGGATTTAGTTCCTATAAACTGGAAGTAGTGTATTTACAGGAAGGAAATAAAGAGCAGAGATAATACGTAATTAAAAGGACATTAAGTGAACAGCCACACCCAATCCATTAGATAATTTAACTGCAGCTGTTAGAACTGTAATTTTTCATATAACTAAGCTCTATTGATGCTGCAGGGAAAATTGCTCAAGAGCAAGTGTGAGAAACTAATTGGAAAGTCATAAGGTCTGGAAGTAGGAAAGCCAAGAGAACTAGTGACAAATAGCTAATTTTGCAAGAAGCTTTATAGTTAAGCCATTGTAACGCCCAGTGGTAGAATTCCTAAAAATCCTTGCAGAATTAGGGTAACATGTTTAAAAGTAGTAAAATGAATCAGATAAAAACAAACACAAAAAACCTGTCCCTACCTCTTAGTCCCGTTAAAGCATGAGCTGACTGTAAGGAAAAAAATCTAAACAGGAGCACGTTTCCTTTATTTATCTATGAGTAAACACACAATCATTGACACTCAAGAATGATGCAATGCTTGCCAAGACAGGAAAAAAAGCCAGGATTGCTACTGACAGCAATCAAGCTTGAGTTCATTAAACTAGAACAGGTATTAATAACACCAAGTTCAACACGGGTACTAAATCTGTTACAATCTCCTAATCTAAACTGATCACCAGAGAGAGATGCAGGGGCTCAATTCTGTACACGCAACTCAGAATTAGTCCTGGACTTCCCTCCTCTTGTCTCGTGAATTGAGATTAACTTTGAACAGAGATTTAGGCTGTGATTTTTTGTGTAATTATTATTATAAATGTTTATTTATGTCCTTAGTTATGGAGATAGCTGTGAAATTAGAGGTGTAATAGTTAAGCCTTATTAAATGAGAAGCTATTGCTATGATTTACTGTGGAATTAAAATTTTCTACACTTTACCACACCTTTTGTTTAATTAAGGGCAGTAAAAAGAAAGGAATCTTTTTTCAAGACAACTGTCAATTACTAAAGCAAATGAGGCTTAGTAGGCATGTAAGTATGCATTTATTAAGCGTGCATTTATGTTGAATGCAAACTGGCTGACTTCCCAACCTTACTAAACTGCCGATTACCCTAAAAGAATGAATGGCATAAACATTAAAAAACAAACAAACACACAATATATATGTATATACGATTTCAGCTGAAATTTATGAGCCAAAAATGTACCAAAAAAGTAGCTGATGTCATAAGCTCATGCTATTCACAGATTGTTTTCCCATGAACACTACTGTTTCATCACATATCAATAGTCAGGGAAGGCAGTGGGACACAGTGAAGCAGTCCTGATTCACAGATTTACCACTAACATTTTCTGTGAACATGTCGAGTTGCTTTACTTTCATAAAATATGGGGATTCTCCCTTCTTAAACGATTTGTGCCTAATTCATTTACATTTGCAAGGTAAAGAGACACTCAGAACGTACTTCAAATATGGGGCTTCTTTCCTTAAATCAGGGGTGGTCATTCAAATATTTTAAGGTGAGGGAGGGTAATTATACCTTATACCTCACACCACACCCTTGAAGACTGCGATAGAGAATCCACCTGTGGATTCTCTACAGTAAATAGTAAATTAGTATTTACTATGCATAAACTCTTTTTTAGCCTAAGTAGAACTTTACTGTGGACCCAAATCCCACGAGTAACATCGCCTTTTGTGATCCCAGTCCTGATTTCTGGAAGACAACACTCATCTAGGACAGAGGATGACCAAAATGTGGCACAAAAGGTACCTGTTTCTGCAGAAATTAAAACTTGAAATTAAGAATACCTTCCAGAATAGTTATCAGAATGCCACTAGTTTTCACTTCAAGGGAGGTGAAACCACTTAAAGTCGTGTTTTTTTAAAAAAAAAAAAAAAAAAGACAATTCCATGACATAGGATTACCTAACATTTGTTGGTTCCTTCTATTTGTAGTTTTGTTCTTTGAAAAAAATATTTTGATCTTATTTTGTTTACTTCCTAGTCATACACACTATAGTGACCTGTACATTTTATTAATGATATGGAACTGGCTAAAATTTTGAGGTTTTTTATGCAAAAAAGGTATGCTCCATAATACACAGATTTGAGGAGTGATGCAGTATTTGTACTCATCTGTTTGGCTTTTCTAAAACATACCGAAAATGCTTCTTGGCCAGTAATTGTAGGGTTCAGCAAGTCTACTCTGTGTATTTTATATCAATGGGTAGCATTTCAGAGTTCTGTCTTTGAAATTTTATAATTTTCTATATACAGTGGTTAATAAGGAAAGAAGTATCCCCAGTAACTCTGAGAACAGTACTGAGTACCAAATGTATACTGAAATCCCTGCAATCAGCCACTCAACACCCTCCCTTCCTTAAGGCTTCCCTAAACACTTCATTTATTACCTAGCTCAGATTACACCAAAGAGTAGTGCAAAGGCCAGGGGACCGTCACAATTTCACCCATATTTTCTAGCATCTGTACTCTTTTCCACAGGTGTTGCTATAAAGGCAAAAAGGCTCTGACCTTAAGGTCAAATCACAGGGTGCTTAGGTGTTGGTAGACAGCAGGGGCTTAAGTGACCATGATTTGCACATATGGATCAAAGAAGAATATAGCAGAGGCATTTTGTTTTTTTCAAAGTATATTTGGGAAAGAGGCAAGTATGGGCCCAATACATCTCTCTTCTATCTATTCTTTGTTGCTTACTCAAACATTTTTCCCAGAATTGTTTTCCAGTAATCACTGGAGCCATTTTAATCAGTCACACGAGGAATAAGGCTGGACTAAAGCCCTACCTTCACACTGTGTTGCAAACTAGTCTCAAGCTTTGCTTAAGATCACATACAGAAATGTACCTGGAATCTTTCTAAATCAGAATCCGTGTTGTAGGATAAAGCCATTTCTCAGTGTATAAACATTAATTTGGCACAGGCAATAAAAAAGCATGCTCCATAAAGATGCATCTAAAAATCCATGCCATATGTAATGTCCTGATTTAAAACCTGAAGTAACTCGTACTGCTCTCTTTCTGAATTATTTCAGTATGCTGCAGTCTCTTAAGATGTTATAGGATATCTTTCTGCCTTCCTCCTCCCCCCGACTCTGCAATTGACCTTACTCCATCATCTGCTGCTATTTTCTCTCACGCACGCTTAACTCAGAGATTGCAAAGCAAGTTGAGAACAAACAAACCCCTCTAAACTACTTTGACTTCCAGCCATCTCTGCAGTCAAGGTCTTTTAAGTAAGTTGGTGCAGTGACACTGCATTCCCTTTGGCACCAGAGTATCAGCCATCTGCATTGTTACTGAGGTTAAATTCCAATGTCAGGAGAACTGCAAGGATCTACATGCCATCCCAGGGGAATTTCTGAATCGCTGGTGAAACAGAAGGTAGCAGGCACTTTTGTCTACAGCCAAAAGCCACAAACTGCTCGTAATATATTGCATATGACAAGGCATAATCCATCCTTTACACTAAATGCATTGTGTAGTAACATCATGGGAATGCAGGGATTTTGAAAGGCTATTGCAAGTCCACAGCATCAGGAATACTAAACAGTACTAGGATCTAGAAATAACTTCTTTGTATTAGGACTATTCTTTGAGATCTTTTTCCCAGTTGCTTAAGTCAGTCATACGCTATTAAAGTGCTATAATACAGAATATAAAACATTTGTTAAGTATTTTTATTACAGCAAACTCGGTATGTCTATTTAAAACAAGTTAGAGGGGTTTTGAGAGAGGATCTGACAGTTAGGTTTGGCTGTCACTTCAATGGCAGCTGTGTACCCAGCTCCTTAAGGCTCTTCTAAATGCCCCAAATAACATTTGCTGTTACCTGTTCTGTACTTGGCAGAATTAGAACAAAACCCACAATTGTTTAAAGAGCCCTCTGGTCAACCTGAAAATCATAACGATTTTGATTAGGAAAAATCTTTGAAAGTCTGCCTAAATAGTACTGAGCAAACTACTTTGTGAAAAAAAAAATGGGAGAGGGGCAGGGAATCAATGTATTACAATCGTGCATTAAAGATGTGCTAGGAGACCCCTTGGTTGAAGTGTTATGTTCGGTGTTTCTGGCAGCACGCTGTGAAACAAGGCATCTACCAACTCTGCGTTACAGTTGTACAAACAGGCAAGCCCATCAGGCTGTCGGGGATCCTGTAAGTGCAGAAAAAGGGCACTTCTTCAAGCTGAGCCAATTCATGTCATTACTGTACACGCATCCGTGCACCGGTGCTCAGAGAGGAGTTATAATTGCAAGCTGCCATCCCTGCAGTCTTGCTTTTCTGTCGTGTAATTATTACACCGCTATTTTAGTTAACAGAACAGATTAGCTGCTGGTGCTTGTTCCCCTGCATCAACCTCATTACTCCTTCAATAAAGCAATACGGTCAGCTTGCTTTCTTTATCTCTTGCATGCATATGCACGTACGTGCACAGATGAGTCTTTGCACTTAAGGATGTTATTCTTAATTCATGGGCAGCTTACTCTGTATGGAGAATGAAGAGGCCTGTTAAACAACTGCTTGTCTAAGCAGTCTCAAAGACAGCAAGCAGGTCTTTGAATAAAAGATGTACATCTTCACATGAATACAGAAATACAAGTTGCATATATAAATAAAGGGTATAGATAAAGCTATAAACTAAAAGGTCAGGCGTAAGAAGCTTTCTTTTCCAGGCACTGTTACCCAAAGAGAACATAGTGGGTATCTGGCATATACATTAATTCAGTGAATTCCTACTTAACTTGTCATTGGATTAATTCACTGTAAACACTCTGAAGCTTATGGCATGCACTTTACTATGAGTCTCCTCCTTTCCTTAAAAAGCTGTCAACTTGTAGTTTATATAAAGAACAGCTTGCAGAAAAACACCAAGCCAGTTTTACAATCAGTGAATGCAGTCTATGCCCTTTCATTTATACCGTGGTGTGGTAGCATACAATAAAAATCTCTTAGTGCCTACTGCTGACAAGGGGAAGTTCACCTCACGTTGTAGGGGAACACCTGAGCTCACAGATATAGTGTATTCCTTACCTTCAGTTGCCTTGATCACATATCCATTCTCCTCGCTTGGTGGTACTTCCAGAAGTTGCATGACCCTGTCCAGCAAACCATGGATAATCTCAAACCCAGGGCTCTTGTTGTAATAAACAGCACATAAATGCCTGTAGTTTCTTGCACCTACATCTGAAGAAGGAGGAAGTGATTACATTACCCAGGAAACCTTGCCTTTTTCATCTGTTTTCTTCTGCTACTGCCTGAAGTAGCTGAAAGGAGAAATAAGAACACAAAACGGCCTCTCTGATGCACCTATCTAAGGAAATAAGGGCATTTCTTTAGCCTACTAGCTCTCACAATCAGAAATGTGGATTTCAAGTGTCACATGTCTTGGGCAGGAAATAGGGCTGTTAAATACAAGCATCTCTACACAATGGCAAGTACCAGGCATATAGTTAAGTGCTAAAGAAATTCAAAACAGACAAGTTTTCTTACTGATTTTTTGCATTTTGCCTAGTGGTGTTGCTGGGAAAACTAGATATTGCTAAAAATCAGTTGCAGAATAATTACCTTGTTAAAACAATTGGCCTAATAATGTTAACAAGGTAATCTATGGCAAGATCTAAATTCACACAGGTTTCTAAATTGCAACTGTTGTTTTTCATCATCATCTTGGACATTCCCAAAACCAAGTGACTATGTGCTACTTCCTATGAACTTGAGACTGTGATACAACTCTGTCCCACTTTGGACAGTTCCTTAATTCAAAACCCTACTTTCTCCCTGCTGTAGATTTTCTTACCTTACTCATTTCATCAAAAAATATGTATTTTTACACTTTCAAATTGAATATGTAGTTGTATGTTCCTATACTTGTACCTTCAGGCTATCCTGTTACTATATATACACCATCTAGGACTACTGTGGTCTATTTAGAAGCTTTGAAGCTTTACCCATTGCAGACTTCAGGGTTTTTAGTTTTTTTGAAATAAATGATCTAGGAACAGAGTGACAAGCTGATGGTCACAGCTGCCAATTCTGCTGTGGTGAAATTCAAAATACTGATTGATGTAGTGAATTCATTTTTTGCCTTCGGGTCTTTGACTTCTTAAAGTTGAACAGCAAGTGTGTGTTCAACAAAGTTGGTGTAACAAGGGAAAAACTTGTTCAAAGCAGAGGAGGGACTATCTACATAGCTATCTTTTCTTCCTCTGGAAATTTATATGCTTTGGAACTATTTTCAGTATAAAGATACATTACGTTTCAGTTTGGAGCAGACCTGCAGTTTGGAAGGCAATCTCGTGATCATCCCCACATATTATGCTTTGTTTCCTGTGAAGCAATCCTGCAGCACATAAACTGCAGTCCTTCAGTTGCAGTTTGGCTGGGAAAGGTGTTCCAGAAGGACACCAAAATAGCTTAAATCACTAAAGGGCATTCAGCACATTTTCACTACAGCTAGTTCAAAACCACAGTTTGCTTTTTTACAGCATGGACTGCAAGTCATCGGCTGATCTCTTTTTGAACTGCACTGCTTTGTGGTGTTGACACAGTGCAATAAGTTGCAGCCAGATTTCCATGGGTAAATGTCTTCCCATTCTAGAAAGACCTCTGGTATCTGTGGACTTTCAGTTGTTCATATCTAGACAGACATTCTCCTCTTCACCTCTTCCTCTTAGCGGTAGTTAGATATAGGGAAAAAATTGATTTACTGACAGTAATCGCTTAAAAAAATCATAATAGAAATCCTTAACACCTCTGGCTAATTGTAACATTTGAGAGGAAAAGGGGAATAAGAGCTTCTTCAGTAGTGAAGGAATGAAGGAGTAAAAAGAACAACTCCACCTGTCTGCAAGTTAAGGCAGGTCTGTACCACCTGACATAAAGCTGCATGAGTAGGACTTTCAGATTTCTTTCCTGGCAATCGGCCAAAAGCAATGCACATGAAATCTAGTTTATTACAGGGTGAATTATGTTCTTTATACAGTGAAACTGTGTGCACAATGGACATTTATCAGGACTTTTGGTCACAAAGCAATGGAAAATATTATATGTACTTACCTGATCTTGTGCTTTTCCCTCGATAAATGTGCCTAGCTATAGTTACAGACAGTAACTATATATGTATTAGGCTAAGTGGGCCTTTGGTCTGATCCACCCCAGCCAATCTCTGAAGTGCAGTAAGGTTAAGCACAAGCAGAAACTCCAGCGTTCACTGGGTGTTTCCTGAGCTGGTAATGCCTACCACATGAGAAGTTAGATACCTAGTAAATCTACATCTGGCCTATTTGGTCCAACTGACCATTTAGTAAGAAAAATCTATCAGAAACTAAACAGGAAAAAGTTTACCAAGTAAAAAGACAGAGAAAAAAGGTTTCAAAAGGAACACAAAATACAGGAGCAAGAGCCCACACAAAAGCTGAAAGCACAGCCTTTTGGAGCCAAAAGTCATTTAAAACTTCTAGAGCAGCAACCTGGCAATATAGCCACAAGTTTTCTTGACAGTCACTGAAAGCTGCACTTACACGTACTGTGACAGTAATTCTGCGTTTTGTCACTTGGGAAACCTTTATTGTCATTATTATAACTTGCAGTATTAAATAATGATGGAGAATTCAATCCTGAAGTTTTATATTACAGTAGCAATACAGAAAAGTAAAGGTTGCAGAGAAAATGTCAATAAACACAACATCTGACTCCTGTTCTTGTAGCAAGTTGGCCTTTCAGTCACATCATTATTGTGTCTCTGTTTCCTGGCTCTAATAAGATGCCAGTCAGTACTACACAGTCATGAATGGTGGATAATCTATTTTCACATTGTGTTGTCCAATGGAAAAGAACAAAGTGTTCTCCCCTTCCTCAAGTCTTTATTTGTTCCTAAAAAAGCAAGCTTTCTGGGCTAGATATGCAGTAGCATGATTTCACTTTTCTCTGACCATTACGCTAGCAGAACATGACAACTATCTGAACTTCATTTCATTACTGGTCAGAGTCGCTGGTGTCTTCAGATCACTCTTCTTAAGTAAAGCATCAGTAAGAAATGTATACAACAACTCTTATATCTCATGATTTCAAGCCAACTGTGAATATCTTTGGTAAAGGATGCATTTTGAAGCATTCCAAAAAGCTGTGTTACAGAACGTGTTCCTTTACAGCTACAACACAAGAAGTTCATTCACTGCAGACAATAGGAGAGAAAAAGTATTAGGAACTGTATGTAAAAGCTGGCGGATGTTAGAAATGCTTCAGTTCCTTATAACTCACTTAAGAGATCTCTTGTGTCATGCCATGAAGCAATTCTATTTTTCAAACTGGCCTGCCAAGTATGTCAACCTAAATTATATATATGTAATTTCTGAGACTTCAAAGCACCTCCTTGAGATGCTGCTGAAAAGCAGTCCAAAGGATGGACAGCTGGTTAGGAATACGCTGTCCAAGGAGTACAGAGGAAGATAAAGCAGTGCTGTATGCTGCCCCCTTCCATGTTAGGGATGCTTCAGAAAAGTAACTTAATCTGAAAGGGGGCACCTGCTCATTTCAACTTGTATCACAGCTTCATGAAAATCCACAGCTATTTTCTGCTTGTAACTAACACTTCGAGGCAGAGCTTGGAAAAATGCTCCAAATTAGGCACCAGCTCTTCTCAAATGATGTGAATTATGTTAAAAATATGCTACCATAAGCTTGCCAGGTTCCACAAGATCACTAATCAGAGGTGATTTTATGTTGGATTCATTTCTTCCATTGTGATGAAGGTATTCCGTGTTAGGGGGAGCAGTGTAAGGTAATCATTTATCCACTGAAGCAGTATAACCATCCTACTGGAAGTGACTATTCTAGGGTTACAAGTTAACTACACAAATGCTACGTTAAGTTTTTCAAAATCAGCACGTTTCCTCTTGCCTTGAGAAGAAACATTTCTGCTCAGATTTGGTTCCATTTAGTTATATTAAATCTAGCACACATTTTGCTCATTTAGTACGTCAAGACTTTCTGCCAGATATGTCTGAAGAGAAATAAGTTCTGTTCACCTTGGTAAGCGTGGGTTCTGTGTAAGTAGGCATTTTATTAAAAACCAGTGTTTAAAAGCTAGGTTCATTCACACATGAATGACTACAAGATGCCATTTCAAATACAGTTAATGTCAGTACACTTTTGACTCATACTTTTTACATTATTAATTGGAAATTCTGCATGCCAAAATCATGAAATAATAAAATTAAATTAGTCAGTCTGATGACATAAGCCTTCTGCAAGAAATCTCATTCCATATGTGAGAGAACAATCCCACATTTTTCAGCATTTGCAGTTACCAGTTATTTCTTTCTGCCCTTCCCTTTCAAACTACTTATTAGGCAAGTTTAATTTTCCAAGTTTGGGAAAAACAGTAGTTATTCTACAGACTACATTAAAACAAATTTAGATATTGTTTGCAGCCTGCAAGTTCTCAGCCCGTGAGAGGGCTGCCTGAGAGCCCAGGGTACAAAGCTGCGGCCTCAGAAGTGTTTCTTACATCTGTTGCAGTGATTCCCATCAAAATGAAGTACGCTACAAAATCACTCCTCACAACATTGTGAAGCAGCCATCCACGTGAAGGAAAGCTTTCAAGAGCTACAATTAACACAAACAAAATAAAAGTAATCAATTTAACTTGCAAATTTTATAAAGCCAGGATAAACATGCTCCTTATTCCAAGATAAATAGCCCCACTCTTGGTTCTGAGGAATGCTAATGCTATTCTGCCATCTGTACCAAGTTTTTTGTACTTCAGCTAACTTATGCCCCCCAACAAGGAATGAACTGCAGCGCCAAAATGTTTGTATTTAACTAAAAAAAAAAAGTACATGTTTTCCTAAAACTGCTTGTTTAGCTTGGCAAGGCTTCCCCCCCCTTTTTTTTTTTAAAAAAAAAAAAAAGCCTTTAAAAAAAAAAGTAATCTACAAATTAAATTCATCACCAAAGCAATTTACTTGCCATTCTGTTTATGCCTTATATAAACCTTTGTTTTGCAGATCCCAGATACCTTAAACACAGCCACTAAAATCTGAAACCAGATAATGAAACAACAAAACCATTTCTGCTGCTGAATTTAAAATAATGTCAGCTTTTTCCACTGAGAGGCAAAATTTCATCCCAAGTTGTAACCTACTATGCAAGCACACACTCACAAGAATTGTAGCTGGGTACTCTTTTTCCCTTGGTATACCATATAAAACCGAATTGGTAAATTTCTTTAGAAAAATGTTTATTATTTTAAAAATCTATTTTCATATTTCATTTTACTTTGGTACCTTTTTCCTGATGAAGAAGATAATCTGAAATTTTGATACTGTACAGTGAGATCAGTGCACAGAGGCCCCATCGCACAGGAAGGCTTTCACTGAAGCTTTTGGAAAGCGATCTAGCTGTTTTTGCTGTTTCATGTAAATAATTAAGGTTACAGAGCAGTTCAAAGGCAGCCATGCTTTCTTAGCATAGTTGGATGAAAAGGAAAGATAAGGAAAATCTTTTTATGCACGAGTGGGGAAATTTTATACTGTTGGGCTTTTTGTTTATTTATACATGTTTATACAAAGACTTGCTCTGTTCTTTCCCCAGTGTGCGTGCTACAGATCTGATTCTTCATATCGGTTGTCAATATTCCAGAACACAAATCTGGGGAACAAAAACTAGCAATCCTGTTTTGAGGTGATGGAAAGGGTCTTCATGTTATGATAGACCACAGAATCATTAAGGTTAGGTAAGATAATTGGTTGGTAAGATCACTGCACTGACACCCAAATTTTTGAGTTACAGTTGTCCAGATTAGGATCAGTCTGCAAGCCATTTCCTGACTCAAGACATTTTGCTTTTCAACTGGCAACACTACACTTTTTTGAGACTGCAGCAGTTTAAGCAGGCTCTAGTACTCTAATAGCAACATACCTTAAATATGTTTAGAGCAGGTTCTTTTTGATGTAAAATTGCCTTGAGTTTATTCTTGTATGCACAACTGGGCTCCCTGACATGGGAAGCGGTCAGTCAGGGCTACCAGCTGGAGCAGTCCCCTTGCAGTCCTCCTGGACACGAAATCCTCCAGTAGCTGCACAGTGTGTACCCTACCCCTGGCTATTGGAGTAAACAGCATTGCTAGGAAAGATGCAATACAGCTAAAAAAAATCTTGGAACTGTAACTGATTATGTCAAATCAATCCCCCTTCTGTTCCTCTGGGTGTTGTACCAGTAGATCAGTGTTGCAGACAAACCCAGTGCTGCCATCTGGGAACTTACTTGGGGTCCAGGTCATGCTGTCCCTGCAGTTCTTAGTCATTCCTTCTGTTTCTTTAAAAAGTTTTTCCCAAACTTGCACAATGGTAATCTTAACTAGTCTCTCAGAAAGCTTCTGAAACTAACCTGGGCCTACAGTCCTTTCAAAGAAGAAGTTTAAGAGTTATGAATGCTGAGGAAGTTTTTCTTACCTTTACTAGGATCTTTTACTACAATGTCAGAAATCTCAAAGAGCTTTAAAGGCAAGGGCATCTTTCGGTTAGCAGCAATAGTTTTCAGTAGCCCAGGAAGGAGGGTAGTACGTGCCACCTGCAGGACAAACACGGATGCTGCAAGTGAGATACATTGCAAAATAGCTAACGCTACATTTCTTAATGTTTTGTCAGAAGTAGTCAGGTGCAAATACTGTACTAATCTCTTATGCTTCACCATCTTTGTTTTAGAATTATTGTAACTGAAAATGTACATTCTCTGTATGTTCTTTGTACTGTACAGCCTGAAAAACCATCTGCACAAGCTGTTTTTGTTCTTGGTCAGTACCTTTTACGTTTGTGTACATTCTGTATCAAGCAGCTGTAATTACCATGCAAAATGATATATACAAACAGGTGATAATAGCCTAAACACTTTATGACAGTGGCTTCATAGGACTGTTTAGTTGTGGTAGCAAATAGAAAAGAAAATACATGAAGTTACCCCAAAATTATGTTCCTTAATTAGAACGTTTTTTACCGCAGTAGGATGTTTTTACCATTAGAGGAAAGACCTGGAAAGGTATCTCTGATATTCAGAGAAATCAGACTTACCAGAGGTCTTGGGAGGAAGATACCACAGTTTACTGAAACTTTAAGCCTTTCTGTAAAGTGTTTACCTTTGTATTTCTTAGGTTAGAAACAAAATACGCCTCAAAATTGTTTTCCATTTACTTCACAGATCTCGTAACGTCTAGTCACTTTCCCTATAAGCTAAATCATAGAATATCCCAAGTTGGAAGGGACCCACAGAGATTGAGTCCAACTCCAGAGTCCCCAAAGGACCACCCAAAAAATCAGACCGTGTGTCTGACAGCAAAACACTTCTTGAACTAACATTGTCACTACTTGTAAGTGCTCATTTATCTCCCCTGACAAAAAGATAATTTCTCATGATTATTTCAGGTATAGATAAATATGTTTGTTTGCCTCTGTTCAGAGGATCCACTCAGGATCACCAAGGAAAAGCAGAAGGAATGTTATCATTGACAGTTAACATATTTGGACAATTATTTGAAATAAAACGAGTATGATGATAAATAGAATAGTAAAAATCCCCTGCTTATTTGACTCTGAAGCAGATTTCAAAGATAAACAGATGCTTTCAAAATTAACCTGAGGTCCATCTTCCCAATCAAACATTCATGTATTCATACCACTGATAAATTTCAGATTCAAAAAAACCTCTCTCTCTCTCTCTATTATATACACACACACACACATATATACATATCCAGGAAAAAAAAAAACTGTGATAACAGCTACTTCAAAAAAAAAAAACCAACAACAAAAGCCTTCCCATTCAGAGCTCAGAAGGTAACTGCAGGTCCAATATTTCTATTTATACTTACTGGCTTTTCTAAATGCAGGTGTCAATCAATAATCTGGGTGGAATTTTCTGTAATAAGATAGTTCAATTTTGCTATGTGCCATCATACCGAATATGGTGTTTTACTTCACTGAAAAGCTAATAGTGTTTCACACCGCGCAAGTTATTTCTTAGTGAAGATATAACAGCAAATGACTGCTAGCAAGTTTACTGCATAAATACCCACATCCTCTTTGCTGCAAGACAAAGTAGCTCTATAGCTCTGTAAGCTGTTTTCTGTGAGTTCCTTTCTTTCCTCTTTATACATAGCATCTGTGACACTGTTGCTTCCAAACTTGACCTGAATTAAGTTACTTCACCTGAAATTCTGCAGTTTTGGGGTTTGCTATGTGTACTGCTTTTGTTGTAGAGATATCAGTGCCAAGTTTATCCGCAATGTCTTCTTGAGAACACTAAGAAGAGATGAAAGAAAAAAAAACACAAGGTCAAATAGTTAAGACAGACAGGGAGCCAATGACAAAACCTGCCATCTGTAATGAGCAATGCAAGCATAGCTCTTGTGCTGAGGCCCTCATGTACAACACCCTCTTATAATACAAACTGAGCCCTGGTCTTGAGACAAAGTAGGCAAACTGGTTTATCTACAAATGTTAATTACTAACCAAAATAAAGCTAGTTAAAAAAGTTGTGTTTATTTAAGCTTCTGTCATAATTTGCTGTCAGAGGCTGACTTGCAGTGGAAAAAATACCTTATTCAGAAAATAGTACGGGAATGGCACCCAAGCTTTCTCCTAAAGAAAACAATCCCTTTGGGGCAACTGACAGAAAGTAAAGTACTATCTAACAACAACAACAAAAATCTCATAGCTCTGTTTTTGTTTTTCTGAGCTGGAACATTTTTCAAGTCCATATTCTCAAGGTGTAGTGTTAAGCTGATCAGTAAAGCAATACACATGCACTTTATCAGGCTCAGACAATGTCTGTGCACATACAGCAACAGATGCGACTGATAAGATCCACGCTGCAAATTTTCAGAATTTATAGCTTTATTAATGCATTAAGAAACCAATAGCAGACTAGGCATGTAATTGAGGATTTGCCAGTATACTGCAGTCTCCCTTCGCACTGGCAGCATTCCGAGAAGTGTGTTGATAGTCTAAATGTGAGGAAAACGAGCAGATGATGATAACATCTGAAAGAGTAGATTGTTGACTAAAAAAGAGAATCTTATATGAATGCTGACCTTAGGAGGATAAAATTGTGTTCAAGTTTGCAGATGTGTATCTAAACTGCAGTATGTTACTATGATGCAACTAAGTGCATTTTGGCTAAATTTGAAGCCCTCACAGAAAGCAATGTTACTTTGTAGGAGCGATAATTTAGGGCTCAAACCAAAACTAGGATTACATTCACAGACATGTAAGCAGTGCTTGTCACACAGCACAGGGTTACAGAATGTTGTAGCAGAACTGATGTTTGCCACAGGGACAGACCTCATGTTGCTGTTCCAGTGAAGTGTTGGTGACAGCAGACTGTGGGTTTCATTGTGCCATAGCAAAAATACAAAATGTAATGTGATAAAATAATACACTGTGTGATCTTCTGCTGTGGCAGTTCATAAAGGTTCTCTATTGTAGTGATAAAATATACCCGACGTTTTTGAGCATACTAACTATTCAGTGCTGAAACAAAAAAGGAATTTATATAGAGATGTTTGCAGTGAATTATAAAAAGTTTGACCATGTTTTACACAGTAGTTCCCCAAGATGGTACTACCACAGGTAATCTTTGTCAAATACTAGCACTGCAGGAAGTAACATCAGTTATTACTGACTTGTTTCTTAAACAAGTAACATTTAACAGTAATAAAATATTAAAACTAAAATACATTTTTCAGGCTTCAGAGTAACTATAAATCTTGCACTTTAAGCTCCATAAAATGTGAAGGTGTTAAAATTTTATTTGATCCATTTGGATTACCAACCTCAGTTGCAATACCTAAACTTTTCAAATGCATGCAAATGTTTTAGGAGCCTGCATCACCATATCTTAAAATCTTTGACTATGTTATCAAAACTCCACTTATGATTCCTTAGTCTGCATTATATAGCGCCTACAGGGATTCTTAAAATAAACTCTGACTGAATAATTATATATCAACTTGGTACCTAATCCAAGGAACCATGAGCAGGCAACAATACTGAGAAAAGACAAGTAGAAAGTGTGATCTCTGAACTGTAGTAATATCCACCAGAAATTAATAAATTTTGATAAATTGTTTTCCAGATTATCAAACTATGATGAGTTTCACATTGGGTGATCAAAATCCCTGAAGAGAGTTGCTGTCTTAATTTCATACTGTCAAGTTAAACTAAAAACAGTACTTCAGCAACTATTCTTGCCTTTACACGTAGAATTGCATGCCACATTAGCAGTTTCTGTCAATTAGCAGTCAATTTCTCTGACTTACAAACTCACAAAATATTACACTGTAATTCCAAAGCACTAGTAAGCAGTCACCTGCTTAAAACAGTAACAGATAATACCGGTACATTTATACAACAGCATAGTCTCAACCATCCTCTACAGTTTTTGTGCATTGCCTTTCAAACATGCAAGTAAAAAAATGTTAAATCAATGCAATATACCAGGGCAAAAGTGAGTGCTTCAGTGAATCCAGCAGCCGCCAAGTCCAGTCTCAGAAGTTCTGTGAGCTTATTGAGGGGGAGCTAAAATTAAACAAAACACAGTTTTTGACTTCCATCTAAAAACACTCTTCTGTTCTTTCCCGAGGTGATTCTGCCTCTTACATTATGGTGAATTCACTAGGGAGGTACTCTGCTTGTGTGCTTAAAATTTTTTGAAAGCATCAGCCAGCTGCCTTTAGGCTTGCCTGAGGAAATGAATCTCCCAATTAGAGATTTAATATGGGCTCCCTGCTTAAACCCTGTCTTTTTTCAAGTACCAGCGACCACTGGTCTTGGACTTATTCAAATCAGTGGGGCATCTGTTTTGTATCCTATCCATGGTAAATACTTCTCAAGGCAAAGCATGTCAAAATATTTAATTCCTAGGTTCTGTTTTCCCCAAAGCCCTTCTGGCATGCACTAGTCATTTACTGACAACAGAGCGCTTATTTGAAGGGGCAATCTTACTTGATTAGCTATGGTGTACGTTTTCGGAATAGTCATCTGAATGTTGTTATAACCATAAGCTATTGCTGCATCTTCTACGATATCACATGCATGGATAATGTCCGCTCTGGTAGGAGGGATTTCAATCTCTATATTGTTCCCATTCCCTGTGACGTGTGACTTCAAACACATCCTAGTCAGCAGCTTTGCAAGGCTTGATGGAGTTTCACTGAAACAAAACAAGAGAGTAGTAATTTACTGATCTTACACTATACTTTTTGAAGTAATCAGTGTTTCTGCTATGTTGCCTTATTTCCTGAATAATCTCTAAGTGCTTTACAGACTGTACGTAAACTCAGCATTCCAACAAAACCAGCTCAGATTCTGACTCCGAGACAGTCATTTTTCTTTACTTCTTAACAGTTGTGAGAGGCCATGAAGAACCATTCCTCTTTTGTGAAAACAGTGAAGAAAGTCCTACAGAGCCGAGTTAATTACCAAAGTTAACCCCAGAATTTTTTCGTAGATTAAAAATCATGGTGTAAACATTTTTAAAACAGTGTAATAATCAGTGTTTAAGTACCTTTTTCATGATTAATGCTTAAATAAAAGAAGCTTTTATTTGCAGTAACGCACCTGATTCCTAACTTCTTGTTAATGTGTTCAGGTTTCACCTTCTCTTTTCGGTAAGCCAGTTCCTAAAAAGAAAGGTAAAGCTTTTCAGCATATACAACCCTTGCTACCTCTAAAAGGATTCAGTTTTGACATCTTGCTAATCTAGCTTCTTCTAACTGACTCAAATGTCATCCACAGAAGACAGGTGTGGAATATTACATTAAAGTCAGTATTTTATGATAACATGATTCTTGAAAATAATACTACAGTACATGATGCAAAAGCTGTTCTCAGTTAAGCTAGGAGTTTGAATGCAGCATGAAATCACTGTTATTGAAACTTCTGATAATTTCAGATAAATGCAAGTAACAGGGTTTCTGAAAGTTTCCAGTCACCGGTTCATCTTAAGTCAAAGCCCTAAAGCAGTGAATGGTCATGCATGAGACTGCATGGTCTAGTACAGATCAAATGACTTTTTGGAGGAAAAGGAAGGAAAACTTGTTACCTCTGTATTGGCACAGAAATGTTTACCATTATTTAACCTAGGAAGTTTGTAATCCATCTATAGCAAGCTATTGTGAATGTATATTCAAAGTGTTTCTAAACTTCTAGATAAACAAATCCATAAAAACCCTAGCATCCAGAACTCTGAATTTTTTGCTCTATTTTATGTAGGGAAATTGCATTGCCTAGTACAGTGATTTCTTTTGTTGGATGTCACTTCTAGATTCTAGGTCTTTCCTCTGAAGACTGCAGTTACCATTGTTAGAAGAAAGAGCTAAGATATAACTAGAAAAAAGTCTCAACAAAGTTTCTTTCTCCCTAATTAATTTGTACTTGCTTGATACATCCAATTTTACGAACCCAACCAGATCTATCTTCCGTCACTTCCAAGAAACAGGAGGGATTGCTCTCTATGCTTTTTTGTTCTCCTAAAACGACTGTTACTGCACAGAGATGTACCTGGCACTCCTAGTACAAGCAAACCTGCACTTGTAGTCAATATACTGCCTAATAGACCTTTATATAGTTGGGGTCTGTAAAATGAAGGACTGAAAAATCTGGTGTTAAAAGGTTATTTTAACTCATAGGCATTACAGCTTCCTGATCTGATAAATAAGTTATGCTGAGGCTGATTTCAGCTGCCCACTGGTTTCAGCCTGAAGGACCTCTTTCTGCATTCCTTTTTTCCTGATATGGAACAGGTAGGTTTTAAAGGCTTTAGACACAGATTATGACCTTGATTGCTATCTCTGCTTGTTTCTCAAAATGTCTGTATCACAAACTCTAAACCCACAGTAGTGGTTACCACACGTAACTTTAAAGCCTAGCCTTCTTTCTTGAGTATCAAACTGTGAGACTATTTTTAGCTTCATCATAAATTAGTGGAGCTTCAGAACGAGTTTTCAACATAAGGGGAAACTGAGGCACTGTTCTTTTTTTGTGTGGGGTTAGAGAAGGCCCTGACTCACTCGTTACCTCTACAGAAAAGATAATATCAATAATAGCACCCTTATACTTCATGTATATAAAGTCCTTTCCCCAAGGATAGTAAGATACCATCTCACTATGCTTACCGGATAGATGTGGGTCTTCCCATTAGGAAGAACTACTTCTACTGCTTCAACACTGTGAGAGACAGAAAAACAGAACTAAAAATGAGTTTTTTAAATGTGGCCCAAGTGTAATGGCTTTCTGACTAGATTTATACTCACGTGAATGGCTTCTCACAATATTCACTAAACATCGTGACTATAGTATCAAGAACAATTTTTGCCTACAAAATAAAAATGATAATCACATTTAAATCTGTCCTCTACTTCTACTGAAAGCAAAGTGAAATAAAAAAGGGAAAAAAATCTTACATTCTGTTCGTTCTATACTATTTAGTACCTAAGAATCCAGAATCATAGCAGTCTAAAATACCAGACCAAGTATTAAGAAATGTTTTGCTTCTGCTTCAAAGATATCTACACTAAAGCTTGAAAAATGGAAATCTTTGCTCTTCAAGGCTCTGAAATACTTGTATGTTTTTGTTAAAACTGTTCTGAAGATACACAGAGATCTTTATTTCCAGCTGGAATTGCATCTTCCAAAACTTTAGTTTAATTAGTTACTTTGCTAATCAAGTGAGAATGTAGGCTAGAGGATTGTGCATTGTTTAAGAAAATATTGTTAAATTAGCTTCACTTGCAAAACTTTTTAGTGAACAGTTGATATTTTAACACATTAGTATAATAGAACATAACCATGAGATTCAGCTCAACTTCTCAATCTACAAATACTGTTTTTGATGCCTCACAGTATAATTTTCTTCATGGAAACAGAACAGCACTATTTTGCACTATCAAAGTAAGCAGCAGCAAGAAGTATTTATTTTTTAGTTTGCTTAGAAGTGATTCCCCACTATGCAAATTTGCGTCAATAACACACCATTGTGTAGCTGGGTAAATTAAAAGCATTCTTTGCTCTTCAGCATCAACGTACACATTTTAGGGAAACTATCAATGAATGCACAACCTATATTTGAGAATAGGCAATTACTACTGCTGGGCTTTCATGCTTCCGCTTTGAGTTACAGAATTTGCATATGGAAGAACTTCTATTTCATAATAATTTGCACAGCATCCCTGCTTGAAAAAGATAACTAAAAAGAAAAAGTCTTCTCCCCTTCCCTCAGCCTAAATTTGAAGTTGGAGACAAAATGATTTTTTACAGAGTATTCCATCGAAGTAAGCAGTCTTACTGAACTTTCCTCTTTTTCTAGGTCTGAAAGGCTTCAAGAAGTGCTCAAAAACACAAATAAACCTAGTTTACTTAGATTTTCTAATACAACCTGAACACATACTGTCATCATAAAGACCTAGTAAAAACAAAGCCCCCTGAACACACAACACTGTCCACAAAGCAAGTCTAAAACTCTATTGAGGGATTTCCATGTAGCCCCACAACTTATCCTGGCCCTTTGAAATGGGAGGTCTGCTCTGTAAACACCTGTCTACTGCAGGTCTTTGTACTGGAGCACTCTTACCCAAAGGGAAAACAGGGACTTTACAGTGTATCAAAAGCAGAAAAGATTAGCTTACCTTTGTCATATCTGTGCCTGTACATTCAACAAAAACATTTCTTGTGTTTAGGTTTATTTTTGAATGATCTCCTAAAACATGAAGAGAATAACAAATTAAGAAATGGTATTACTTATCTTTCAATGACACTGATTGCTTTTGTGATTCAGAAACCATCTTCCCCAGCTTAAAAACCACTATGTCTACTGCATCAACACTCAGAATTCTTACAAGAACAACAGCACTTTCTATTTTCAAATTAGAAATCAAGGAGAAAAACAGAGCGCTTCCCATCAGAAAAGGCAGACCAGACTTGCTGACCTGGCTGCCCTACATTGGAAGGTACACAAATCTACAGCCACTCTCTGTATCCAGTTGAAAAAGCAAGCTAGCAGAACAGCAGCCATCTGCTGGTGGCAGAGTGGTTCTTCACTTCCAGAGCATCTCCCCTTTCCCAGCTCTGGCAGCACATCTGCCTTTGTAACATGCATAAGAAAGCAGCCTTGGATAGGGAAGATTGAAGTGGTTTTTTTAAACGTGATTTACACTGATAAACATCCATAGCTGCTTCTGCAAATAACCAAGATCTTGACTGTCATCTGAGATACTCTGGCTTTTGTCTACATTAGTGGCCTAGTGCACAGGATGGGTTCCTTTTAAGCCTGGCTTTGTTTTTTGCCTGTACTTGCTGTTGTGAGGTATGCCCTGCACCACATTGCTGATGCACTCAAAACTTTGTCATTTTGAAGAAGCAAGGTAGACAATGCAGTTAGGGTCATCATCTAAAACGTCTTCCTTGCAAATTGGACGCCAAGTCCCCAGCAGTCAATTCCTTAAAAAAGTGGGGTTCTGTTAGTAAATGGCAAGTTGTGTGAGGAGGCTGAACAGAAATCTGCCTCACACTGCCTGTTAGGCATAGATGTCCAGTGTATACCTTGAAAGAATTTCATTGCTAGTCACCAAATGGTGTGGACACATGCAGTCCTAGAATTGTTTGAGGTGGTGCCAAATAAAACCTTAGTCCTTCTCACCTTTCCTTGCCCCATTCCCTGGTGCAGATGCACCCCACAGGAGTGAAAGGGAAGCACACACACAGATATATACAGGTGTTCTTGCTCCCTTTGATCCCAAACAAGTCACTCAGCTTCTGTTTTTCTGTTTCCTACCTGGGAAACTAGGTCATAGCTAGACTGACAGAAAGTCAGGTACAGCAGCAAGGTGAAGACTGAGGGAGGGATGCTGTACGCCCTTTCCAGGATGCTATGCCGTACCCCTTTAGAGCTGAAATGTACTCAGCTCTTCTGGCCTCACTTTGAAGCCCAAATAACCTTTCATTTAAATACTTGTAGGTAATGGGAAAAAAAAAAAAGGCAAATATTTACATTTCCTGATCTATCTCAAAAGAACTGTTAACCTGGAAGCTTCTCTCAAATACTCCTCTTTAAAGTACAGACAGTTTTAAAGAAATTTAGCTTAACCTTTCTGATAAAATGTAAACAATGTGCAATGTTTATACATGGAACACACTGAGGCTGGAGTAAGCCTAACCGAGAAGGATCAGATACAGTTGTTCTTAACCAGACTCTGTCACAGAATTTGAGCTGCCCTTTAAGATGATTTAGGTTAGCTGTTTAAGATTTGGATAAAGACTTTCAGGAAAAATACATCCAATGAGATTATCCCTGCAGATTTTATCAGTCATTGTAGGGAAATGGTTACTAATTTTTGACCTATATTAATCTGTAGATGTATAGATATACTGAATTATCTCTGTTAAGTTTTTGCCACATCATTAATTGGTTTCAGTAAACATGGTTCTCAAAAATCACCCCAAAGCTTCTTTTGCATTCAGAGGAAACTCATGTTTGGAAACATTGCAAAAAAAGTTTAGACCAATTTATTTTTTTTAACCCATTAAAGACTTCTTGAAGTTACCTGTGATACCAAAAGGATTCACAAAAACTGCTTCACACTGCTGCTAAATACACTGGGCTTAAGATGTAGATAAAAGATCCCTGCTGTAACGATTTAAAACACTACAAAGCAGACTATTGCAGTTTACCAGTAGACTAAATTTTTTTTAATTTTTTTTTTTTTACCAGTTTACAAAAATAATTTCTTATTTCTTTTAGCTAAATCGTTGATGAATGAACAACATGTCTAGGTATACAAAATACTTCTCTAACAATGGTTTCTCCCACAAAAAACCTATCCTGAGGTTATATTATAAAAATGTAAAAGGATATGAGAAAATAAGTGCAGAGGTTTGCAGTGGGACCTTTATATTGTCTTGTCTGAGAAAAGAGGAACACTAGGAACCCAAAGAAACAAAAAGTGTGGCCTTGTTTAAACTGAAAGAAATACAGAATTCCATGTGAAGTTGTAAGTGAAACAATTTGAATAGAAGAGAATAAACCATATTGCACGTTAACGTTTCTGTTAGACACCATGACTCACAAAACAGCAGCAACAGCACAAATTGGTCATAAGAAATCTTACCATTGATGATTGGTGGCATGGACAGAACAACACCATTGCTGTCATATATGACAGGATAAAGTGGTTTGTTTTCAATCAAGTGTAAATAGTGTCGAAGATGGCTGTCAGTCTGGAGAAATAAAGCATAACCCTAAATTTCACATTAGCTCACTTACAAATTTTCCATTCTACCACAGTCCTCTACTGAGACATTGATGGGAATTTTTAAAGAGGGCAGGATTGGTCTCACATCTAGTTACTTCACTAGCAAAAGCTATTCACTGTCAAAAGCAGGAAAACTTGGAAATCAGAGAGCTTGTTTTTTGTTTTCTTCCAAAATGTTAGATAACTGATTTATTTAAGGATTCTCTCAAACACACGTAACACGTGCTACCCAAACAATGCCCTCGTTCACCGCAGCAGACCTGCTACTGCCAAACCCACCAGCACCCATCCTTAGTTTATCAGAACATTCCTTAGAACTGCTAAAAATGTTCACAATGATGCTTTTAATGATGAATTGCCGAATATTGACATATTTACATTTAAATTTGATTCAAAATTTGCATTTGTTCCAATGACATAGGTATATGCTCTACCAAAAATAGTTTTCTTTTAGTCTGATGCTTCGTTTTCTAGCTTTTACTTGCCTTCAGTCAGGTATCTTTGAGAGTTTTTTACCTCTGTATGTGTGCTCCAACAGAGTTCTATATTTTAATAATAGTATCATTTTTAAGGACTGATGTTTAAAGTGGCCTTCGTAAATACTGTAAAATTAGACCTGTTAAAATCTTTTCCTAATGCTTACCTGGTTTCATCAGGATACTGGGCCAAGAGCAGTGCTACATCTGTGTAGTATGTAGCTGAGTAAATAATGTTGACACCACATAAGTTGGCCCAATTAAAATAACAAAAAAAAAATATTTACATCCACTTTTTTGTCAGCTTTGTACAGTGGATATATTTACAATAGAAGCAAGTATATAAACCTTTTACAGTACTATGAAGAATATCACAAAAAGCAGTCTTTGTGTTGAAAAACTGGGAGGCTAACATTGAATTCACTATTTTAAGAGTTATGTTTAGACATCAAACAATGTGATATATCTTTCATGGGCAACATAATTTAAGTATTACCATGCATTTCTCTTGAGTAACCAAAATGTGGAACGTTTACTGGCTGAAGGTACAGAAGATGGCTGTTTTTTTCTTGTTAGAACAACCCTTAATGCCAGGGGTATACAAGATGCAAATTCTTGGAAACTTAGCTTCCTGCCTTTAGCACATCAGCTCTGAAAAATGACACTTACCCTGTACAGATCCATTATTTGTGGAGCTGTGTACTCCTGCGATTGGTTCAAGGGCTTGAATTTAATTTCAGAAGGTGCTTTAGCCGTAAAAGTAAATGGACCAGCAATGGTGTCCAAGTCATGGGTACCTATTGCTACTAATGCTCTTCTCCTAGAGAAAGAAGGCAAATAATGACTTTATTAGTAATAGCTGGAGTTCATTTGAGATCATGTTATGATGCTCAGTATTCCCGTATGTTCATAGATTTTACTGAAAAAGCAGATGGGCAGTGTTGAGAAGCCTAGAAATTAATTTCAGTCTGCATGCTACTGATGAGATACAAATGTTAACAACCCATGCAACAGTCAAAGGCAAATCCAATAGGACTACTGCAAAAGGATTTTTCCTCAACTGTTGCAGAAAATGTAGCAGCTATTTATGCCCCTATTGAGAACAGGCAGAAACAGGGAAGCAAATGAGAAGGATCAAGAGAGCTGTTATACATGTAAAAGATTTTCCTTAGCACAAATATAAATATAATGCTTCTCCCCAACAGGCCTGTGAAATCTTAATGTGACCAAATCATACACAAACACTATATGCTACTTTACATTTAAGCACTAACCTGCAAATATTTTGGTGTAGCTTTTCTTGGAGGTCAATGAAACTGTCATAGCGTTCTTTGGTAAAAGTTATGTTACGGAGAACTGCAGCTACAGCATGAGGACGGACTTTGGCAGTCTGCAACAGATTATAAATTTCAAGTACGCAATGTACAAAAATTAAACTGATGAAATGTGCCCTTTCCTTCATAAAATCCTATTTTATAAAAGTAGTAATCAAAATGAAAAATCATGAAAATACATTAGAAATCCAAGGGAAAAAAAAATAACAAAACAACTCCAAGTCTGGTAGAGGCAATGAGGTTTTCAATGTACCCTGTAATAGCCCAGAAGGGAAACGCTATCCAACTACCTGAAACTTTGATTTGACCTGCTACTAGCTACTAAATTCACCCAGAAAAATGTCTGTTCCTCCCCACCCCCCTTACCTAAAAACAAATCAAACTGAGTAGAAATATTTAAATTTCTTTAGCTCTTGTTCTGCAAATAAGATTTCCAGTCTCACTGCTGCTATAAAATCAGTCCCGATAATCAATTTCATAGCTATCTTTCTGGTTGAGAAATGTTCAATACACCACAGTGCAGTAAACACTTTTACCTCTTCAGTGATAATCAGCTTCTGACCTTCACCTTTAGCTGGTATTATCTTTTCATACCTAGGGAGATTTATCCTAGAATAAAAATAGAAGCAAGTCTATAGCTGACAAACAGAATATTTGTAAAATGCAGGAAACTTTAGAAATGTGGCAACAACTATATGTAGAAAATTTTGTTAGCAATTGTTCTGGTTTTGGATGTTGGGATTTGGGCACGTAGATTTTATTTATGCTCCTTAAACATTAAGTTTTCTATTGAATAGTAAACAGATAACTAAAATAGAAAGGATGCCTTAGTGAAGATAAAGTCATAGCAGAAAAGTGAAATAAATAATTTGTATCAGTACGTATTACAGAGGAGCACAACAAAGTGCCTCTGCAGTCATTGTTTACAGAGGATGAGTATCAGCTGGAACAGAAGTTGAAAAAATTGTAGAACAGATCCAAAATGTAACAAGATTCTGGTCTAGTCTCTCAGAAGTATGTAACAGGTCCTCTCTGGAGGAACAACAGGGAAGCATATGGACATCTGACAAATCCAGCTGATCTATGCCTCAGACTGCCCTCTCCAGTCAAGTACCAAGGTTATTGACCAGAAATGGACGCGTATTCAAACAAGTAACAAAACACACAAAAATCTCACAACTCCGTTACCTTTCTTTAAAGACCTGCAGTCCTCGGACCAACCCTTCGAGGCAAAGAAGATCATATCGATTGGCAGGAACATCAATTTTATAGAGAACAGTGTCAGATGCACCCTCTGCCTTTCCTTCACCCTTTTCTTTACTTATGATGTCTTTCTCAGATGTCTGAAATTAAGCAAAAAAAATGTTTTAACCTGAAATATCTTGACATTGACAGCACAATGATAGTGAGATAATGTAAAAGGAAAAACTATTAAGTAAAAGTTTAAAAGTATAATTTGGATTTATATAGCAAGTACACATGCCAAGTATCAAAAATAATGTAAAATCAATATCTTTCTCATATGTAAAGAACATAATGTAACATATCAAAAGAAAAAAAAAAAACACTATTAGAATTTGAATTGTTACAACAGAGATAGAAGCACGAGTCTGCAAGCTAGCAGATCCCAGCAGAGAACTGGGACCTTATTTACAGCTACAGATCAGGAAAGATTGGTGTTATCAGTTCTATTCTGAAATACAACATGACATATAGGGTTTAGATGTCTTTCGAAAAACCTAATTGAAAAAGCAGTTAATTTAATTCAAAAAGCAAAGCCAGAATGAGTTCTACTGGAACAAGATTTATGTTGATACAAGCAAGAGGGTCAGCAAACTTTCACAAGTACAGAATCTAGTTCAAAACTTGAAATGTGAGTGAGTTACAACTCAGGAAATAGAATGTCCAGGGGAAACATTCTTGTGGTATTGCACACAAAAATGCATACAAAACACAGCCAATAAGATCTTGCAGATATGTTTAATATTTGCCATATTTTCCTTGTGGCCTTATTTATGCTGCTGAATTAAACAAATTATTTGTCAACAGAGATTGCCAACCTTTACAAACTGTAGCACTATGCCACATGCGGGTCTCCTGCCCCCTAAAACAGCAATTTTGGGGTCTCCTTTTCAGATTCAAACCACTTGTGTCAATACACTCTGTTACAGTCGTATTTTATACAAGACCCTAAAGATATGCATTACATACTCCGGACTGTGCTACAAAGATATATGAGAAGGTTTCGGGTTGAAAAGCTTGCTGCAGTACTGCTGAGGGATCGCACAGGATAAAGGGGACACTGAAGTCCTGTCTGCATCACTTTTTCAGCACAGCCCCACGGGCACAGTTCCCTCCAGACCCTGACTCGATGTTTTCTCTGGCGCACGGTGAGGGCCTTGTCCAGCACTACACGGGGGAAGCCGGTGGCAATGTGCAGCGCAGGCTCTTACCACGTACACCTGCTGTCATTCTGCTCCATCAGGTAACAAAACCAGGACTTACCACGTCATCCAGCTCCAGGCCAAACTCAAAGCAAAGCTCATCAAATTCTTCATCAGCTGGGGGGGAGGGCAAGAAAAGAAAAAAAAGAGTGGGTTTTGGTTTACAAGCAGAGCTCGGAGCCCTAAAACTAAATTCTGTGGCGTTTATTTTGATAATTTCAGATAATTTTGAAAAGAGGGGGGTGAAAACCACGTGAAGAAGTTTGCCAGCGCCCGCGAGCAGCTCCCTCAGGACTCAGCGCGTTCCCTGAGGCGTTATCGCCGCAGTCACAGCGAGGGGCTCCGCGTGTCAGGGCCCAGCCCCGAGTGCCGGCCCGGCCCCTCACACACGGGGACCCCCGCTCGGGGCCGGGCTCTCCCGTGAGGTGCCGGTGTCGGCTCGGCGCTGCCCCCCGCCCCGCAGCCCGGTGCCCGCACTCACTGTAGCTGCGGCCCAGCGCCTGGAAGAGCAGCTCTCGCCGCACGCTGACGGTCGGCATGGCGGCACCCGGCCCGCCCCGCGCCTGCGCGCCCGCTCGCCTCAGCGCTGCCGCCTGCCGGGGCGCCGGGAAGGACGGGGCGGGGGTGTTGGAAATAAAGGCATGAGCTCGCTAATTGCCTCGTCTGCCTGCCTGGGGGGGTGGGGGTGCGGGGAGGTGTGTGTGTGTGTTACGGGTTATAAACACGGCGCTGGGCGCTGCCACGGTGTGAGGCTGCGAGGGCACCGCGGGGTGGCAGCGGGGCTCGGCTGAGGGGGAGCTGCGGGTGTGGGGCCGGGCTGTGCCCGGAGCCGTCCCCGGAGCCGTGCCCTGAGCCCAGCCGTGCCCGGAGCCGCCTCCCAGTCCCCGTCCCCGCCCGCCGGAGCCGCGCCCGGGCCGTTGCCGTGAGGGCAGGTGGCGGCGCGGTGCTGGCGCCCGGCATGGCGCTGCGCTTCGCCCCCGTCAGCGTCCCCCTGGAGCGGAGGATCCAGACGGTCGCGGTGCTGCAGTGGATCTTCTCGTTCCTGCTGCTGGGTAACAGCCTGCCTCCCCCCGCCCTGCCCCAGGAGGAAGGGGAGAGGAGAGGAGAGGAGGGGGTTTCCTTCTGTTCCCCGAGCCCCGGGCATCGGGCTGCTTCGGGGCTGCTCCTGGGCTCGGGGTCTTCTCCTGGCAGGGGGCTCTGGATGCTTTTCCTCCTCTGGGTCTCCTTCTTCCCGTGGAATCCTTTAGAAATACCTTCCTGAAATGCTAGTGACAGCACCTCCGCGGGCTGCCCACTGGGTTTCTGAGAGAAATTTTTAATGATCGTCACCATAAAGACTGCTACATCACTAACGCTGCTCACACTGATCCTGTCTAATAACTCCGTGTACCGTAGTTCAATAAACTTTTTGTTTAAATGGGTGGTGAGTTTGAATAAAGATTGGCAGTGAACTGAGAGCCAGCAGTGTGACCGCTTCGGTAAACTAATGCAAAATGTACTTTAAGAAAGCTTTCCTAACAATTTTTCTTAGTAAACTTGTTCCACTGATTGTTCTTCTGTAGCGAACTTTCCTAATATCTTAACAGGCTCTTATCACTAAACATCTAATCGTAACAGCAAAGCCTACAGGTAGGTGTCGGGAACTTGCTGAAATGAGCCGCTGGAGGAGGGAAGCTGGCCCTCGGTCCCCTGGGACCAGGTCCCCGACCCTACAGGTTGGAGGGAGAGCTGTGTGGGACACCCCAACCCGAGGGACGCGGTGACCGCCTGCCCATGCCCCGCTGCCAGCGCTGGAACACCTGACAGAAACCTGTGCTTTAGGGTTACAAGGAGAAAAAGAGAGCGTGCGTATCTGCCTTGTACATCTTGGAAATCCATTATCATTCAGGTGCTGCTCTGATGTGCTTCGGATAACTGTTGGGTTATTTTAATAGGGTCATTTATGTATGTGGGGGAAGCACGGGGGATATGGAGCATCTTCACTGGCTTATCCCTAGCGTTTGGCTGGTTTATGTTACCTCTAAATTATACGGGGTTGGACTATAAACTGTTTATGTTTGTGACTGCCCTGTAAATAACCCGTGGTTTTTATTCACTGTTATTGAGTTAAATCTTGACACATCTCATTATTCCTGTCTAAATAATGCAGTGGATACGAGAGGCAGTGGAAGGAAACAATTTTTATCCTAGCATGTGTGGTGACAATGCTGCTACCTCCTTGAGGAATATGGGAAGCCCCATCCCTCTGTGCTTCCTTGGAGTGGGCAGCAGAGAATCCCCCCTTGCTGCAGTTCGGGGGGAGCAGGCAGCTGTCTGCTGCAGCTGGCGCTGCCTGGGGGGAATAAGTGTCAAGGAAAGTCAGCAAGGAGGGGGTCTCACAGCTGCTTAAGCTGAATACAGTGAGTACACACGACCATGAAAAAATCTGTTGGCAAATGCCCCCACAAAGGACAAATTGATGCTAATAATAATCTGCTTTCGTTTATTTTTAGAGCTTTCTGGGGTGACTTTGTCATTTTGTATGTGCATCCTTGCAGTTACAGGTCAGTCAGAATGGTCTGGTTAAAAAATTCCATGTGGATCCAGGCAAAATCAGTCAGTTGGCTTTAGTAACTGCAAGAACTGAAAAAGATGTTGGTTCCTAATGTCGTGGATTGCAGTTATGCGTAGATGTCCTTTACCCTTTTGTGTCTGCTGAGCTAACAGACATGGAAAGAGTGTTTGTTTAAGCTCGTGAATTCAAAAGTGACTCTTCAGATCGTGCAGGCGATACCCAGGCACAAGTGGAATACTGTGTGAATTCATGGGGAAGGTCAAGGGGGGTTGGTGGTGTTTGGGTGGGTGTTATCGTTATTTTTTCTAATGCAGCTGGAACTAGTTTATACCAAGCAAGACTTTTCTGCAGATTCAGTGATTCTTATATAAAAATCAGTCGGTAACACCAGATGATAACCAGTGATTTGTGTTACAGGTATCATACAGCGTTTCTGTTTAGAGCAACGAATAAATAGGGTACTGGCTTAGTCCATAAAGTTGTCCATTGAGGATGTGGTGAGGTGCCACAGCTGAATAAAATAGCCTAGTAGAATGAATGATGAAGTAAGAGAACTCTAAAAATTAGTGCCTGGAAAGACAGAAGCTGAAGCAGGTAATGACATCCTTTAAATCTGGTAGGTGGCATGGGAAAATGTGGTTTGTTGTGCAGACTAAGCTGTAAGGGGGATGTGAGTCTGTTGTAACTTTGAATCTGTGATGTGACTTGGATAGAAGACTCTGGAAATCCAGCATTGTTTTTCTCTTCCTGGCTAAGAGAGTCTTTAAAGTAGCTAAATTTAAAGTAAAAAGTACATTGTGGTGGCGTTTGCACCTTGTTCTCCCTGGCACCTTGGTTGCGATGCTGCATGGTTTTCTTAGAGCATGGAGCTGATGTTTGAGCTCCTGCTTGTGTGGCTAAAGGCTTTGCACAGTTTGGCCAAAGTACATGCACGCGATAGCTACCTCAGACGGCAAACCTCAGCTTGCAGTTGCTTATCACCACTTGGAGAAAGCGCTGATCAGTCAGCGAGCAACTGGTTAAGTTCTGCTCCTTTACACTGCTTACTGGCCTGCGCTACAAACGCGGTACTTCTGCTTTAGAGCGTAGGCAGAACAAACCTGCCTCTGCCTCCAGAAAGCCGCATAGATGTACAGAGCATTTCATTAGATACAAAAGGAACCTCCTTAAAATTCAGGGTGTAAGTTCCCATGCTTTCCTGCGCTGTTACTGTAAGCTGCCAACACTTCCCCTCAAGCAGAAAAGGCGAGTTTTTATTGTAGCAGTGGGTCTTCTGGTGGTTATCCAGGAGCATGAGTCCAGAGGCAAAAATGACCTCTAAAATACTGTAAGTGATGTCTAGCAGCTAGCCTAACAATTTCCTGCACTGTGCTGCCTGAAACTGCCATGTGGAAGTGCAACAAGCTAAAATAGTTTAGGTGAAGTTCCATGAAAGAGAAAAGTGTCTCAAATGGGCTTGTTGCTTTTAAAAGAAAACTGCCAGCCTGGAGTCTGGGAAACTAAAGCTATCAAAATTGAAAAACAAGAAACACTAAAACTGGTGTTTCTTGCTGTGTTAAGCAGAAATCCAAAAAAGCTTCAGACTTGAGCATAATTTCAAGTCATAAGGGTTTCACTGCTGAAACAGCAAGTATGCAAAGTGTTGCAATTTCAGAGTACCTATTTTGGGAAAAAAGCTGCAAGCTGCGACTTTGATAAATGCGTTTTTCTGTCTGTAATTACTGTCAGTGGATGTTCATCAGCTTGCCAAGGGTCTGACAGTCCCAGGGCAGGTCTGGCCCCATGCCGAGCTCCTGCAGCGCCTGATGCTGCACGCTGGTGTCTGCCTGTGCTGTTGTGCAGCCAAATCCCAGGCAGAAGGTCACCTGGAGAAAGGAGACCTGCAAGCCCACAGGTGCTGCTGAGACGACCAGGGGCAAGAGCAGAGGTTGCATCATTCCAATCTTCCACCCCATTCCCAAAAGCAACTGTGACGGGCCATGAATGCAACAGGAACCTTAAGGTTCCTGACTGAGCACTTTTCACTACGGTTAGTAGAACACCTCATGTCCTCCTGCTAGGAGCCGGTGCAGGTTTTCTTTCTCTTGCAGAGTAAGCAAGCAGCCCTTTACCCGTAGTACAGGCACGAGGTGTGCCTGAGCACTGCCCGGCTGTGCACGAGGTCACTTTGTTTCGGGAGGTGCTCAGTGCCCAGGCAGCAGCAGGTAGGTCGAGGTGCTCCTTTCATGCAGTGAGATTCGCTTGCGGTGCTGCTGTGCAGGTGCTGTACCTTTTGTTGTTCACGCTCTGTGATCTGCATAAATCAAATGGCAATTGGACTGAATAAAGCTATTTTACAGAGATGGGGGAGAGAGGGTTTTTAACCTTGTCAGCCAAGGGGACTGGGGTTTTGTTCTGAAGTGAGGAGGTGGTCGGGAAGCATGGGACCTCTTTCACGGCTTGTTTTCTCCGTCCAGCAGTGGTGGGGCTGGTCTTGTCCTTACTGGGGATCTAGGAAGTGACTGCTGCGTGTGTACCCCTGTGTTTATTTGCAAAATACTTAATAATAGAAAATCAATACAGAATAGAAGCTATACTTTAGTATGCATGAAGCCACAAAATAATATGCTAAAGGCAGTGGTGTATATTAATGTGCATCCTGTTTTCTAGTGATTAAACTTCTGTGCATGCAGCAGGTAGGATGAAACACTGAATTTGGCTGGAGACAACTTTGAGTTGTGGGTCCAGCCTCCCCAAAACAACAGAGGTGATGAAACACTTGCCACAGAGTGAGATATTGCTGCTGTAATAATAGGTGACTTCAGTGGTGAGAAAGCAGGTGTGCAGTGGGATGTGCTAAAGCGGGGAAAAAAAAATAAATCCTTTTCCCCAAACATGTCTTGATGTTTTGTTATCTGGTGCTGGTTTGATTTGTCAGCTGCAGCTGGCTAACTAAAGCCACTATCTCACTCTTTTTTTTTATTATTATTATTTTTTATTTTTTAAACTTGCTTGCAGCACTCGGAGCCCTTCCTGGCACGCTGGCTGATATTGCTGCTTGGTTTCACGCCTCTCTGTGCTCATCTCTCCCTGACGTGCACTGCTGGCCCTCGGGCAGGGATTGGTGTGTGATCACAGGGCATAACAGGGTACTTGCCGATGTCTGACTAGTATTTCTAGGAACACTAGCGCTGCTACCTGCCTCTCAGGGAGGGAATTTGGTCGTGTCTGCGGGGATGTAAGTGCAGCTGTGCAGCGTCAGGCATGAGGACCACCTACTGTGGCATCATGTATGTGAGCATAACTAGTACTGAGTGCCTGAGGAGGAGTAAAAGACCTAGGAAATACGTGGACTAACACATTATTTGGCTTGCTGTCTCAGGATTTGGTAATCAGTAACTCAGGGATTTACTGTATCCAGGCCGCTCTATCTAACAGTCAGTACTGCCTAATGCTCCGTATCTCTTGCTTATCAGTATTTATCCCTGCAAGGTCTGCTTCCTTGGGAACGGCAACCAAATTCCCGAGTAAACAAGCCTTCAAACCAGCCTCCAAACCTTGGCATCTGAGGGTTTGTATTTGTTATCACAGTCGTGTTGAAACACAGCTCACTTGATAGGAATGCTGAAATATCTTCATGACTGGGACTGATACCCCGAGAAGGGACGGGTACGCATTCAACACATGCTCACCTCCTTACCACCTCAGTCCTGCAGATGGCTACCAAATTCACGTGGATTTCGACAATTTTAGTTTAAATAAGTTCCCCCTTATTTTTGCTGCGGTAATATTTTTTTATCTGGGAGTCTGCCACAGGTAGAAAGAGGCAGCAAGTTCCTGTGCTTCTGGTGGAAACGTGCTTGTAGGTGGAATTGTGCAGACTAGTAGCATCTAAGCAGGGTGGTATTAGCGTTACATACTCCATATTTTAGGGACTTTGAGGGTAAAAGCTGCAGAGCACTACTCTGTTGTCTTTGCAGACTGCCTCCTGTTAAGTCTTCCTTGGGTGCGACTGTTGGAGTTCATTTGCTGTATGCATTACTTCAGTTGAGTTTCTACCCCTTGCTTTGCCATCTGTACATAGCTCAGAAAGTATTTCCAGAAGCTAAGGCTGGTGGGTTTTTTGTTTGTTCATTTTTTGTTTTCTCTAATGAAAGAAGCCACTAGCAGGCAGAACTAGTTTGTAATGCCAAAATCAACTTATCACTGTTACCTTGCGAGATAATAGAGAGGAAAAAACGCTCATTAGGGACTAAATCATCACTGTGCAGCTCTCTGCTTTTCCCTCAATGTTCTGCTCCTCAAGCAGCCGGCTCGGAAGCATTGCTGCTGCGAAGAATAAGGCTGAGGAAAGCTCTGCTCTGCCCTAGGTACGTCCCTGTGCTTGTTAAGGAATATGCCATCTTTCATTTTTCCCCTGTGGCCGTAGAAACAAGACACAAGATTTTCAGCTTGCTTTCTTCCCCTGGCATGCTTTATGTATTTGTGTGCACGTGCGCTCCAAGCCCAAAGGAATATTACAAATCCCATCTCTACATGTGTATTCACGGGAATGCCAGTGGCATAACGATGTCCTGCTTATCTCACCCTTTGTGGGATGAGCTTCAAATCAGTCAGCTCTGAAAGCCTCCAACTGATTTAAGCCGTGGCAGCACGATGTGGTTCCAAAAAGCTTTGCTAAGGGCACCCGTGTGCCGTTGTTACAGCAGGACCTGCAGCGTGGTTCAGACCTGAGCTGTCGAGCAATCCAGAGGTGTGAGCAGCCTGGTTTGGGAGGCAATTGGACTGAAGTCGCTTGTTACTCCACTGCTCTGGGGAGCCTGTAGCGTGGGTTGGATGGAGACCAGCACCCTGGCCGCTGAGGATCCGCCTGCACCGGCTGGACGTGGTCTGTGACTGCTCTGAGGGCAGTGGGAGGCTTTCTGCCGGTGGGTGAGCTCAGACTTGGTGCCCAGGTGTTTGAGCATCCTTGGGCAGGACAGCTGCTGGTGCTGCCACCTAACACTACTGGTATTAATTCAGGTTCGAGAGAAAAAATTACACTGGAAGTGCATCTCAGGAGGATACAAAGAAGTGACAAATTCCAAGTCATTCACCTTCTGCCTAGAGTTTGTTTATAAAATACATGTAAGGTAAAGTGGCCACCATTTATCTGCTCAATGCCTTCTCTGAAGGAGAGGACACTGGTTTTGTGTTTATAGGCACGTTGGTTTTGAGTCACCGGTGCTCAGCTCACCTTGCTATGAGTAAATGCACTGAGATGATGAGGAGGTGCGGTACAAGGAATTTGCTTTGCATGTCTCGGTGTGAGTGCAGTAATAAATGGGTTTTGTCCTACAGCACGCCGAGCTTCTCCCAGGAGGTGCAGGGAGCACACTGAACTCCTGCCCCGTAGGTGCACCCCGTAACGTTGGCTCTGTCCTTGCTAAAGCAAAGCAGCAAGCGTGCTGATCTCCACGCGTGTTTGCCTGCACAGCACTGAATAGTGCTATCTTGCACTTCTCGCTGCTGATTTAATTAGCTCTCTCAGCAAGGATGCTTTGATCCAAAGCCCCTTTCAGCTGTTTGGCCAGGTAACAGATACTTAAAAGCCATGGGATTCTGCACGGAGCCAGAAGTCTCCTGAAAGGAAGGCTCAGAAATACAAATGCTCAGCAGCTCATGAGAACCTGAAGCTCATTGACCTATGGCAATTACAAAACTTCTCGTGCTTATTCCAATTTAGTGCATGAACCTTGTCATCTTGTCCAGATTATCATTGCTGCGAATTTCTGTAGTTTCAGGATTCATTTTTTTAAAGAACAGATAATGACTTTTCCTCCAAATGCTCCTGTTCCCTATTTTGAAGTGTTGCCAGCGTGGGGTACCCAGGGAGTCCTCCCTCGGGAGCAGAGGTGAGTGTCCTCCTTCACCCACGTCGCTTGTCCTCTGTTACAGGTGTTCCCCAGAGCTCACTTGCAGTCTGGGGGAGCTTTCCACATTGACTTTTGTCTGTGGGTCTCAGTGAGCCGTGGTATTTTTCTGGAGCTTTTGCTGAGGTGTTTCTTTGTGTGAGACCAGGTTTGCCTGTTTAAGCAGGAGGCAGTGGGCTTCTGTACTGACTGTCCCGAAGCAGGGAGTGTCCTTCAGACAGTGGTGTTTGACCCTGTTTTGACTTAGGGTTGTTCCCTTCTTTCCTTTGAGCAAATGCAATTCCGTATTCTGCTGATTCCTGCCAGAAATGGGCATATTCATTCATTCCTTTCCTACACAGTCTAACGGGCAGCTTTTCCTGCTTTGTCTGCTGCTCAGCTACCTCACAACGGTATCTCCTGGTCTGTGCTGCAGGCACAGCCGGGCTAGAAGCAGGGATAGGCTGGGAGAAGTTCAGAAAAAAATAAATACACACGTTGGAAGAAATACAGGAGTGTGCGTAGTTAGGCTCTGATTCCAGCAGCTCAAAACCTGCTTGAGGGAATCTGCTGAGAGTTTTCAGCTCCCAAAAATGCTGCTAGAGAAAATCTTTAATGAAGCTGATCTGAACTAGGACAACTGGTTTTTAGTGTTGGTTCATCTGCCTGTTTCCAAGTTTTTGTTTCTGCCAAGGTTAACACTGTGTTAGTCAAATTATTGCCTGATGTAATTCTTCCAAGGTTTCACCCCTCTCTCCTCACTGAGGTGCCTGGCCCAACGCGTTTCACCTTTTAGGATATTGCCCTCATGAAAGCCAGTCAAACGTGGGATATACAAAGCAGGTCTTAAAAATCTGCCGTGTAAAATGGCACAGAACAATGCCTCTGTTCTGCGGCTCTGCCAGTGAGGACTGGGCCCTGTTTTGCTTGCTGTCCTATAAATACAGGATGCCAAAGCCCAGGCTCCCTGGAATTCAGCATCTGCAGCTGTACTCGGACCCATGACCTGATGCGTTCTGCTCACAAGAAGCCAGAGGGAGCAGGCTGATGTAGGGCAGGGAGCAGTGTGCACCTAGGCACTGGCTTTACCTCACTGCTTATAGCTGCCTAATTTGCTGCAAGAGTGCAAAATTCTGCAAATCCTACAAAAGTTAATGTCTCCATAGGGAGTCTCCCTGAATTTCAGCTTTGAGCCCCAAAGTAACACATTCCATGTAATAATTTTTTTTCCTGTCTTTTTGAATTGTGCATAATGCACTGCCTGCACATGGGTATTGTGGGAGGATGCTACAGTCCTCATCAACCTGTGTCTGAAAGTAGCAGGGCTTAAAACTGGCACTGTGCTCCCACAGAAATGGTGAGTTTCTGATTGCAGTGATGTGTCCAGAGACTGAAATGAAACCTCGTGATGCTTTGGTCTTGTCTAGCACATCTTCATCAGCCGCAGAGCACTTTCTGCAGGGAGTAGAAGTACCAGCCCTACTATATAGGCAGAGAAATTAAGAAGCAGAAAGGGAAAGTGATTGCCCAGCAGCATTCCTGTCAGAAAAGAGATCTTGTTGCAGCCCTCTCCTTTCAAACCCCTCCTCCCATCTTCTTGTTCATGGGAGCATCATGTCTTTGTTAGCTCTTGCCGCCTCCTTTTAGTCTGTCCTAGGTAATCCAGATGTTACCTCCGGAATGTCAGTGTTCACCCTCACCACGGGGAGAAGACAGCTGTGCTGGTTCTCAGCTCGTGCTTTTGTTCTATTAAAAAAGCAAGCATCATCTTAGGCTGATTCCCCCAGTTGTGCAGAGTAAGAAGCACAGGTTGAGGTGATGCATCCTTGGAGGTAATTGCCTCAGTGAAACAACATTCACACGAGGTGGAACAAGCCAACTCCAATTTGTGTACATTTTCAGTAGCATCCCCGGTAACAATGCGAGGGCTGGGAATCCAAGATCTTAAAAAAGACAGTCGTGATTAATGCTAGTTGTGATATCTTTTTTTTTTTCCTCTTTCCTTTTGCAGCACAGTTTTGCTGTGGATTCTTTGTAATCTTGATTTTGGGCAACTTCTGGTTCCTTGCTGTTCTGTACCTCGTGTGGCTCTACCTCGACTGGGAAACGCCGTGCGCTGGGGGCAGACGGTCCCAGTGGGTCAGGAGCTGGACTGTCTGGAAGTACTTCAGGGAATACTTCCCCATTCAAGTGAGTAAAAGGTTTCTCACTGAACTGTAAACATTTGAACAGAGACGGTTTGAATAGCCGTGAATGTGGACTAATGTCTAGGACTCATCTGTGGTGTGATTATAATGGTTACACCATTTAAAATCTTTTTAAAACATGGGAAACCTGAGATTTAGCATCAGAAAGGGGCAGGGGAGGGGGAACAGGGGCTGGATTTCTGCTTGGACTGCTGGGACACAAGACAGTGCCTGAGCACAGTAAATGCTTCAGAGATGATTTTTGGAGATTTATCTATTTAAACTTCATTCAGCACTAAAACAGACCAGTAAAGTGCTTGGAAGAAATAAATGAATTGTCGTTGGTTCTGTATCCTGTCAACCTGCAATTTCCATGTGTTGTTTTTGAGAACCCCTGTGAAATGAATATTAAAACGTCCTCCACCATCTTTCTTTTTCAGCTTATAAAAACTTCAGATTTGAATCCAAATCACAACTACTTACTTGGCTTTCACCCTCATGGGGTCCTGGTAGCTGGAGCCTTTGGAAACTTCTGCACGGGCCCAAGTTTCAAAAATTTATTTCCTGGGCTTACTCCGTATCTGCATATTATGCCCATCTGGTTCGGCTGTCCCTTCTTCAGAGAATACATAATGAGTGCTGGTAGGTAAAATCAGAGTGTCTCAGCTGTTCTCCACATTGTAGCTTCTGCTTCAAATGTAAGGTCTTCTCCTGTACCCATAGGCTGTACCTAGAAGTTATTTCACTTCAAATGATCAGTGCTGAATTTAGAGCGCTGGCACTAACTGTTACGCAATGAACTGTTGTTGCAAAGTAATTTTGAAAGGTTTTATTAATTTTGCTAAACTGTAGCATGTATCAATATTTAAAATCGATCCTACTGGAAGTCTGAGTTGCTCTGTTGCATGATATGTGGCTATGCAATGCAGGTGGTTCGGGTGCAAGGGAGAGCTTTACAGCAAGAACAGCTCACAGTAGTTGTTCTTCTTGCAAGACTGCTCAGAGAATAAGGTCTATGAATAGTTTGATTTTGTTGGGTGTTAATGATGGTTATTAAATCTGAAATGTTATGGTCAAACACCGTATTTCTACCCTTTACAACACCACCTGGGTTAAACAGATAAGGTCAAGTAATAGCTGGTCATTAGAGTATTACTGCAAAATTTTGCCTAATACTTCTAGATGTGGCAAGAAGGGGAGCAAGGGGAGCAGGAACAGGAGCTAAGGAGCCTGTGGCTGAACTGATTTCATCTGCTGACCCACAGCGAAGGGGAACGGAGCCTCCAGCACCTGTTGTATATAAAAGGGTCGTGTTTGTCATTGGTACTGCAATAATAAAAGATACAAATAATAAGTAATAGAGTTTGGGGAATAGAAAAATACAAGTGAATGAGGACTAGTGTTCCTCTACAGTGGTTTAATACAGGAGTTATTTTACTTAAATTCATTAAACTACAGCATTTGAGTAAGTACGGTCTGCAGGACAAGTATAGGTTTGGGAGACAGATCTAGCTTTCAGTCCTCACTGCAACATGGACAGTGTGATTTCAGACAAACTATTTATCTGCTCCATGCGTGGACTCATGCCAAGGGTGCCCGGATTGATACCAGAATCCACGTGCACTTCAGCATACCAGAAGCGCCTTTCAGTGCAGATGTTGTTGTCAGAGTTTTTCTGAGGCTTGCAAGGTTAAGGGATTAGTAATGTTGCAAGATGACAAATTTGAACATTGCCTAGCCTGGAGGTCAGTTTACCTCTTTTTGCCATCTTGACCTGTAGAAAAAAGCATTTATATGCTAGACAAGAAATAACTGGAGTAAAAATCATGCTAAAGAATAGTCAGCATCTGAGCTTGTTTTTTTACCAGCGTGCAGCTGATGAACCAGTTTTATAATTTGACTCATAACCTGTATTATACCAAAGGGGATCTTTTGCTCCCTGTGTCTGAAGTCTGCCAGTTGTCCTTGGGAAGAGCAGTCACAGCATTACCCAAGCTGCTGTGCAAGGGAGAGCAGGGAGCCATCCCCTGCCTCCACATCAGCAAGGAAAGGAGTTGGTCCTGGGGAAGGACAGTGCCTCTCGCTTTCTCTTCCAGGGAAAATGCATGCTGAGTGGTGAACGAGCATCACTCACAGGATTTGTGTCCTGGGTCCGCTGCCTTCTTCAGAGCAACAGTGACTGGCAAGGAGTATATGGCAAATGGAAATAGCTTTTTACTGAGTTCTCTGAACTTGCCCCGAGATCCAGCTATTTCTCTTGGTGGCCAGCTCTCAAAACTAGATCACAGTCATTGTCTTTGTTGTGACATGTTCATAATCCATCTCGTAATGTCTGCAATAGGAAAAAAGGAGGTGAATCCTTCCCTCAGGATCCAGTAGAGCACAGTTTGATACCAGCCCTGTAAAAACAACAACACAAAAACAAACCCAAAACACTACAACAACAACAACAACAAAACAACCAACAACCAACCAACCAAAAAACACACAAAATGAAAAACAAACAAACAAAAAAACACAACAACCTAGATTTGATTTCTAGATTGTCATTTAGAATATATTAATTCAGCACAATATAACTAAACATGGCTTCTGGGTGAGTGGTACCAGTGTGAGCCTTATAATAGGACTTAAGCACGAAGTTGCTTTGGAGGGGTCAGCTGTTTCTGTTAGGAAGGACGCTTCTCAGAATAGCAAGCTCAGAGCAAGGTCTGAGTCGATGCTACAGACTCCTACATCAGTGTGCCTCTGATTAGAAGTAGCAGCATTGGCAGGAGCACAGGGAAACTATTCTAGCCTGAAGAGATTAGCCTAAATAAATGTGAGTGACAGGTCCTGGTTACTAGAGAATAAGCTGATGCAGCCATTGGGAATCCTGCAGCGGGGCCTTTCCTGCTTCTTCTGTGTCCATGGCCTGAGGCGGAGCTGCTGCTTGTAGCTTTGAGAAGAAGGGGTACAGCTTGGCACTGTAGATCCTCATTTGAGTTAACAAGTCCTTTAGTCATTCTCTTAAACCCTCTGTGCTTTATGGCTTTTGCCGCTGCTTGAGCACAACCTGCTGCAGTTGAGCTGTGCTGTTCTCAGACATAGAACCAGAGGCGGAGCTGAGCAGACAGCCAGCCGAGACAAGGTTGGCTCTTCCTAAAGATCTCAAACTTCTGTGGTAGGCAAGCAGCATTTTAGCTCATCGGTGTGAAATTAAAGGACTTAGCTAAGACCTAATCTGTCGCATAGTGAGGGTGTTGAATCCAAATCTTTCAACTCAGTTGTGCTGTAACTGTTGAGAAACCTCATTTAGACATGATTTAAAAATATTTTATATATTTCACTGTACTTGGAAGTGAAGCATCCGTGAGTGACTCTCGGAATGTTTGCTCCTAAAGGGATGGTTTCAGCCTCCAAGGAGAGCGTCTCGTATGTGCTGAATAATGAAGGAGGTGGCCACGCGTCCATCATTGTGATCGGAGGAGCCGAGGAATCCCTGAATGCACATCCTGGAAGTTTGACTTTGAACGTCCTCAACAGGAAAGGCTTTATTAAAATGGCCTTGAAACATGGGTAGGTTTCCCATCTGGCCTGTCCCAGTAAGCACGCTTTGAATACAGAGTCGTAAATATAGTATAAATTATGTGTAGTACACTCAGAATTAGAATTTGAAAGAGCTATTTGTGTACGAACGTTCAGATATCTGATGTAAGAGCTAGTCTGTACACCTCGATCCAATCTGGGTGTCGAAAAATCCTTTTTGTCTTTCATAATTTATGAGCAGTAGGTGGAGTTATTAGCATATCTTGGTGATCTGTTTTAGTTGTTCTATATTGCAGTAGCAAAAAGTGAGAATTGTGAAACAATATTAGTAAACCTTGGCTTTTATTGCTGACCGATGCAGACGTTGTTTTCTCTTATGTAAATTGGAGTTATAATAAGACAGAATTTTCTTACCACTCTAAGCCAAAAAAATTTAGAAAGCTAGACCCTGTTTTATTAAATCGCTGTAAAATGTATTCCAGGAAGATTTCTTTTCACCTTTATTCTGAAGACTTTTTTTGATTTTGAAGATTGTTGTTTACAAAAGTACGTTTTGGGGAAATTTGTAATGAATCTCAAGAAAAACTAGCTTTCTTTTTACTATCCAACATCTATCAGTATGTAACTAAGCAGAGAGAGCATTAATATCTTTTGAATGCTTTATACAGCGTGAGCTGTTGTTTATGCTGAACTACTGGAAGTATTCGAACCAATGACTTATTCCCACTAAGCTGTCTGTTAAGCTCCCAGGATTATACATCGACATACAAAACGATAAGAAAACAATATTAATCCTTGACAGGTCTGTAACAGTTTTTAAACTACTAATTAGAAGAAAAAAGGTGAGCTCTGAGAAGAGCTCTGCTTTCACAAAGGATGCTAAGGTAAATTTATTCTGGAAACTGTTATGTGTCAGAATATTCCAAGAGGGTTTTTTCTATATATGTCACTAGGATTTTCAGAAAAGAGCTGTACCCTGATAAAGTAACATTTCAGTGGAATTTGTACCCAGAAACAACACTTGTGTATTTAAATTGGGACTTTGATCAAAGACACCCAAAGGTACTAATCTCTGTTCAATTGCTACTAAATTCATGAGTAGTTTTTATTTATTACCATAATGTTTGGAGGTTTATTTATTTTATTTTTTTTTTGAGCATGTCTGATCTGTCAGTTCACAAAGGCTGGTATCCATCTATCATCTAAACTGATTTGGATTGAGAAACTAGATACTCCTGTGCCATTCAAGGCCTTGATTTCAAGAGCATCCCCAACACATGACAACACTCTCAGGGAACTTACAAAACACAATAATGAACACTTTGTTCTGTGTTAAGTTCAGTACTTCAAGTCATGGTTCTCCTCTTAAAGAAAGGCCTAGTGTCTGGAAATAATGCCCTACCTGACTGACTTACCTACACCTCACACATGATCATCCTAACCACTAGACTACGAGTTATTCTGGGTCTGAGCACCTTCTAGACAAACAGCCTCTGTGTGAACTGTAGGACACCTGACTTCATTTCTGTATTTCTGTTCTGGTTTTGGACTGTATGGTGATAGGACATGATGAGACTCCAGCGGCTACAGCTCTTGCAGCACTGTAGGCAGACCTGAGATCCTGTGCCAAAGGCATCCAGTAGATGCTTCTGCTTTTATCATTTGTTTCTATCAACTAACAAATCTGAAATGAACTTGTGGAAATGAAAGGGCAAGGGAGGTCTGCAGCGTGAGGAGGGTGAAAAGAACACATGCTGTAAGTGTCTACGTATCTTTCTGGTGCTTGTGATCCACAGCATCAAATACCAGGAGAGGAAAGGGCAGTGCATAGACCAGGAGTCCTGTGCTCCCTGGCCCTGGCTTTTACACTGCCAGTACAGAAAAGTTCTTATTCCTCAGCTGGGAGCTCATCAAATTTGCTCTTAAGTATGAAAGCTTAAGTCCTCTGCACTTCTGGAAGACATTTTGGTCCAAGGTAATACAGATCTGATATGAAGTGAAGAAATTCTAAAGATATGAAAGAAGCGATGAATCAGCTAACTTATCCTTAGTTTCACAATCAGAAGTTACTTATTTCTCTGTCACAACCTCCTACATAGTGTCTTGCAAAAGTCTTTACCATCCAGATTAGAAGAAATCTCACAGTCTTGGGGTGCTATTGCACCACCAGATTTTCCTGTTTGTCTTAACGTAGTAGTAAAAAATGGAATATTTACACAGCACATTATGTACCAGGTTTTCCAATATTTTCTTTACAGGTGGCTGGGTGATTTGTTGTATGAGAAACCACCCTCTGAGCAGACACCATTCAGGGTAGTGAGTGGGAATGACAGTATTTGGGGATCTTCACGCTTGAGAAATTATAGAAGCAGTTGTTTTGTCCATACAGGAGAGTTTTGGTTGTCCACAGTATTTTCCAGACAGCTCTGTCCTAAATGTATCCTCCTCAGGCATTCAGAGCTTTGTGATAATTCATCTCAACAATATTATGGCAATGCTACTATTTTACAGTGTTTTCTTAAAGATGGTGTAAGCTGAATGGAATGAATGAAACCAAGGCTTCAGTAAAGCAAATAAAACCTCTCAGTATCCTTCAGAGACTGCTTGGGATTGCTCTGGTAGGGTTTTCTGTTGTTGTTGTTGCTTTGTTTTTGTTTTTAAGCTTAAACTGTGTAGAATACTGTTTGATCAAGCTCAGAATTTATCTAAAACATACTGCAGTTGAGGCTTTAAATATAGTGATGCTTTTGCCTGTTGGAGATGACTGCACTGATTCCATCTGCCTAAGTTGTTTGTTTGTCCAGGAGCTAGTCAGGGCCCTTCCTCCCAGCCAGTTCATGAACGGAATGAAAATTCATTAGGCTGTGAAGGAGCCAGAATGAGTTAATATAATTTCTGTGAGTATGATTTGACCCCTGATAAAAATAGATCAAGGCTAGTTTTCGAAGAAGTCTGGAGGAAGTAGGATTTCACTGGGAGTTGGACAGTGGGGGAGTTTGGCATTGTACTCGTGTTTTGTATGGATGTCTGTTTCTTATCATGCTTTTTGTGCCGAAATCAAGTGCCTGCATTATTCTAGTCAAAAGGCAGAGGAAGGCTAAGATCTGTTTCTGACACCACCCAGCTGGGAGCATTATAAGGTTAGCAATGAGGCTTCTTTCCTTGCCAAAGGAGAGAATACAGTGGAACAAGGGTGGACTTGCTGAAATAGTGGTGGATTTGATCATAATTATGATGCATACAATTATTCATTTTTTATTATTATGAATGATCATAAAAGGTTGTAATGGGTAGCAAACAGCTAAATACTGTCCAAATACTCAATGCTACTTGTTGTGAATGACTTTTATTCATTTATTTTTTTGAAACAAACCCAAAAACCCTACACAGCCAAAAAGCAGCTCTCTATCAAAAGAACTGAATACCTGCTACTGATACATACTAGAGCTGCTGAAGATTTCTGTGCTGGTTATTGGGAAAGTTTCCACACTGCTGATGTGAACCACAGTGCAAATGCTGGCTGGTGTGGGATCCTCACTGTTCATTGTGTTGCTTTACAGGGCTCATTTGGTCCCAGTGTTTTCCTTTGGCGAAAATGAGCTATTCAAGCAAGTTGCAAACCCCAAAGGTTCATGGCTCAGAAACGTACAGGAGAAACTGCAAAAGATAATGGGCTTTGCTTTACCATTGTTTCATGCTAGAGGAGTATTTCAATACAGTTTTGGCTTAATACCTTTCAGGCAACCTATTCACACTGTTGGTAAGTTCCTTGTGCCTTTTCTAATGCTTTTGCAAATATTTAAAAATGCATAGATGTTCTCCTAATATCTGTGTAAATTTATAAATCTAAGAAATATCTGGCTACTGTGCAGCTAAAACAAGTATGTGAGGTTTAAAATAAACCTTTGCATATATATATATATATAAATATATATATATATATACTTAATTCCTCTCCTCCCCCATGTCAAAGGAGGAAATCCTTTCTCCCTTTTCCCTTTCTGTCCCAGAACAAATAGTATTGTTCATTCACAGTTATTCCCAGGCTTATAGCTGCAGCAGTCCTCAAGGAAACCAAAAGAGTTGTCCAGCCCATACCAGAGGGCTGGCACAGCTCTGCAGCCAGTGCTGTGGATTCTGGGTGCCACAATTTTTTTGTAAGATGCCCAGCATCTTCATTTCTTAGCCCTGCAGAGAAGCAGCCGTGGGATGTTCCTGGTATTGCACAGCCACTGCAGCTGCACTCCGGGGCAAGGCTGCTGGAAAGAGCTGGTGGTCACTGGGACTGGGAGGGATGGAGGCCTTCAGCTCCCTATGGTGTTTCCTTCCGCCTCCCCCCCCCCCCCCCCTTTTTTTTTTTTACTTGCTATGGAAAGATCTATGTTTAATTAAGAACACGCATGCCACGTTGACAGGCAGTTTGGAAGAGATTTTTCTTGCAGCAGAACTTGTACGATCTCGTGAAATCCTTTACCTTTGGTGTCTCTGTTTCCTCATGTTTGAAAACTATTTATTACCATCTCCCTGCATTCGTTGGGGGGGGGGGTGGGTGGGTGTGGTATGGCTCAAAGCAGGCTTGAAAGCATTAGCTCACCTACTGAAAGCTGCAGAGTTGTACTGACCTCCACCCAAGCCGGTTAGCTGTGTTCATGTGGCCAGGTATCTGTGTCCTCCTCCTGGAGCAGACACTAGCTCAGAAGCTGTTGTCCCTAAAGCAAAGAAAGACGATTCAGTAAAAGCAAGGTCCCTGAAGTCTAAGTGTGCATGTTTAGGGCTTCACAAGTGAAGTAACTTTGCTTTTCCTGAGAATTATTACTGCTTTTCAGAAACAGAATCAGCTCTAGAGTATTGATTTGAGCATTTTGCTTAAAGCTGAATCTGAGGAAGATCTGTGTAATTTCTAATTCCACAAGAAATTCTCTGCTCCCGGAACAGACTTCTGCAGAAAGGCTTGGGGCGTGGTTTGATGTTTCCAGTCAAGCTCCAAGATCTTCTGCGTCTGACGTGTAGTGATTTCCCCCCCCATCAAAGCACTGCTCCAGCCAGGGCCGGGATCACACCCGTGTAGGCCCTGAGAGCTCTTGGCAGCTGAGCCTGCCGCAGGAGTATGCAGAGTGGCTCTGGCTGCACTTTCCTTCCCGTTAGTCAACACCACCCAATTTGAAGTGGCGATATGTGTTGAAAGGGATTTTCAGGTGCTTTTGAAAAAGCTCCTGGAGAGTGCTTTTAACTCTCTGTTTTTCTAGAAGGAAGTTAAAAGAAGATTTAAAGATTACTTCCTCTGCAATCTTTGTCAAGTCTATTATGCTCTCAGTGCCTCCATTTACTTCAGTGAAAGAAGAGCAGCTGTCAAAAATTGTAGTGAGTGAACAACGTGAGATCGTGGGAAGTCTCTGTCAGCAAATTGGAGTTTTTTTAACTAAAGCATTTTGTGGAGGAGGCTGCCCTCTGGACTTGTGTGGGCTTACCTCATGTTCCCTCCAGACCTGACTCCAGCTGAAGAAGCGTGACAGCAGGCTTCGCACAGTGTGGGGAATGTTCAGGTTGGAAGGGTATTTGTGAGCAACTTACGGTTCAGAGACACTTCACAGGGTTTGGGGGTTTCAAGTGCTACCTCTCCCTAAGCTGAGGTAACAGATGAAATTTCTGGCGCAGGAGCAGTGATGCCCATTTTGTACAAATTGGAGAATATCTCCATTTCCCTCAGTGTTCACGTGTTTGCGAGCTTGTAGGCTTCACTCTTTCATCTGAATTTGAACAACAGAGAGGGAAAATACAGACCCAGGGCCTAGGTTTGTGAGAGGCAGGATGAGGCCTGAGAGCAAGAGAGCTGTGCTGTGACTCTGCCAGCTTGCTGGGAGCTGGGCAGAGCCATCACAGGAGGGAGAGCAGCTTTACTCAGAAAGAGATGTCAACGAAGCTAATCCTGCTGTTGTGTTTGACTTCCAGTGGGAAGCCCCATCCCTGTAAAACGGAACTTGAATCCCACCACTGAAGAGATTGAACAGCTACATGCGGTATATCTACAGGAACTACGAAAATTGTTTGAAGAACACAAAGGAAATTATGGGATCCCTGAGCATAAAACTCTTATCTTTGAGTAGTAAACCACAATCCGCCATTCTAAATCTCATGGAAAAAACTACTGTATGCTGAAAGAGTTCTTTCTTGCAATCTGTGTTTTGCAATCTGTAATTATCCTTGTGTAAGGAATAATTTTAAGAAAGGATTATTAAATAGTTTATTGATCTTTATTTTATGAAAACAAAAAAAAAGCATCCTAAGGGTGCAAGCCGTGAAGCCAGTGCTGTTTTGAGTTGTCCTTTTAGGTTCATCTGTACTAGAAATGCCAGTGAGAGACTCAACACTGATGTTCTTACTACCATGGTACTTTACCATAGCTTGAGCAGAGGAAATTGCCCCAGCATGAGAGCAAGAGCAGGAAAAGCATATATACCACAGAGGTCTGTCATTAGACATTGGGACTGTAACCAACACGTATCAAACACAAGTTGTCTTCTTAATGTCAAAAAAAAAAAAAACCCTGCTGCTCTTCCAAACCAAGTTGTGTATTTTCAGTAGATGGCTATTACGAGCCATTTGCATGTGAAATCATGAATAAATGAGTTTTCTGCCTTGAAGAGGATATCAGCAAAAGCAGTTTGTCCAACCAATGGAGCAGACCAAACACTGTTTGCAGGAAGAACAGAGTGTTGAGTTACTCTGGGCACATATGTGCTGGGTGGGGGTAAGCACTGAATAATGTGACTTTTTTCGACAGCTGTCCAGTTTGTAAGATGAATCAGCTTTGTTTGGTAGTTTTAGTCTCAGAGAAGATGGCAGGCACAGGACAGAAGTACACCAACGAAGCTAGTGTGGGAATCATGTGAATTTCACCTCTTACGCAAATGAAAAGTTATCATATGCCAAGCACTTCCACACAAGGAAGGGGAGCCCAATTTGTTCAGTCTAGTTCTGAAACTTCACCAAGGAAAGTGTACTTGATTTATGTCTTCTTCCCCACTGATAGATGTGGGGAAGTACGTGGAAAGCAGTGCCTTGGAGTGACAGCCGTAATTGCCAAAGCAGTGGGAGGACAGCTGTAGGGTGCGGCAGGTTAAGAGGATATTTGGTGTGCAAACCAGCTGCCTAGATTTGAGAGGTTTATCTGAAATGTGGATATCCATCTAAGAGAAGAAGAAAAAATATCTTAGCCAAACTCTTTTTCAATTAAAGTGCCTAGGTTTCTGAGATGATTTGTAAAGAGAATTACAGTATAAATATAAATATATGTATTTAAATGAAATTCTTGTATTTGTAAATGCTTTTCATCTGTGTGTGGACTTTGCAGACCTGGTTTTACTGAAGTGTTTGGTTTGCTCTAAGCAGTTTTTGCTCATTGGGCAGCATGGGGCATCTGCAGCGGGGTCGGCTCAGCACAGGCGTGCTCTGGGAATGGTGGTGCTGGCTCTATAAGCACAGCTACATTGGACGCATCTGATTCTCCTCAGGAGAAATGCAGTTGGAATTTTGGGAAAAGTTAAAACTTTGTAAAGAAAAGATCATAGCAAAATGAAGGTCTTCAAGGAAAAGGGTCAAAATATTTTGACTCCTGAGGAGTGGATTCCTTATGAACCAAAGCCCCAAAGCTGTGTAGATACTTGCCAGACAGACCAGATGTGTGTTGGGCTGGAGTTCCAGAAACCCTCCAGCAGCAGATTGATTTCCCTAGGAGGGCCGATATATACCTTCTGGTATATAGCAGTCATTCAGAGGTGACCAGCCAGTGAATCCTGCTCTCACTTTCTTCAGGACTATGGATGTCTCTCTGGGAGCCAGGATGAGAGCTGGAATTCTTGCTGTTGCCTTCCCAATGCTTTTGGTGCCTGATGATCACTGTGGTGTAGACATATCACTTCTTCCTGCCTTGTTCCTCTCTCCTTGGGATAAGATCTCTGAAGAACTGTGTGTGCATACAAAATAAAGAATATTGGCTAAACAGGGGAGTTACGAGCAGAGCTTGAGAAGAGGAAGCACTATGAGTGTGAATGTTTAACATGAACTTAAGATCAGGGCTGTTTCAGCACTTGGAAGGGCGTATGTCTAGGGAAGTCAAATGTGGCAGGTCTGATACCTGGGAAGAGGCCTCCAGCATCCTGAGTGCTGTAGTGATGAGCCCTGAATAATCACTGACCCATTTTGGCTTAGCCAGCTATGTGAAATTTCCTTTGGTTTTGTTTTTTGCTGTCTGTCCTGGTGAGGAGTGCTGATACAGTCATGAAAGAAGAATTTGGAGTCTGTGTCAGGCTTCCGTCCTAAATCATCTGCTCTAGTGAGATATTTCCTCTCATTTTCAACCTGCTCTTTTCCTAATACCTTAATGATATAGGAGCTCAGGATGTAAATTTGAAAGCATTAGCATTGGGGTGAGGATGGGAAGTGATTGTAATAAAATCAATTTAGCTAAAAATTCTAAGGAATATAAAGATACTGATTTGGGGGCAATACCTGGTCCAGAGGGTACTCTGCAAATAGGCTTACTTCTGAATTCCATGAGAAAATTATTTATGGGCTCTGAATATCATTCATAACTGGCATAGTTAGAACAAGTAGGGATTGTGTTGCTGTGACTACTAGTATTTGTTATGCTTTGTAACACAGGAAGATGGAGGAAAAAAGAAGTCTTTGAGCAATATGAGTATTTTTTCTTCTCTATAACTACTGCATATTGCCTGTGATGGTCCTTACAAACTACCTTTTATTAAATTTTCTACATGTTTAGGCCTATTTTAAAATACAGTATCAATCTCTAATAGGCATGCTGTCTTCTAAAATAATTTGGATTTTACAAATCCAAATACTGTTTGGATTTGTAAAACAGCCCTGCTTGAACACCAGGTTGCTTCAGAGCAACCTGGAAACTGTAGATCTGTGGTGATGCCCACGCTTACTGGGACTTGCACTGTGGTGTGTTACTCTTAGTGCTTTTTAATGAGATGGGTAATCCCAGGGAAGCTAGTCATCTGTTAAAAAGATAGATGCTTTGCGTGTTTACCATTCAAATACTGTTTCTCTGATGTGCTCAAGCTGGCAATGCCTGCCTGTTGCCTTGTGAGTGAACATCTCTCCCAAATTTGATTCACAAAAAGTCTTTAAGCAGCAGTGCTTAAGATTTTTTTACTTCCTGAACTACAAAGCATATTTTACACTCTTTGTAACTCTTCATGACACCAGAAAAATATGAATGTCAGTTGTATCAATGATAGATGTGGCAAGATGGTGTGAGATAATAAAAGTTTATACCAAAGAATGCTTGTGTGGACTGGAATTCAAATATTTGTCACTACTATTCGATACAGGATTTGCACTTCATCCGTCGGACACCGGGAGCCTGACTGAACTCAAGAGGTCATATTAGAGGAGCTGTAAGGCAGTGCTTAAATAAGGGGTCAGTGAAACTGGATAGATTGCTTGCTTCAGTCTTCTGAGCAGTCACCTGAACCCAGGTTCCTGCTGATGGTCCAAAAGAGCTTGAGGAAGAAGGGATCCATGGCAGGGGAAAGGCTGAGCTGCAGCTATCCACAGCCAGAAACAGTGCCCAGGAGATGCAACAGGCAAGCTAGAGCACAGGAGGGTGGGTGACTCCCCTGAAGAACTGGTGATAGAGCTTTTAGAGTTGAATTCAACTGAGTTTAAGCATAAGTTTGAATTTTAGGTTAAACTTGTATTGAAGAGTCAAGCTCTTAGTATCAGAACCCCAGAAAGAACAAACCCTGTAGAGGCTCCGCTTAACTCTAGAAATTGGGGAACTAAATAGCCACTTAAAGTAAAATAAATAAATAAAACTAAAAACAACAACAACAAAAACAGCATTTCTCTATCAGGAAGAAGAAAAACAACCACCTTAAAACTGATGCCTTTTAGTTTTTATATTAAAACCAAACAAACATAAAAACAAAAACAATGCTTATACTAACAGCTCCACTGGCAAGTATAAATTCCTAAGCCTGAGAAAGGCTGAGGATGTTTTGTTACTGCTTTAATACTTCCTTTATGGAAGGATCCCACTTTGCATCTCTGTATACCATAAAGGGAATAAAGAATAAAAAGCAGTGGCCTTGGATTGCTTTGAAGTAGTCTCATTACACCTGTGTGTAATTGGGAGGTATGTCACGGTTTATCAATGCATCAACATCACATTTTAGTTTTGTTGAAATACTAAAAAGAAGCAAGTTATACCCATAAAGCTAGAAAGAGAGAAAAATGAGGAATGGAGTGTGACTGAATTTTCTTGCTTTCTAAAGTGCTTCAGAGACACAAATGCCGATCACAGCTGCTCGTAATGGGTAAATAACATTACCTCCACATTGAAGTAGTTGACTCTGAAGGGAATTTGGTGGCTGAAGGATGTAGACAGCTTTTCAGCTGCTATTTCTTACAGTTGTATCAATTCTGTGTCAGCTGAGTTGCTGGAGCGCTGCCTGCAGTGCAGATCCAGCAGCCCCTCGTCTTTTCTCAGTTCTACGGACAGAACATGGCTGTAGAAAAAGAAGATAGGAAGAAGGAGGAAAATTACTTCAATATGAATATGCTGGATATCAATCTAAAAAAGTAAGTAAAAGAAGATCCATATCCTTTTTGGTTCCCCTCCATATCGGAAAGGTAAGTTTCACAAACAGAGAAAGCTTGTGAAGAGGCCTTGAGCGGTGCGAAAAGGAAGAGGTGTTCCACTGACGTGTGCTGGGATCCAGAAATACTTGTTACCTTTGTATGCTCAGTTTCTCTGACAGCGAACCCGTTTTACAATGTTTTACGTGTTTCTAAGATTTGTGATGTTTCTCTGAATTACTTTCCTGCAAAATACAATGGGAAACCTTCTACCAAACGTTCCCCCTAACCTCCTTAGTGCCTTCCTGCCCAGCAAAGGCCTGCCTAACGCAGCGAGTGCAGCCCAAACAAGCAGCCCCGTGCCCGCTGCACCGTTGTGGTTCTTGCAGCAGATGAGAGCTGCAAGCTGGGAGATGCTCATGCCTGTTGGCCCTGGGAGCCCTGGCCTCCCCCTGGGGAGCTGTTTGCCAGAGGGGCAGTTGCTGATGAGAGGCCCTGGGAAAGCACCTGGCAGCCGATTTTGGGGCAGCTTTGTGAGGGGTTTGTTGTTTTTTTAAGGTGCCTTCATAGCCCTCGCTGGGACAGGCTGAGGTTGGAGGGGCAGAGGAGAGAAACAGGAGCTGCCTCCTCTACGTTCTGCCTGTCTTTCCCTCATCCTGGTGCCATTTCTGTGTTTTTTTTTTCTTTTCTTTGCCAACTCTTGTGTTGCCACCTGAAGGGTGCTGAGGGCTCGGTGGGGCAGGGTGGCTGAACACTGCCACAGGGGGTGCATGGTGCGTCCCCTCACCCTGACCGCCCCGCTGGCCGTGTCCCCCAGCTGCTCGCCGAGCCTCCTCCGTCGCTGTGGCATTTACAGGTGGTGCTGTGCATGGCCGGTGCCACATTTACACGTTTTGTATGAACCAGGCTCCTGTCCGCCATAGAGGCGGCGAAGGAAGGCGCAGCTGCAGCCGCTGAGGCGGGACCCGGGGCATGGCGCCTCACGCCCGGCGGCCATCTCAGCCCCGCTCCCTTCGCGTCCCCTCAGCACCGGGCCGGGGGTGCCATGGCCGCCCCGGGGGGCTGGGGCCAGGGCCGGGGGCTCGGGCTCGGTGTCTCCCCTGCCACCGCCAGGTGCCGCCGCTGTGCCGCGGCCGGGTGTGCGGCGTGTCCTCATGCACAGAAAGCCTCTGAGGCAGGCGCTGTGGCAGCACGATTTTGGTTTTGGTCCGGTCCCCAGAGTCATAAATAAGTGCTGAGAACAGCCGGTCCTCGGTAGCAAGGGCTATTCTTTATCATCTTATGAGAGGTTGTTCTTTATTATCTCTCCCTGGATATCAAGGTTGAGGCATGCGCTCCTTTCTGAAACTGAATGTAGCTGTGACTAGGCGGTGCTCCCTAGCCTGGGGAGGTGGGATGAGAGGGACAGCGGAGGAGGAGAGCTTGTCCTGCTGCCCCTTGGGGGACCTTGGGGCTGAATCCCTACAAAGCTCGAGCTTGCTGGGGTTAATGCGTCCACTCCTTGCCTCCTGATGCTCGGGGCTGCGTGGTTGTGCTCCTGTGCCCAGGAGTTGCCACTGCTGCTTTGATGCATCCATTGCCTGCTGCTGTCTCATTTTCTTCCACCTGATTTCCTCCTGGCTCAGTGTTTTGTCTGACGTTTTTCTCCATTTAAATGACTTAGTGGCTTTGCATTCCTCCTCCCGAGTTCTTAAGGCTGGGAGGAGGAGGGAAGGCAAAGAAGAGAGAGCTGGCAAGACTGTTGCTACTTCAGATGCTATCTGAAATGTCTCATCACTTTGTGATCTTCAGAGAAAAGGAGAAAAGACCCTGTGGAAAAAATATTTAGTATTCTCAAACACAGATTGGGAACCTGGTTATGTTTTATAGCAGAATGTGTTTTTCATTGTGTTCATCCTTTTGATGAACAACACCCAAAGCCTCTCTCCCAAACCCCACTCTGCTGTCCTGCACTTGCCGTGTTGTCTCTGCGGGATGCTTTTGCCTCCCTCTTTTGCAACTTTCTGTACCAGCACTCTGTGAAGTGAGTGGCTTGGCTAATGATCGACCAAAATGTTTGCTTTCCTTCCCTCACATTTGTTCTATTTCATGCAAAGTCAGAGGTAACCCCCTCTGAATACACCCTGTCCTTGGGGAACCAGCAAAAATTGGTGGTTTTAGTACTTGTGCTGCTGCAGATCCTGCCACAGTGTCTGAGACATCACCACTGTGCTGCCTGCCCCATCTCCAATGGACGTCATCCCTCCCTTAGCAGAGCTGGTAGGACAAGGTGCACGTCCACATCTCAGCCTGGCATCTTGCCTCAAGCCTTCGTTGAAATTCAGGGCAGCAGAAACTGGCAGGGGTGCAAGGATGGGGCAGCTATGGACAGGGAAGGCCCTGGCTCCAGCATCCTGTGGCAGCTCACCCATGTAGCCCCCTGCCCCAGGACAGCATCACTGCAGTGCTGCAGAGGGGTGCTGACAGGCAGATGCTATGGGAACGTGTTTCAGCATGACCTTCCTGTTTAAGGCAAAGTTTTGTCCCCCCTTAGGCACTGGGGTTAGCAGGCAAAGCATGCTTGTTTTCGTTAAAAATTTACAGACATTCGTTCATCTTCGAAACTCATGTCTTTCTTGCTTGAAAAAAATCTCAGAACACAAAAGACAGATTTCCAATGTTTAAAAAAAAAAGGATTTATATTTAATTATCCTTTTTTATATTAGCAACAATGATTGAGTTTTACTGCATCTATACCTAAATCACAAGAATTAAGAAATGCTTTTAATAAGTTTACTGTCCTGTGCCTTGAGTCACAGCCAGCGGTGAAGGCCTTATCACATATCAATGAATTCTGTCACTATTAACTCCGTCAAACCAAGTTTTATCAGCTATGAACCAGAGATAAAGACTGTAATTTGACCATAAAAATCTGATGAGGTGGAAAATATTTGTTTAACTCTCGTATAATATGCTGGTTGAGGAAGCATGTGTTATTACTGTAGCTTAGTTAACAGTGGTGGCGTATGAAATGCGTTCTGGTAACCACTTACAAATCAGGATAACTGGTATTATTTACTCCTCCAGAACAGGAAAAGCATTATTGGAAATCCTGAAGTATGGCATGCCATTAATTCATGAAGTTATGCATCTGAAGACATGGTATTCACGCTCTTTTGAGGAATAAGCAGGTGCTATGTAAACACACTTTGACGCCAAAGGGCATTTTATCTGAGTAATGACTGTAAATTAATCCAATTAGATTTGACTCAAGTTGTGAGAAGCTGAGGTTCCCAATCAGCCCCTTGCCGTTCCACCATCTCCTTCCCTTGTAGATGGTTTCCTGTTCAGGTCAGACTGCCTGTTGCTATTCATTTTGATACAAAAACATGTCTTAGATTTTCTAGTTTGATAGGCAAATATTGAGGAGTGTCTTGAAGAAAGGACACCAACCTCGTGGGGCTGTCTCTAAGACCTTTTTAAGAAGATTTTCAACCCATCATTCAAAAGCGGGGCATGGAATCAAAGATGTAACCAAGTGCACTTTTTACCTGGAAAGAAGGGGTCCAATACCTTCTTCAAACCTGCTTGTCATATCTCACTCTTGTGTCTGCTTCCTACATATTGATAGTACCCAGGGAACAGCGTGAGAGGTTTCTACTTCCAGCACTGATCAGCATTTCCTAACTCCAGGGTAGGCAACTCTGCTGCTCTGGAAGACGG